GGGCGAGTGCGCAGACGCTGTAGAGGCCGCTACCAAGAAGTACGGCGTCAGCTTTGCCAGTCCCAGAGGCGACGCTGGCACTTCTGAGCTCCACGTCGAGGTTGAGAACCTGGTTGCTAAGTTTGTTGGAAAGGAGTCAGCAATGATCTTTTCCATGGGTTTCGGCACCAACGCGACTACCTTCCCTGCACTCGTCGGAAAGGGCTGCCTTATCATCTCTGACGAGCTCAACCATTCCTCTATCCGCTTCGGTGCCAGACTCTCGGGCGCTGTTATCGAAATGTTCAAGCACAACAACATCAACGATTTGGAGCGTGTCCTCCGCGAGAGAATTTCTCAAGGCCAGCCTCGCACTCACCGTCCTTGGAAGAAGATCCTCGTTGCTGTGGAGGGTCTCTACTCCATGGAAGGCACCATGTGTAATCTCCCTGAAATCGTCGCTCTCAAGAGAAAGTACAAGTTCAACTTGTTCGTCGACGAGGCTCACTCCATCGGTGCTCTAGGTATGCAAGGTAGAGGTATCTGCGATTACTTCGGTATTGATCCCGCCGAAGTCGACATCCTCATGGGCACTTTCACAAAGTCGTTCGGTGCAAACGGTGGCTACGTCGCTGGTGACAAGGCCCTCGTTGACAAGCTTCGTGTAACCAACGCCGGAACACTCTTCGGTGAAGCTCCTTCTCCTCCAGTTCTTGTTCAAATCTCTTCGGCTCTTCGTTTGATCATTGGTGAGATCGCTCCCGGACAAGGTCAAGAGCGTCTCGAGCGATTGGCTTTCAACTCAAGGTACCTTCGCCTCGGACTCAAGCGCCTTGGTTTCATCATCTATGGCCATGACGATTCGCCCATCATTCCTCTGCTTCTTTACAACCCCGCCAAGATCCCCGCCTTTTCCCACGAGATGCTCAAGCGCAAGATTGCTGTCGTCGTCGTCGGATACCCTGCCACACCGCTCATCTCTTCCCGCGCCAGATTCTGTGTCTCTGCCGCTCACACCAAGGATGATTTGGACCGTCTGCTCGCAGCTTGCGACCAGGCTGGTGATATCCTGCAACTCAAGTTCAGCAGCGGTATTGCTGGTGGCAAAGAACCAATTCCAGATGGCTTGATGAATGTTGAGGAAATGGAGCACCGCGACGACCTCGCAAAGGGCAAGACCCCCACTTACCAGCCACCTCGCTGGAAGCTTGAGGATATCATTAAGCGTGGTGTTCAGGACGTCAAGGCACCTCTGTTCTAAGAACTGTATGAACATTATCGGGCATTTTTTGGCCTTTTTCTTATCTTTCGGGGTTTATCTGGAATCTTTATTCCTTCTGGCGTAACAAGGTGTTTGCGGAACAGCCATGACCGACGATCTGGGACTTGAGGGGAATTTTTGTCTGGGTTTTTCCAATTCTTTCTTCAATTATTCCTCTTAGCAGCGCTCAAGTATTGCATCGGCGCACTGCTTCTTTTGATTCTTCACAAGGCAATCTGGGCTTTTGAAACTCAAAAGTCTTATAATCCCTAGAACTTTCTTATACCACTGGCGATCTGTCAGAACGACCAAAGGCTATTAGGCCCATGTCTACCACAGCTGCTTGCTGTCAATCAAAACTTCTCAAATATATCTCTATCCATCTCCTCTTGATTATCTTCTTCTATAACTGATATCAGTGAGCATTGGTATTTGAGATTTGTGATCTTGCCTCTACAGCCTCCCCGTATGCTAAAAAGTGTAGCTATAGAAATGCACAATGGTATGGAGAATCGAGGCAGTGTCCACTGAGAGCCAGCATCTTGGCGGCTCTCTGTGGCTCCCCTCTGCTTAGAAGAAGCATCGTGCCTTTTTATAGCATACAATTCACTCTACGCTCTTATAGGAGAAGGGTGGAGTTACAGACTTTAGCACACGCGGAGGAAGTGCACATGAGGCATGTCGGCCCGAGATCCGATCTCGGCCACTGGGTATCCTTTCACTTTCACATCTCATGTCAAGTCTATACGCAACCAACTCACATCTCACTCTGCCAACACTTCTATCACCAGTGCTTCGAGACTTTCTGACGAGATATTCTAACAAACAACATTTTCGAACACCGTTAATAAGACTGAACACATGGCACAACACCTTCAGAAAACGGCCGGGTTCTGCAAACCGGCTGTGTTTTGTCTATCCGACATCTCACGAGCCTTTTCCTCGTTCCACCCGGTCAATACCTGGTCTTTTGATCCGCTGATGAGGAGAATCCAATACGACAACTACAACGAACCTCGAAGAAGAAAACGCCTCACTGACCCAGAATGGGCGCTAAGAACACAGCAAACTGGCAATCTTGCGAAGAGAAAGGAAATACAGAGCTGGACCAAGGAACGCTGGGAGTAATTCNGTGCAAAAAAGAATAATGCACGCAAGCGACAAAGTTACGCCGAGGATGCTAAGCCCAGGCTGAGACGGTTTATTGACAATCACGTAAGAAAACATTAGTGGGTGCGTGAGCGATTACCGTGGAAGACTCATACACCTGTTCTCTACGACGAAAGGGTCAAGCACACTTGCAGCAGTTGTTTGATTCCAAAGCGTGGGGGCGCCTTCAGATTGTGGTGGGCTAGCCACGATGCCGAGCATTATCAATGTTCTACATGCTATACCAAAGGCCCGGATGCCATGCTAAAGGGGTATGAAGACGTTTCAACAATGGAAGAATTGAAGTCGCGAATGGAGGAGCTCGGGCATTGAGGGCACTCGTCGTCAAAGGTCACAGGGACGCGATTACTTACCTTGATCAATGACGACCAATTGCATATACCAACGGTGAGTGACAATTATAGATGTGGGTGTAGAGTGTCGAAAAACGAACCCATCGTTTGCATGCTACAGAACGTCACTTAAGGGAGATATCTTCACGAGAGTGGTGACCTCTAAGGCTCATCGAAGGAGAGCTAGAGTATGGTTGATCGAAGGTATTGTGTCCGTATCAATGCAACACGAGGACATTTTGCTCGGCTCGAGCTATTATGTTAGGATGCAGATACGCTTAGAAAGAGCCGGTAACTCGTATCATGCAAGAACACGGATTGATAGGTGAATTATTCAAACACATGGTTGTTTTGATCATAGACACGGCCATCGGGAGAATTGATAGACTCGCACATCTCAATGGACAACGCCTTGCTTCTGAATCTCACTGTGCGTTTTCATAGCAGATCATTCCAAAGAGAGCTAATCTGCGCATCTTCCTCCGGTCGGTCTTCATCGAGCCCTGTACGCACACTGACCGCGCCAAATATCTCTCCCACGACAATACATAGCAGTATCTTACGCTACAACAATGCACAGTCTTTTCAAGGTCAAAGGTATATCCAAGAGAATAGTCATGGTCATGTCTCTCGGCATGCTGAACAAGGTTCCGCTGGTCTGGGTGGGTCTCTATGCAGGAGTCGGGCCATTTCCTTTCTTTAATGGCGCCTCCTGTTCGGGTCCTCGAATTTGTCCTGAACGTAAAGGAAGAGCCAGTAGACGGGAGACGTTCAACAAAGATATCTCATGGAGCAGTGGCATGACTAGTCAAGTTGGTGACGGTGATCGGTTTCTCCTGGAGATCTAGCCTCTCCATCATCGGGAAGTAGCGACCCCTGTCTTTAGGGCACGCCTGTGTAACACAAGCCGCATTGCAGGACTTGTGTTTGTCGTTGCCGACTGCAACCCAAGTCCTCCAAGATGACTTGTTGATAATCATCTTGGAGAACGAGTCAGCTTCTGTATCACTAACCCACATGTCATGAAGGCTGGAGTATTGCCTGGGGCTAGGCTCGGGACGGAACGTCGAGTATGAGATGCATCTGAAACACCAAGTGTATTGACGTGCGTTTGGTAGCAGATGTGATGCACTCTGCGGGATGGGTGTGAGTGATGTTGTTTGCGCTGAGAGCTTGGCGGCTGACAGCAATCTTGCAAAGCCCTCGCCCGAGGGGATCCTGTCGCTCTCTATCTTTTCCCACGGTAGCAACGAGCGATGTGCGCCTTGTAAAACACACAGTACTATCCGAGAAAGAGGACATCTGTTGAGAGCTATTAGCCCATAGGCTCTCCTAGGACCCCTGACCGAAAGGAAATTTTGTCTTGGTAGCTACATTTCTGACACACATTTGCATGTGGGCCAGCGCTTAGCACACCCGTCCGCCTGATGCCCACACCCTACTAGGGCAGCACTGTTGGGCCCCGAACATCCGTCTATAAGGAAATTAACTTGGAAGACCCACAGGAATGGTTTGTATGGTGCCAGTGATAATAGTGTGCGACCTTTGACGCACGCTGATGGACGTCGTAAGTGCAGTGGTTGTCTTGACCCACACAGCATCAACTTTGCATTCGTCGTCCTGAGACGAGCCTTCTCTGATCGCAACCCAAAGTCGCCAAACGAAGTCTTTGTTATCTGCCATAGGCCATCTGAACATCCTAGATGATATAGCTGTGAGTCGATATGGTTCTGGAAGCACGGCAAGGGCAAACAACCTCGCGGCTCCTGAAACGCTTCTGCATCTCATGCAGTCTTCTATATCTGATACAACAGCGCGGGTCCTCCCGATGGCTTTATGCTGCACCAGTTCTGGAGTCTCCATTCCTCTCTCCCTTTCGGACCAACCAGTTTGCAGGCAACGGTGGTGCAATCAAACTCTGGAGCATGGCATTTTCACGTGTGGAGTCGGGATTGTGGTCGCCTCCTTGGACTATCTGTAGACTTTGTATATAGACCTTGTAGGTGTGCATCCCTTCCCTTGCTTTTGTGCCTCCATTCTCTTGGTCGATTTTTCTTTCTATACAGCCTCTTTTGGCGTTCACGCCTTTCCGTTCATTCAGTCACTCCTTTGACATCTTGCACTGCTTTGATAGTAGTGTGCCGCTCCTTTTGCTTCACTCTCTTCACAAATCAACATTTCAAAGCGCTTGCGCGATTCGAAACAAATTCTCTCCTTTGAACACCAGCCTTTTCGTCAGGTTATCCAATCAGCCAAAGATGTTCTCCAAGTTCTGGACCGCTTTGGCACTCGTTGCTATCAATCTCCACCTTGTTGCCGCAAAGTCTGTTGTTGCGCATTTCATGCTGGACAACTCTTATGCCTACACTGTCGGACAATGGATGACTGACATGCAGACTGCTCAGCAGGCTGGCATTGATGGTTTCTCTCTCAACTGGATCCCTCCTGACTGCACCTCGCCTAGCCGCAAATGGCAGATTGACCGTATCGACGATGCTTTTGACGCTGCCGAGAAGACGGGCTTCAAGCTCATGTTCTCTTTCGACATGAGCTACACGACCTGCAACACTTTCTGGAACACGACTTTCATGACTGACATGATCACCAAACACGCTGGCAGCTCTGCTACTATGCGCTGGAACACCAACATCCTTGTCTCAACCTATGCCGGCGACAAGAATGATGCGTATGGAAACCAATTCTTCCAGGACCTCAAGGACTCTTGCAAGGGCGAGGGCCACCCCATCACTCTGGCTCCTGCTCTTGTTTCGTACGCACAAGCTGCTCAAACCAATGCTGAGAAGTCTGCCGCCAAGATGATGAATGACTACCCTGCCATCGACGGCTATTTCAACTGTGAGTAGTGTCACATATCTGCCTATCGACATTGACTAACCTTCTTATAGNGGCAAGCATGGCCTCTCATGGACTCCAATATGACTTGCACCGCCGACGAAGCATTCAAGGCTGCGCTCACCAAGAACGGAAAGACCGGTCCTTACATCATGGCCGTCTCCCCCTGGCAATACAAGGATCTCAACGACGGCGTCGCTTCCGACTCGTGGGTCGCCTACTCGGACACCCTCTTCGCTCAGCGTCTGCACAGCATCGCCAACAATGAATTCTCTCCCGACATCATTGAAGTGCTCACTTGGAACGACTTTTGCGAGTCTCATTATCTGCGCGATCTACCCAGCATGACCAATGTCAGTGCCACCGACTATGTCACTTACAGCAACGGCATGCAGAACTATGTTGAAGGCATGAACCACGCTCCATGGCGCGTCATGGCTAAGTACTACCTGAACTGGTGGAAGAACGGCAAGGCTCCTATTATCACCATGGATCAAGTCGTCTACTGGTACCGAGTACACCCCAAGGCTGCGGCATGTTACGGTGGCTCTTCCAGCGAGATCAAGAACCAAAACTACCCTACTGATGCAGTGTTCGCCTGGGCATTAGTCAAGGACAAGGCTACCGTCTCTATCAGCGTGGGCGCCAATAAGTACTGGGAATTTGAAGCCGATTCTTCTGGTCCTGCTCTCTCTATGGTTCCTTTCCCCGAGGATCTTGGTATTGGTGGTACTGCTCCTGAGGTCAGCATCAACAGAAACAACAAGGTTGTTCAGTACTCGAAGGGTAGCATGCCCATCACAGCTTCTTGTGTAAGTGATCTGTCCGTCTTTTGCTCACTCCCTACTGACGAACTATTCCTATAGAACTGGAGCAACTTCAATGCACACGTCGAACTCTGCGGCGAGGGTGTCAACAAAGGCTCTTCATCCTCTTCTTGATTCCACTACGAAAAAGACAACACGTTACAATTACATACACGCGAAAAAGAAAACCAGAGATTCTTCTGGGACAGAAATCGACATACAACGAAGATATGGAGGAAGGAAAAAGACATGACAAACTTTCAATTCTTGTTTGGGCAAGACTTCATATGACAAGGTGTGGATTGGAGTACGGATGGTCAGGATGGTAGGGGCATGGTTACGACGAGATTACTTTTCTTCTTCTGACTCTTTTTCCCTTTCTCCACAAAACGTATCATGGCTACTAGACGATGATCGACTTTTTGCAGCTTCTACATGAGCCCCTTCAAAGAACATGTGGTCAACTCCAGTTCCCTGATGTACCCCTGCCTTTTCGTCCCAGCGTGCTAAAGAGTATTACACAGTAGCTATAGAAATGCACAACATTTTCCAAAATAAGGTGTTGTCCAAGGAGAGCTATCATTTTGAGGCTGCTTCTGTGGCCTCACGTCTGATCCTATAAAACAACTGTGCATTTCTATAGCATACTGTAGCCCCATCTGCTGACCGGGAAGAGTGTCTTCCTTCTCGCCTGATCCATCTTTCTTCCGCACAGAGGACAGGCGCAAGGCCAATCTGGAACGCGACCAGAATGACAGAAGGTCGACTTGGCACAGTGTTTGCAACCTGTATATTTTGTATACAATTGTACAAGAGATGTTCAAGATGTTGCAAACTTTTAGTCCCTCTTGCCGCCAGCAGAGCCCAGTGCATAGCTGCTGGTACCCGCAGTGTATCCGTAACCACCCAACCTGCCACCCTCCATACCACCGGTCATCCTATCTTTTCCATGATTCCTAAGTCTTCTCGGAAGCTCGACACCTCGGAAGTAGACAATGCAGATGGCAGCTGCAGCGCCAGCGCTCAAGATGCAGTAGATCAAGGTACTGGCGTAGATGTGGCCGCCAACACCGGACCAGCCAGAGGGCAGCTGCTGGCCAGAGTACCAGCGGATGGAGAAGGTGAAGGGCAGAGCGTCGCCGATGACTATGCGGGTCGGCGGGCGAGTAGAGATGGAGTATGCGGTGGCAGCATCAATGACACCGGGCGAGACGGACTTGGGCGCGGCATGCAGCAACATGTTGAGATGCGACGAGACGTGCAGATGCGAGAGCTGCAAGGTGCCGGTCAAGGCAATGATGAGAGGAATGTATTCATCGCTGATACTGCCTTGGCCCTCGATCGAGGCATCTTCTTTCGGGGCTTTGTAGGATTCGGAAAAGGGACGAGTGGGGATGCGACAGGTCATGGGGGCGTCGTTGTGGACGTAGAATTCGAGGAGGTGGAACATGGGGTCCGAGATGAAGTCGATGGTGCAATTGATGTCCTTTTCGACACCAAAGTAGATTTCTAGCGGCCGTCCGGTCTCGTTGCATGTGGGAAATGGCACATATTGGAGTTGGCCTGAGGCATCCGTGACNCTGTCAGGCTATGTAAGTCGAACGTATCGTTTTCAGGTGCTTCTGTTCCTTACATGCTCGCCAGTATCGGATGTCCTGTTGACNTTGTATGTGTCAGTAAAGAGGGCATGGAGCAGATGATGAGCAGACATACGACACGTCACGGGGATAGCATCTCCTGCGCGATAGATGGGCCTCTCATCGACCAGGGGCTCCTGCGTCGCTGCTGTCGCGAGGGCAGTGAAGAAGACGAGGCACAGCTGCACCAGTAATGACATGCGCCCTGTCATGTTGGCCATGGCTAGTCTTGCAACTTGGAGTCTTCGAGCCTCCTCGAGTCGTTTGCCGCTGCTGCTGCTTCTCCTTGAAGCCACGCGAACAACAAACCACTTCCCCACAATTTCATCTGATGCAGCTTTGCCAATTTCTGATGCTCTTCAAAATACTGGAGTAGCACAAGATCAACCTGTCGCCATGTACATTGCTTCGAGATTGCGAAATACAATCAGCAAGCGTCTCTGCCATCAAGCTCCAGAAAGGACGCATTCATCAAATCTAGTGCACTGCCAAAGACGCCCATCGCGAATCTGAGTTCCTTCCTCTGCCTACCCATCGGAACAGCCCCTTTTGAGGCGAACCTTCTTCGCGGTTGTCGCTTCATCTGTCGCTTNCCGCCTAATTTTGACCTTGACAGTTTGAAAACACGAGGGTATGAGAGTGATNNTTGCTCCTTGCAAAGTTCGCCANNACTTCATTCCAGAAGTTGGTGCGAAACAAATAATTTCATCACGAGGCGTCCGGGTAATAGCAGTCACGAACCATATCCCCTGGTCGCCATACCTTCTCCAACGTCTGATTCCGTTTTCGGGGGAAACCTCCAAGGGCACGTCCGCCTTTTCGGCGACTGAAAGCTCTCGGAAGAACTGCAGCCTAGATTATGCACCAATAGCGGCAAAGGTTCATACAAAGCCGCTTGNCTGGAGCCCCAGACCCGCCCCCACNNTAGTGGGGGCGCTCTGACGGTAGATTGAGAGGTCGGCCATCAGACAAAACCTGTCCCATTTCCCACTGTTGGGCATCGTGTGCTCTCTGTTGATTCCTTCCTTCTTCTCCTGCTACCTGTCTATACTCTCCATATCACACATCATGGTTACCATCACCAAGGCCACGACGAGGGACGTCAGATTCCCTGTGAGTAAACATGTTTACCTATCTCCATGCTACATATATTGACCCGAGCCAATGTAGACGTCTCTTGACAAGACTGGCTCCGATGCTATGAACGCTGCTGGCGACTACTCGGCCGCATACTGTATCTTGCACACCGACTCGGACTTCTCCGGTCACGGCATGGTAAGTCATACCACACTTCCCCAGCTACCCCACACATCGTGTTGACCCCAGTTAGNNACCTTCACAATTGGTCGCGGCAACGAGATCGTTTGCCAGGCAATCTCTCTTCTTGCTGCCCGTGTCGAGGGAAAGAAGCTCGAGGACCTGGTCTCCAACTGGGGTCAGACTTGGAGATACCTTGTTTCGGACAGTCAGTTGAGATGGATTGGCCCTGAGAAGGGTGTTATCCACCTTGCTCTCGGTGCCGTCGTCAATGCCATCTGGGACCTGTGGGCAAAGACACTCAACAAGCCTGTCTGGAGAATCGTTGCTGAGATGTCTCCTGAGGAGTTCGTCTCTTGTATTGACTTCAGATACATCACCGATGCCATCACCAAAGAGGAGGCCATTGAGATGCTCAAGAAGGAGGAGCCTGGCAAGGCTGAGCGTATCAAGCACGCCGAGGCCAACAGAGCAGTCCCTGCCTACACAACCAGTGCCGGTTGGTTGGGCTACGGCAAGGACAAGATGAAGGGCCTGCTGCAAGAGACCCTCAACGCTGGCTACAAGCACTTCAAGCTCAAGGTTGGAACAAGTGTGGCCGAGGACAAGGAGAGACTCAGCATCGCCAGAGAGGTCATCGGTTACGACAGAGGCAACTTCCTCATGGTCGATGCCAACCAGGTCTGGTCCGTCCCAGAGGCCATCGAGTACATGAAGCAACTCGCCGAGTTCAAGCCCTGGTTCATCGAGGAGCCCACCAGCCCCGACGATGTCTTTGGCCACAAGGCCATCCGCGAAGCCCTCAAGCCCTACAACATTGGTGTTGCCACTGGTGAGATGTGCCAGAACCGTGTCATCTTCAAGCAGCTTCTGCAACAAGGTGCCATCGATGTCTGCCAGATCGATGCTTGCCGTATGGGAGGTGTCAACGAGGTCCTTGCTGTCCTCCTCATTGCAAAGAAGTTCGGCGTGCCGATTGTCCCTCACTCTGGTGGTGTCGGTCTTCCCGAGTACACTCAGCACTTGAGCACTATCGACTACGTTGTTGTCAGCGGTAAGCTCAGTGTTCTCGAGTACGTCGACCACTTGCACGAGCACTTCTTCAACCCTAGTGTCATCAAGGATGGTTACTACACCACTCCTACTGAGCCTGGATACAGTGTTGAGATGAAGCCTGAGAGTATGGACAAGTTCGAGTACCCTGGCAAGGACGGTGTCAGTTGGTGGAAGAGCGAGGAGGCCAGACCCATCCTCGAGGGTGAGAGGATATAAGATTTTCTTCTCCGTCTTGTGTATAGATCTCGTTATTAATGACATGTAATGGCAACTCCAAATAAACGGTTCAATGGTTCAATTGGTGCCAATGTTGAAGCGATTGGATGCTTTTTCCCGACAAGATGGGGCACCCTGTCTATGCTTTCTCTACGTACTTTCTCTACTCTGTAGCGCTCCATTGGCGCCGTCTTTGGTGACGGTTGCGTGATATGATCGAGTCATGATATGTTTGAGGTAGACCGAATGATCTTATGGCCTTTGGTTTGTCGCTTTCGCGTGTCTGTATGTCGCTTGATCTGTCCATTCTATTTAATGTAATCTACGCTGCCTTCGATTCCAAGCGTGTTCGAAAAGGGATATCAGGAGATATACTGCCAATGAGGTCAACTATTGATGATTAAAGCCCTGCGCTAGATACTTCAAAGTTCAATAGATGGCATGAGTATGATATAGATAAAACATTATTGTTCGTGATGTCGTGATATCGTCGACAACCTTTACAGCACTTGCTAGAGGTACCACCCTGTCTCTATCACAGAGTGGCCAGTACCCACGCGGTCTTCGGTGCTCTACCAATATCCCAGACAAGTAGTATGAACTGCCAGGGATATGGATGAGGCTGATGATGTCGTACAGCGTACATATATCCTTCATGCTTGCTCTTTGGCGATTCCAGCATAAGACGTGTCTATCGCTTCGTTCTTGCGTTGCTCCCAGCTCTTAATGACCTGGAACAAGTCCTCGCCCTCAGCCGTCCTCGAGTTCGCCATAGCAGTCGCAGGTGCCGGTCGATCGCAAGGTCCTGCGTTGGCCGCTACCGTGTTGCCTCGGAGTGACTGCGTTGTCTCCTCGCCTTGGTGTCCCTCTGACGGTGATGGCTGTGCTCCTATCGTAGCATCCCTTCGCGGCCGACCCTTTCGAGGCTTTGTACGTGCAAACACGATCAACTCTTCTATGCTTGTCTTGTCTACGCCGGCCTTGTGTGCGCGTGACGAGAGTTGGCGTATGGCGGTCTTGGAGACGCCTGTTTTGGCTTCCACGTCGCTATGTGAGGCTTTGTGAATGAGAAACATTATCAATGCGGCTGCGCGCTTTTCGTCGCTGTATTCGGATCCTCGTGGCATGTTATTTGTTGAGCTTGTTGTGGTTTCTTGAGGTCCGAGGGCTCGCGCTTCGAGTGATGCTCCAGCCATTGCTCTCGTCAATGGGGTTCAGGATTATATACAGTCTCGACCGCTAATGCTTCAACAATTGGGGTTGTGGTCTAGTGGTATGACATCTTCTTAGCATTGCTCTTTGAGCATTACTGAGTGGAGAAGGTTCTGGGTTCGATTCCCAGCTACTCCATTTTTGCTCTGGCCAAGCGGTCCAGGTACCTACGGCCTGTCCCGAATCCGACTTTTGACCTTTGCTTCTATCTGGTTTGCCTTCAATTGTGCTGCTTGCGCATCATGCAGACTGGTATGCGAATCCAATCATCTCGCCGATAGCAGGGTGGCTCACGGATCGGAAAGCGAAAACGAGATAAAGACCGACGATCATCGGCACTAAGGCGTGTGCGCATGCGGGGGAATTCGATTGGTCAGTGGCGATAAGTGCGATCAATGATGATGATGGCTTCTCCTTGTTTCCTGCCCCTCTTCGTCCTTCATTCACCTCACCCTCATTCATTGTCTTCCAGCTCTACTTAGCTCATCGGCGCGCTCTCTCCATGGCCATCTCGCACGACCCCATCACCGCAGCGCCCACCGGAATCGACATTGAGGCATGGACGGTCGAACAGGCAGCCGAGGCGCTGCAGGCAACATCCATCTCGACGCCGACCCCTCCTAGACCCCGCGCCAACGTCACGATTGAGATCCCGCTCGACGACGACGCCCTCGCTTCTGCTAATGCCATGGCCACCGCTCAGCCACGACCAAAGCAAGAGGTTCACACCGTGTACAAGAGGCAAGAGCCCGTCCGTCGCGACAGCTTGAAACGCCGCGAGGCCTTGCTCAAGGGCAAAGAGGGTAGCCGTCGCAGACAGCGATGGGAGAACGACCGTCTGCTTAGCAACCCCTATGCTCAGCCTCCCCTGCCTAGCGACTGGGAGGTCCGTCCTACATACCCTATCCACAGCGTCCCATACTTCCTGGCTCCGCTGTGGGATGCCGAGTACAAGGCCAAGGCGCAAACCAAGGTAAACACACGTCGCGCAAACAACGTTGGCGACACACGCGCACACGGGTCCAAGGAGGAACAAGCTGCGGCTCGAGTTCCGCGTGAGCTCCGCGAGAAGCTCAAGAAGAGTCGCGGTGCAAAGAACATGCTGCAAGATCTTGAAGAGGAGGTTAGAAGCTTTGTACAACAATGGTCTTCCAAGGAACGCCAGATGGCCGAGGATGGTCTGGTCGATGGTGATAGTGAGGACGAGGAGATCGTTTTCGTTGGCCGTAATGGTGCGATGAGCGACGACCGCAAGCGCTCAAAGAGCGTTGTCAGCGACGACAGCAGTACTGCGAGCATCAGCAGTGATGATTTAGCAAGAGAGCGGATGATCCTCGAGACTCTTGCTGACGATCGCAGCGCTGCATTCGGGTACGTATATGATCTAGCTCCCAGTAGCGACAGCCATTTGCTGACAGTCATTAGACGCTGGCTTGTACATTCTATCGCGACATACTACGGTCTAGAGACGTGGTCAGTTACGAAGGGCAGTCCCGCTCGCCGCGAGGCCTACATAGGCCTCAAGCACAAGGCTGCCCCAGCATTTTCTGAGCTACCACGACCTCTCTATGTTCTTGTCTAGACCTTTGATAGACTTCTATTTTTGTTCACTGTTCATATATCGACTACATCGGAATAGACATCCGTTTGCGGCTTTGCTTCGCGAAGAAGCGTTTGTTCAATTTTCTTCGACTTCGAATCTTCCTCCTTCGCTCGTTTGCCCCTTCATGGTGCTGTGTTTGTTCGCAAACCCGGTCGCAACATCACTGACTTTCACGTCTTTCGACAAGTCCTTCCATTCATTTCTGCGCTAGATCGCCCCTTCTTCGTTTTTTCCTTCTCACCCTCCACCGCTTATCTGTTTCCTTATGAGAGTATGGAAGGTATGGACTGACCAAGCCATCGCAGAACCACGACACAATGTGCAACTATTACTCTGCGTCAAAATCACGCTTATGTTACATACGGCCACAGTCAGCTGAAAACTGGGCATCCCGTCCGCTCTGCCATACATAAGCAGTTGAACGGCAGATTAGTACTACGGTGGGTGACCACGTGGGAATCCCTGCTGCTGTATGTTTTGCATTTTCTTTTGTAACTAGCTAATGCTGTAAAGCAGAGGATAACAAAACCTTCGTTTCGTCAACTCCTAATCTTGCTTTAATTTTGCCATCTCAGGACTGAAGCTCTCTACGTGCTCAGGTTGGATGCGGCGAGGGCGCTTTGCCTCCTTTGACTCCTGCAGTCCTTCAATGCTGCGCTTAACTGGTGTGACGTTGAATGACTTCGAGTCCACACTGTGGTTTTGGTACAGTTCTTGCAAGTCCTCCATCGCTGCTTCTTCGATGACCTCCAGCGCACTCAAGTACCTGGCATGGATCTTTTCCATTACTCCAGCGGCGGCCATCTTCTTCTGGGATGCCTTCTCCTCCAAGATGTTGACAACCCAGACTTTCTTACCATTGCACTCGCTGAGGTATGGGTCTCCGTATGGGTAGTAATCGACGCCGGAGTATGACTCGACATTCGGAATCTGTTCTCTTATCTTATCGAGGGACATTTTCTCATCGCCCAGGATGATGGCATATGATGCAGATGAGTCGTTGTCGTCCTCGACGTCGATGTATTCTTGATCCTTGCTTAGCTTGTCATCGGTGGTTTCGTACGCATCTCGAGCGTTCATGGCCTGGTAACATGTCAGTTACCATGAAACGAAGCTCTCGTCTGCTGGATGGTACGGACATAGTGAGTTATGATGCCATCCACCTTGCGGTTGAAGAAATTGACCACCTTGGCGTGATGTTCAGACTTCTTCACTGCCTCAATAATCTGGATGTCTGTGTAGACGGCCTTTCCATTGCCTTCATCGTCTTCATTGTCTTCGTCTTCGTCGTCTTCGTCTTCGTCGTCTTCGTCTTCGTCGTCTTCGTCTTCGTCGTCTTCGTCTTCGTCGTCTTCGTCTTCGTCGTCTTCGTCTTCGTCGTCTTCGTCTTCGTCGTCTTCGTCTTCGTCGTCTTCGTCTTCGTCGTCTTCGTCACCGCTGTGCTGCAGCTCTGGCTTCACAACGCCTTCACGATCTCCGAGCTGGTCCTCAAGTGTTTTGACGAGTTGGAACTCAGTTCCCTCGACTGGTCCTTCTGAATCATCCTTCCATGTGTCAGCGCGTGGTAACATTGGAGTGAAAGACGATGTGCACATGACCAAGAGCTGTGAGCGCTGCGATCTGATCCATCACGAAGACTTCTTTTGGCTATGATGTTGGTGTAGGAAGTCTGAATCAAGCTGTGACGTTGATGTGGGTAGTCTGAATGAGTTTGGTTGCTCTAACGTTGTGTGAAAGGGATGAAAGCAGACTCAATTAGACGGATAATGCGCATGAAAAGGTCTCAGTGAAACAAGTGAGCCACAGCAATCAGGACCTTCACTTTCAAGACTGTTTTATCATGCTCCAACTATAGCATAGAGCACAACATACACTATGAAAAGGCAGAAATGTTTTCAGAAGCAGAGCCGTTTCCGAAGAGGGGCGATGGATTGAGGCTTCTCAGTGGACACCGTTCTGTTTCCTAATAGTACTGTGCGTTTTTATAGTTACATATCATGTGCGTTCGCACACAGGGAGGGCGCCTTACTGCGACTGCACGGATGTCTGAGAAGGTAATTCGAGGACACATTGTTGAACCACTTCTCAGAACATGTTATAAGAGTGTGACGTCCATCTTTGATTATGTTTATCTGGACATCAACCGAGTTTTGAACAGCTCCCAGAACCTCAGGCAGGAACGATGCATGTTCGTGCCTTCCACCCAAAACTCGCCAAAGCTGTCTTCAACCGCGACGTCCACTTTAGCCACTCTCTCCTCTCGCTTCAATCCACACAGCGCACAGGCTTGCGTACTTGTAATAGCGCCCTCTGATCCCTTGGCCACGCGCACGGGAAGTGCATCTCCCAACTCTGGCACGGTGAGTTTGCTTCCGTGCACCGAAGCGCCTGTGACTGCCGTCTTGAGTCTGCCTGCTTGTTCGCGCCATACAGACAGCACAACCTGGGCTTCAGTGTCTTCACGCCCGGCTTCGGATTTGTCGAGGCCGGTGAGTTTCATGCCGCCACTGCGACCTGACATGGCTGGTCCGATACGCATGCTCTGGGCCAAGTGTTTGTCGCGCTTCCAGCGAGATTTGCGGCCAGCGATTATGTGGCCGAGAATGTGGGTGAGGGTTACGTAGGAGGCGAGGAAGGTTTTTGTCCCTGTTAGGGAGAGGAAGTGAGATTTCTGGGATGATGGGAGACTGCTTAGGGGATGCAGGAACTGGTGGGCTAAAGAGGTCAGGACAGGTGGGAAGATTGTCAAGAGAACCGAGGGAGGTGGGATGTTGGATGGGGCCACGCCCGTGGTTGTAGGCAGAGCAGTAAGATCTCCCAAGACGTCTTCCGGTAATCGGATCTGTGGAGCTTCTTCTGGTGTACTGGTTTGCGGTGATGGTTGTGAAGGTTGTGAGATCTCGAAGTCGTCCCAAGCATCGTCGTTGGATAACATGGACTCTTGACGAGGTATAGCTGTGGGGCGCGTGGTTGGAGCCCTGGGAGTCGGGATTGCCGCCTTTTGTGTCCTTGCCGGGCCTGACGATTGGGTTGTCCTACTTGTTGTCTCCGCTGGGTCATCCAGACCTAGCAAATCCATAGTGGTTGAGGGCGGTGGCCTGGCCGTTCTCAATTGGGTCGTTGCTATCGATGGCTTTGGTGCCTTGCTGCTGACAGCCGGCGTCTCGCTCGTCTCAAAATCTCCAAAATCGTCATCATCGCCCCACGAGCCAACGACATCTGCATCTTCAAACTCGTCGTACTCGTCTGCATCGAACAGAACATCTGCAAGTCCCGCGAAAGGATGATTGCTTTTTAATTGACTGGCCTTGGTGGCTTTCTTCAAGATGACTGGCGGACCTGAACTCTTCTTTGCTGGCGGTGGGGCAGGTTTTGGAGCAGGCTTTGGATCAGACTTGACCTCTTCCACAGGTGGTGCAGGAGTCTTTGGCTGAGATGTCTGGATATTCTGCTGTGGTTCTGGCTCTGGCTCCTCGAAATCGCCAAAATCATCATCGTCATCATCCCATGGATTATCATCCGGATTTGGTGGTTGAGTACTGTAAACTTGTGTTTGGTGTGTATTCGAAGTGTAGTTTGACTGCAAAGGAGAAGCTTGTGTTTGGGTCGAGGTATAGTTTTGAGTGGTATCATCTTTAAGGGTGAAATCCCCGAATTCGGCCAATAGATCTTGAGACATGGCGAGGAGGTTTGTTACAGCCCTATCGACAAGGCCGTTCGGCAGTTGCCTTTTAATCAATCGCTGCTTCCGAAGGTGTCAAAAATTGTAATGTTCTTTATGTTCGGAAGTGCCTCGTGGTTATTCGGCGCTTGTGTCTGTCTCGAAAATGTTTGACTTGTTTGCTTGTGACGTCGGCCCACCTTCAACGGTCATGCCTGAGTTGGTTCCCTATCTGTAAACAACAATACCAGAGTCGTTAGGATAGGCATCTTCGAAGTATGCGGTCCCTCGCTGAAGCAAAAGAGCCATGGCAAACTCTACAAACATACAAATCTCTGGCCGATCTGAAGGAAGCTATCCGTGACGAGAATGAGCCCGACTCACTGACCAAGTCCAGATCGCTTCTCTGGAAGGTCAGGATTATCATGTTATCTACAAATCTCCTAAGCTGATAGCTCGAGCAGATTTTTCTCTTGTTTGAAGGGTTCGACCATTCACAATGGGTTCAACGATCAGCAGATTCACGCTCGGCATATGCTTCAGTACGCTCACATCTATTGCGAGGGCTCGAACACCCTGAAGAAGTCTTGGGTTCGAACTTGGATCCACTGAGTGAAGATTCTGAGGTATACACATCACAATCAAGAATGATAAACATTTCCATCTCACTGATAGCTAAGTCTTGAAAGTCTCCTTGGGCCGTCTTACGACAAGATGAAGCATTGCGTGCCGAGATTATGCAAGATGTCGACCGATGCATGCCGGACAACATTTACTTTCGTCAATCACAAACTCAGACCATGTTGTTGGACGTCTTGTTTGTGTTTTGCAAGTTGAATCCAGACGTTGGCTACAGACAGGGCATGCACGAGCTGTTAGCTCCCATTCTATGGGTCGTGGAGAAAGATGCAGTGTCGAGTAAGGCCACAGACGACTCTAGTCCAGAGGACAAGTTCTTGTGCCATATCTTTGATTCTGACTTTGTTGAGCATGACACCTTCACCCTGTTTGGTATTGTCATGCAGGGAGCCAAGTCCTTCTACGAGCAAGCAGCACATACTGCACCTTCAAAGCTTACTGCTACCCCGACCAAGCCTGCAGCAACACTAGAAAATCCAATTCTTACTCGGATACACAGAATCTTCGACGAGTTCTTACCTCACGTAGATCCAACACTTGCACAGCACCTGCAGGAGATCGATCTAATACCTCAGGTCTTCCTCATGTCAGTAATCAGTAATCGATAACCACAGTGGAACATTTGGCTAACATGTTACAGGCGATGGATCCGATTGTTGCTCGGTCGAGAATTTGGTTTCGACGATGTCTTGAGCATGTGGGATGCCATATTTGCTGATGACCCAAGCCTCGAGATCGTAGACCTCGTTTGCCTGAACATGCTTTTGAGATTACATTGGGACCGTAAGCAGACATCCTGCAGTAAACCTTGTTGCATTGCACAAGCAAACTAACCGCTGACAGTGATGGATGCTGATTACAATACGGCACTCACACTTCTGCTTAGATATCCCGCCCTCGAGGACGGGAAGACTCCACAAGAGTTTGTGACAAACGCAGTGTACCTGAGGAACAACTTCAACCACGCTGGTGCAAGCAGCCTGGTCGAGAAGTACTCAGGAAGACCTCTGCCAGAACCAACGGAGACTCCCACGAACACGCTACAGCCTTCCATGCCCGGAAAACTGCGAATGCAGATGCCTGGCCGAGCATCAAGCAATTTCGAAGACATGCTCCAAGGGGCCGCAAAAGGCGTGCTACAACGAGGCGAAAAATGGGGCATTAACAAAGCCTTCCGAGACGCCATGGATGAGGTACGCAAAGGTGTGAGAGAAATTCAGGCAGCTCAGACTCCACAAGCACCATCGAGACATACACGCGGGTTGTCTAGACAGAGCGGGACATCGGATAGATCAAGCAACCCAGGCCTACAACTCACTGTCCTGGAACAACGCAACACGGCGCTGTCGAAGATGCTCAAGAAAGCCATCGACGAGCTCTGGACATATCACGAGACTGCTGTGGGAGGCAAGGCTTCGGAAGAGGACTCGTTAAAGGGCTTGAGTATGGCAATTGCCAAGGTGCAATTTGTACAAGTATATCTCGAGGACGCGTCGGTGCCCTTGTCCGCAGAAGAAGATGTCACCGAGACAAGCAAAGAAGAAGCTATCGAGGTCACAGAAGTTCTACCACAGGTCAAAGAACCGGCGAGTGCTCATGGCGACAACAAGCCAGCCGCTCAAGATACAGAAGAGCCGAGAGATACAAAGGCAATCGTTGAAGCTACCAAAGAGTCTGTCGATGCGCCGAAGCAAGAGATTGAAGATGCTGCACCAGCAAAGACCACGAAAACAGCCGATGTGCCGCTCGACTTTCACACCCCAAGGCCTACACTAGCGCAATCGTCGTTTTCGTGGATGCTAGGACAATCTCCAGAGACGAGCGCCAGCAACTTTGCTCAAGCGAAAGGGCTTGCACCGTCAGACATTCGACGCCGAAGCAAGGGCTTCTTATTCGGCGATGAGGATGACACGAGAGCTGGAAGCCCAGAGAAGAAGAAAGACAGCAAGAGAGGAAAGGATAGGAAGAAGCAGGTCAAGAAAGAGGTACTTNTTGAGCAGGAGCCTGTGGAGGAAGAATTCGACCTCGGTGCTCTGGAAGAAGAGAAGAAGGCAGGGAAGGAGAAAGCTGACGGTGTCAAGAGCAAATAGGAAACGAATACGACGATGGTTGGAATCAAATCATGTCTTTTCATTATGCTTCAACTCGTAAGGTGTTGTGTAAGGATGCTCGAAGGCCCAAGTGCGGTACGCTGCTCTAGCCTCGGTACACCAGTGGCGCGATACATTTTAACTGGTATGTGGTTGCACGAGGCTTCTTCTTCCTCTAGTTCTTCTTGGGGGCCTTCTTCTGAGCCTCCAGATACTCACCCCAGCCAGGGCCAGTGAGCTTAGGCAGGAACTTTCCAACTCTCTGTTGATAGATCTTGTACTCTGGGTATTTCTCGGCGCTCAACTTCTCGGTAAGCCAAGTGCTGGACTGGAAGAGAATCAAGTATGACATGGCGCCAATACCGGTCCAGTTGTACAACGAAGATGTCTCGACACAGGACCATTGGTACAAGGTGACCCAAACGAGTTGCTCGCCGAGGAAGTTGGGGTGTCTGGAGTAGCGGAAGAGACCGGTGGTGTTGAAGCCTGGCTCGAGATCCTCGCGGGTCCAACCAGCAGGAACCTTGGCTGTCTTCTGGTAGGCATGCTTAGCCTTGTGGAAGTTCCACTGCGAACCGTCGGCAAAGAACTCGAGGACGACGAGGGCCAGGAGACCACGAGCGAAGAGGATGTCGGTGGTGTTCATGTTCTGGCCAGAGAGACGCGAGGCAAGCATGAGGATGTAGGTGGGAGTGGTGACCATGAAGAGCAGAACACTCTGGGCGATGCAAATGAACAGGATGTTGAAAATGAAGAAGAGCGGACGGTTGACCCAGCTGCGTACTGTTTCCCATCGGTAATCCTCTGAGCCAACACTATAACCACCTCTACGCCAGTAGTTGAAGGTCAGACGGATGGACCAGCAGACGCTAAAGGCCAAAACGTTGTCGAGTCTCTGGGTGGGCAGACCATTCATGCGAGCCCAGACGTTGTAATGAACGTTGTAGACGGTAGGCAGCAAGCTCCAGCAGCGGTCGACCTGCGAGTAGTTCTTGTTGATCTCGGACACAATCAGGAAGATGGGGGTGATTGCCAGAGCAAAGGCGAAGCCCGAGATTAGCGGGTTGGTGGTCAGGTACAAATGCTTGAGAGCTTGCGTGTCGGCGCCTGCTTGGAGGATCTGCTGAGGGAGAACATAGAGCTGGTCGACGAAAGGAAGAACGGTCTTGCCGAAGTCTACGGTATCGGCGAGCGTCTTGACAAGAGGCAGCGCCGTGCCAACTGGTTGAGGAAGCAGCATGGCGTTATTTTGAGACAAGGTCAATCTGGTGTGATTGAAAGGTGTGAACGTGGATTCGACGCGTGAGAGCGAACTTGGAAGCTCAAAGCAGCAGATCTGGAAACCGCGATCGACGACAACATCAAGTCGTCATCGCCAAGCATCAGACCGGGGTCAAAGGGTCCACCATCATGTCCCGATCAGGCAGCGGCGCGTCTTCCGCCTTCTCCACGCGTTCTGGCTTTTGCTGCAACTCGACGACTCGACCATTCGCAGCCGGTTCGCAACACAATGGTCTGATTAAGTCGACAGTGCCCGCAGAGATGGTGACCAAAGTTCTCTGTGTGGCGGAAAAGCCTTCAATCGCCAAAGCTGTCGCTGGTCATCTCTCCGGCGGTTCACATCGAGTTGTAAGCTTCCTACCTATTCCGCCACTTCATATATTCATTCTTTTTGTCAACACGTTCGTGAACACATGTTAATTCAGGTTGCAGTCCAACACACGTACGCCATGGCTCAAAAACTACAACTTCTCATACAACTTTCCCAACTGGGGCGCCTGCGATGTAATCATGACGAGTGTAGCCGGCCATCTACAAAGTACGGATTTCGTGTCTGATTTCAAAGGCTGGAAGTCTTGTGATCCGGAGCGCCTTNTTGACGCTCCCTTGGTGACTTACGTCGAAGATGACAAANAAGGCATTGCTGCGAATATCGAGACACAGGCTCGCAACGTACAGATTCTCTTCATCTGGACCGATTGCGATAGAGAAGGCGAACACATCGGCAGCGAAATCAGAGAAGTTGCTCTTAGCGCCAACCCTCGCCTTAGACAGCCTGGAAAGATTGTTCGAGCCAGGTTCTCCAACATTGAAAGAGCCCATATCATACAGGCCGCTCGCAATCCCATCGCCCTCGATGAAAACTCGGCCAATGCTGTCGCTGCCAGAATCGAGCTCGATCTTCGTATTGGTGCCAGTTTCACGCGCTGGCAAACGCTGGAAATTGCCGAGTACCTCAGATCTCGCGGTGTCTTTTCTCATGATGAANAANAAATTCTTAGCTATGGCGGCTGTCAATTTCCTACCCTCGGTTTCGTTGTCGACAGGTATTTCATGGTCAAGAATTTTATTCCCGAGCCCTATTGGGCAATAAAAGTTACCCACATCAAGGACGACATCACCGTCAACTTCAGATGGGCTCGTATCAATCTCTTCGATCGAATGGCTGTGATCATATTGTTCGAAAGATGTCTGACTGCCAGACATGCCAAAGTCATCAAAGTTCAGACCAAGCCTGCCAGCAAATGGAAGCCATTGCCACTTACGACGGTTGAGCTGCAGAAGATGGGTAGCAGATTTCTGCGCATGGACAGTCAAAGAGTCATGAGAGTTGCAGAGGATCTTTACAACAGAGGCTTTATCAGTTACCCCAGAACCGAGACGGACCAATTCGACAAAGGAATGGACCTCAGAGCATTGGTCCAGAAGCAAACACAATCACAAACCTGGGGCCCGTTCGCTCAGAAGTATGGGTTCCATAGCTCTCCCGAGTTCGCTCTATGCTAACACATTGCANGTCTTATCAACGGAGGCTTCAATCAGCCAAGACAAGGCCGCAACAACGACAAGGCTCATCCGCCAATTCACCCGGTTAACTTTGTCACACCGAATGCTCTGAGCAACCAAGACGAGCGCAAAGTGTATGAGTTTGTGGTCAGGAGGTTCCTTGCCTGCTGTAGTGAAGACGCCAAAGGCTCACGCGATGAGGTTGGGATCTCGTATGGATCCGAGTTCTTCAATGCCTCTGGATTGTCAGTACTCGCGAGGAACTACCTAGACGTTTACCCCTACGACAAGTGGACTAGCACGCAACAACTTCCACAATTTCAGGTTGGAGAAACATTCGAGCCGACCGAGGCCAGGATGACTGAGGGCAAGACAAGCCCACCCGGGTTCCTGACCGAGCCCGATCTCATTGCACTTATGGATGCGAATGGCATTGGTACTGACGCCACTATGGCCGAGCACATTGCCAGAGTCAAAGAACGCGAGTATGTCATGACACGGCCTCGGGCTCAGAGAGCTCCCACGGAAGGTGAGGACGGAAGGGAAGAAGGTGAAGCACCACCCGTCCAGGAAGACGCTGATGATGATGGTGGAGGCCGAGGCGGAGGTAGAGGACGTGGCCGAGGCAGGGGAAGAGGTGGCCGAGGCGGCCGAGGTGGTGGTGCAGGTGGGCGTGGTGGAGGCCAGCAAGGTGGTGTGCAGGAGTTCATTCCGACGACTTTGGGTGTGGCTCTCGTGAAGGGCTACGAGGACATGGGCTTCGAGATGAACTTGAGCAAGCCCTTTCTCAGAAAAGAGGTAAGTCTACATGAGTCAGCTATTGGGTCGTCATGGCTAACACTCCCGACAGNNATGGAGAACAAGATGAGAGCGATTTGCGCAGGCACTACAACAAGAGGCGATGTCGTGCACGAGAGCTTGGACATGTATAGAGATGTCTATATCAGGACCAGGCGGGGCGTCAACATCTTGAAAGCAGTGAGTAGTCTGACAAAACAAGCAAAAGCGGACAGCTGCTAACAGACGTTGGAACAGTCGGTTGACAGATATGTGCCGGGTGCAAGAGGCAATAGGTGATGGGGCTCGCTTAGAGGAATACGCGGGAGGAACAAGCAAATGCAGTCGCAGGCAACGATACAAGAGATAGCGCACTGCATCTGAAAGATTGCTTTTGTGAGGTTACCTACTGGAGACAATGGAATGATGCTTTGTCTTGACGATCAGAATGTTACTGCATGTGATGGATAATACCGACTTTGAGAGGCCTCGTCGGCGTACTCTTTAGGACAATGGATTTGTCACAGTGAAAGATTCGGGTAGGACTCTTCTGCAACCTCGGTCCGTGAGATGTATCTCGGCCGGAGGATGGTAGGGATCAGTTACGGGGAGCAAAACCATGACAATTCAGGATACGAGCGGACGGCTAAAGGGGCCCAGGCAGGACATGCGGCAACAATGGTCTAAGGCTAGATAGAGTGTGCGGACGTGAGACAGAGGGCGCGTGGTGATCACGGGCGGTTTCGAGACCGTTTGAGAGCCGGGACGTTTACGTTTTTGCAAGAGATCCCCCACACGAAAGGGGAAAGAAGGGTCAGTTGGTTGTGTTGTTGGTGCAGACACGTCGTCGACGACCTGTTCATCGGATGTAAAGACTGGCATCCTCTTCCCCTCATTATTTCTTCTGACAGGCCCCGTCGAGCACGCATCATCGTTGTTGGCTTTGGGCGTCTCGGATTAGGCTGCATCTGGCATTGATTCATCCGAGATTTCGACTCTGGACCGCAGCCACGACCGCCCACCTTTTGTGCACGAGCCCGCAGGTCTTACTGCTCTCTGTTGTTGACCCTCTGCTGCCTTGTCGACGTGCATTCGCGGTAAAGGACGTACCATCGTCAAGTCGTCGACTCTCTGCCAATCTCCCGGTCGAGTTGTTGGGGTGGCGGCTCGAGCATGAGTTCGCCGGTATGCAACAATCATGGCAAGTGTGTCGGATGAAAACTCTCGGATGCGCCATCTGACCGCGCCAAAGGCTTCCAACCATCGCCCAAGCAACATGACGAAGAGCTGCGTATCTTGTCGCGCATCCAGAGCACGGGTAGCCTCTTGTCTCTGCCCGCTCGCGGCTCCATATCCGCCGAGGCCCAGCGTCCGAGAATGTCTTTTGACGCAGCAGCCCTCGAGGCCGCTGACCTGCGCAGCATGACCAGGTCAGACTCTGCACACGCACATGGCAAACATGCACGCGCTGACCATGAANCAAGGTCACCTACCCTGCCCGAACGTGAGAGCGGCCTGCGTCGCATCAGACAGGCCCATCATCGCCAACCCACCTCGCCCCAGCTCCAACAAACCTCGCGTTCACCCTCGCTCAACATCAACATACCCTCACAGCCCGTGTCCGCCTCCCTGCCCTCGGGCCCTTCGTCGCCTGTCCTGCCCTTTGGCGAGGACCTCAGTCGCTTCCCATCCGAGTCCTTGCATTCCTTCTCCTTCGCACACCAGTCCGAGACGTCGATACACAACCGGCAGATGATTTTGAAGAGGTCGGTGGATTTCATGAAAGACAGGCCGGGGTGGGGCTCTGCGAATCCTGCAATCCTGAACGCACAAGCAAAAATCGCTGGAGATCAGGAAGCACAGAGCATGATGGAACTGCTCCAGCGCGCAAACCTCTTAGGCGACGGCAACACCTTGCAAGCCCCGGGCTTGGGTATTATGGGTGCTCCGCTCAGCGGTCCAGCCGACCCTTCGGCAGAGAACCTCTTCGAGAAGAGCTTTGCGCCGCTTAGCGAGAGCCCCAAGAACTTTGATGATGACTTGCTCATGTCGCCCACCTCTCCCAAATCCATCAAGTCATCCGAAGAGAAAGAACTACTGCAGCTCGAACCCAAGCGCATCTCGCTCAAGCGCACCTACACTGACACAAGCGGCCTGAGCCTGCAGCATCGTCTTGCAGACGCGCTGGCCACACCCTACCACGCCGCTGATGTGCCGCGCCGTGCAGAGGCTCTCACTCCTAGCCACATCCCTTCAGCGTTGCAGACGTCAAAGTCGACCACCTCACTTGCTGGATCCGCCTCTCACGGTCATGGTCATGGCCATGGCAGGCAATCTGCCGCTGCCCAGGCCATTTTCACCACTGATGCACGCGCTCCTTGGACCATCACCGCTGCAAATGATCTGGCCTGTCTTGTATTCGGTGTCACCCGTGCCGAAGTGCGCAAGATGGGCATCATGGAAGTCATTCGCCCCGAGCGCCGCAAATGGCTCGAGAACAAATTAAGACAACCCGACTCGGATCTGTACACCCAGAACAAGTCTCCTAATCATAGCCCATCATCTTCAGCTTTGGCAAAAGGCAGTGGCGTAACGGCCAAGCTCTTGAGCAAACCTCCTGCCCGCCAGACTTACCAAAGCAGACGCTCAAAGACCGTAAACGGCATCGATTCGGAATCAACCACGCGCCGTGCCGTCTCCAACCCTTCGCAAAAATCACGCGGTGTGCTACTGTGTGGTGATGTCGTCCCTATCCAGAAGCGCAATGGTGATATCGGATCTGCCAGTTTGTGGGTCAAGGAGAAACAGGGCGGCTTGATTTGGGTGCTCGAAGAGATTGCCGAGGATGTTGCTTACATCACAGTCGACGAAATTGGCTGCATCGAAAAAGGTGTTGGTGCATTAGATTCCATCTGGGGTATCGAGAGAGTGCGTAGGGGCACAGATATCAGGAAACTGGTTCCCGAATTACCAAAGCTGGCCGGTACGAATACTGGCATGCTAGATTTCGATCAGATCGCTTCGCTACGCCGTTACACTGCTCGGACAGCAAACAGCATCAGCGTCCCCATCACAGTCGATCAACTCTCTGGTCAACCGACCTTGCGCATTTCCAGCTTTCCTCATATTGCTGGTATCCTTGTCCTGAATCCGGACACACTCGAGATCGCCAGCTCCAACAATGTCTTTTCCGCTTCTCTCTTCGGCCATGATGCCNCTGACGGCCTTCCGATTACTGACCTGATACCTTATTTCGACAGCATACTGCATTTGTTGACCGACGAAGACAAGATTCGCTTGGTTGACGGTCTTGTCATTCCAGAGCACAGTTTCAGAAAAGCCCGCGCTCTGCTTGCCCTTCGTGAAGGCCGTGCAGATGCCGCGTCCATATTCCTCAAGCCCAGTGGCTTACCCGCGAAACACAGAGACGGCTCAGACATCATGATTGATGTCCAGATGCGTGTCGTCAAGAGCGATCGTCATAGTTTCGACAGCATTCCGGAGCACCATCGTTTAGACCCGGACTTGTTGCCTGCGTCCGAGGTTGTTTACGCTTTATGGATCACATACTCGAGACAACTTCATGCAGTCAACCACGGTGTTGGTCCTGTTATTCCGGTGGTATCCAGACCAGTCACTCCTCCACAACAGCCGGTACCTGTATCCTCGAGTTCGAGTGGGGATCAGGACAGCGAAGACTCCAGCAGCGACAAAAGCAGTGTGACCAAGACAAAGGTCGATACTCCTTCACTCATAACACAGCAGCTACAACATTCACCAACCCAATCACATTCCTCAGGAACGCAATTGCTCACGAGCGAACCCTTCGAACATCCATCACCTGCTGCTGTTGAGGCCGGTGCAACTACCATAAAGAAGAAGAGCATCGCTGATTTCCTCATCCTTGAGGAAATGGGCCAAGGAGCATACGGCCAGGTCAAGCTTGCGAGATATAAGAAAGCAAATGCGCAGAAGATGTGCATCAAATACGTTACCAAACGGCGCATTCTGGTAGACACGTGGACCAGAGACCGACGTCTCGGTACGGTACCATTGGAGATTCACGTTCTGGACTATCTACGACGAGACGATTTGCAGCACCCGAACATTGTTGAGATGGCCGACTTCTTCGAGGACGACATTAACTACTACATCGAGATGATTCCGCATGGTCTGCCGGGTATGGACTTGTTTGACTACATCGAACTTCGTGTGAACATGGAGGAAAAGGAGTGCCGAAAGATCTTCGTCCAGGTCGCCAATGCTTTGCACCACTTGCACATCAAAGCCAAGGTCGTGCATCGAGACATCAAGGACGAAAACGTCATTCTCGATGGAGATGGTGCGGTCAAGCTTGTCGACTTCGGCAGTGCAGCGTACATCAAATCAGGTCCCTTTGATGTGTTTGTCGGCACTATCGACTACGCAGCACCCGAAGTTCTGCGTGGCAGTCCTTACCGAGGCAAAGAGCAAGATGTATGGGCACTCGGTATCCTGTTATACACAATCGTGTACAAGGAGAATCCCTTCTATAGCATCGACGAGATCATGGACCACGACCTACGAGTGCCGTACATCATGAGCGAAGACTGCATCGACCTCATCCGCAAGATGCTGGACCGCGACGTCGAGAGACGTATCGGCATCCAAGCTGTTCTCGACCACCCATGGTGCACATACGTCGACCCCGAAGATGACTAAACAACAAGCGACATCTGTGTTGCCCCCATTTTCTTTTACTCCGTTTCTCGTTCTTTTGTTGTTGTTTTATTGATATCTCCCATGATTCCCTTATTGCTTTCTTTTTTCTTAGGTTTGGAAGTACTGTTTTTTCTTTTTCGACCGTCGCTTGCAAATACGAAATCCCTGAATACCACACATCGAACGACGGGCAGACTGATGAAAGCAAACGCAGTGAGCGGAGGGCTAGGAAGAGGAGAGAGGATGGACGGAATGTGATACAGTGGAGGAAAGCACACAAGAAGACATATAAAATGCCGGACACAAAGCAATGCATAGGAGGGAAAGCTCTTTCTCCTCCATTTTTTGATTTGGTGTCCTTTTCTTGATACACTATCATCTTATCGACCTTTCTCTATTTTTGAGCCGTGAAGTAGTATCAGGTGTGCCATTACTGTTTCTGTGGCTTGTTGTTCCTTTCCTCTAGTGCTCAGCTCATCGATCCCCAACTCGCTCCTTTCCCTTGGTTCATGCTCGGCTGTGCTTTTTGATGCTCGAACACCCTTTCCCAAAATGTGCCCTGTTGGTCTTTGTTGGCAAATCTGTCTTGACGACACTTTTCAACCGTTCTTCGCGCCATCAATCGACATCTCTGCGTTGTCTTCCTCGTCGGCGACCTCGCCTTCGGGTTCAGCCTTCCACTCGCCGACCTCTGCGATCTTTTCGGGGATGATGCGCTTGGTGGGTTTCTTTGAAGTGATCTCGTTCTTCGTGGCGTGCTCTTGGGTTGCGAGATGAGAGATGGGTGGGTTGGAGATGTTGCGGGTTGAGGTAGTTCCTGTTTTTGGCAACTTGTTAGTGGGATTGTGGTGGTTGAGGTGTGTTGAGTGGGTTTACGTACCGTGGGTGTTGGTTGATGATGCTTCCATGGTGTTTGAGGACATGGTTGTGGTTGATGAGGTGGTGTGAGGAGTGGATGTTGGAGCGAAGATGAGGAAGGAAGATTGAGGTCGGATTTTGACTTGAAGAAGTGGTGTAATACGCGAGTTAATCTGGAAGTGAGAGAGTGATAGGGTGAAAATGGACGGAGGTTTAATTTGGTGACTATCTGCTTTTGGCTTTGTTCGTGAGTATCTTTACTACAATGCTTACTTCTTCGCTATGTCTAGCTTATCACTTCTTTGAGTTTATGGCCTTGGTTGTGTTGCGGAAGGCTTTCTAGATACTTCGAGAGTTCTTCACTTTCTCCTTTGTGATTGCAGCATGTGTGTGGTTAGCGGGTATGCTATCTTTGATCTTGCAGACCTAGTCTTCTCTTTTGCTTCACTCCATCGTGTATTGAGGACCATGTCTGAAGCTTCTGATGACTGTGCCAACGTTGCTTTGAGCCAAAATCTGTTCTGCTCTTGACTTTGAGTGACGGACCATCAAGCATTCTCTTGTTTTGATATGCAGCATTTTGTGGCTTGGCACGTTTCTTTGATGCCGAACCAGAAGGATTACTCATTTTATGTTGACATTGGCTTCTGGTCCGCCTGATCTTTCTTGCCGTCTTGCTGCTTCCTTGGCTTGTTGACTTTCTTTGGTTTGGTCCATGACTCTGGGGCTTCTTTCAGGACAACACCATTCTCAACCAGAACTCCTTGTCCACCAGTGCGATCTTCGGCTCTGCTGAAGAACTGCAGACCGATCACGCCCTTGTCGTCTCCTTCACTCAGAATGACACCGTTCTCAGACTTCCAGAACTTGATTCCGGCTTCCATGGCTTTNTTGATATCCACATAGACTAGAATCGAAGATGAGTTGCGCATGCCAGAGATAACGGGTGCGTTGCTTGCGTCCTTGTCCTCGGACTTGAAGCCGGCGGGNAGGCCAGAGGCAAAATGAACATGAGTGCGCGCCATCTTCTTGAGACCGCCAGTGGCCACAATCTGAGGCCATGCGGCATGAGTGGTTCCGTGCACAACCGTGGAAGGAAGATTCTCCTCGGTGATGGGAGTAAGGAGATTCTCAGATGCAATCTCCAAGGAATGTCCTTGATTTGCACGGATCAGGTAGTCGGCAGGATCATCAGACTCTGGAAGTTGACTGGGAATATCTGAAGTTGTGGATGTTGCTGCATCGTCGGCTGGAACGCTTGTTGCTGAAGTAGCGGCGGATTTGTAAATTAGAGAGAAGCGTTGTTTGTCGTTCTCCGCGACGATTTGCTTGACCTCGTCAAGAGTAGCTTTGAGACCGCGAACCTTTTGGTTATTCAACTGTATAGCGTCAGAGTCAGAGCATGGGAAGGAATGTAAGCAGGTGAGATTGATAGCAGCTCGGGAACGAGCGAGCATGTAGTAAATTTTGGGAAATTCAAGACAGATATCATGGAGGCGACCTACCACGTCTTTGAGGTTGATATAACCTGCTGCATCTAATTGGAGACCTTCCTTTTCAGCACTGTGACGAAGCAGTTTGCTCAGTGCCTTTGAGACTTGGACTTCTCGAGGCATAGGGCCACCGCGACCACGTCCACCAGGCATCTTGAGCAGTTTGCGGAGAATGACTTGTTGGTCTGAGTGATTGTTCCAAGGGCCTTGGTGAAGTAAACGCTGTGTGTATTGTGTCCAGAATGCCTGAGCAAGACTGACGTTCAAAAATTGTCAACCAAAAGTTGACTGAGATTCAGAACGTCGCATGAAAGCAACGAGTTGAGAACTTGTTGGGAAGGGAATCTTCACTCCTCTTCTCTATAGAGCAGATCAACATCCGTTAATTAAACCGAAGTACGACTACCTTAACAAGATCTGGCCGCTCTCCACCTGTCTCCCGGCTCAGAAATTTGCAGCATCGTTTTTGTGCAGCAACCAGGTCATGGAGGGCTTTGGAACCGACTGCACGATGACGAGATTAGCTTGGCAAGACGTCTTGCAGTGGTCGTCAGGATACAACGTCCCATCACACAAACACGACACACCTAGACAAATATGCCTGTCGAACTAAGCTCTGTACCGATCAGCGTTCGAGGCCGCTATTTCTGGAGAGGGGATGAGAGAGTAAGTCCACTTGGGATGCAGCTTCGATGGAACTTCTAATCCTAAACAAGTCCTNTCGTTCGAGGAGTCGTCTATCAACCTTGGGAAAACGATAGGCAACCCGAATCCATTAATGATCCCATCTCAGATGACCGTATACTTAAGCTTCAACAAAATGTTGTGTTGTTCAAAGAACTTGGAGTAAACACTCTGTATATCTGTTCGTTGTTTACAACAAGCTTTATGTTTATAACTAAATCATCTAGACTCCNNATCAACAACGAAAAGCGGCATGATAAAGCAATGCAGTTACTAAAGGAAGCAGGCGTTTATGTTGTCGCGGTTCGCACGGCATTATCCCCATCTGTAGAAGCTCGAACTAACACATAACTAACAGTGTNNGTTACCAGTCCGACTCGCTCCATTGATCGACTAGCCCCTTACAAGGCATATAACACTACCAACATCACTTCTTTTATTAGAACCGCGGGTATCATGGCCGGCTATTCAAACACTTTGGGTATTGTTGCAGGTGATAATGTGGTTAATAATATCGCTACCCTTCGTGCAACGCCCGTTATAAAAGCTGTTATTCGAGATCTGAAGAGGTATCTAATGCGTAGTAACAAGAGCAAAGGAACAAGGATACTACCTGTGGGCTGTTCTGCTGCGGCTAACATAAGCATTGCCCAATCCCCAGAATTCTTACGATATCTGTACCTTGGCGAGAAAGAGAGAACTGTCGACTTTTGGTCGGTAAGTCAATATCTAAGACTCATTACACGTTCCAGAACTCTGAGTACGTATAAAGCCTNNAAGAACTACGGATAGGTAGGAGAATCGAGCATGGCAATGTCCGGTTGGGGCTCCTNNAGTGTGTTATCTTATCACATGATCAGAGGATGATGTCCGCTAACTATGGGTCAGATTGCTCTATACAAAGACCTCGCCATTCCTGCATTCCTGTCAGAGTACGGCTCGCATACAGACCAACCTCGGCAGTTCTACGATACCAAGGCTCTATACTCAAACCCCATGACCAGAGTTTTCTCTGGCGGTTGTGTTTACGACTTTGTGGAGGGTGGCAACCGCTACGGCCTAGTAGTAACACCAGGAACAAACTTACCGTTTGGACACTACCAGAGCAGCAAAGTGATCGAGACACGAACCACGGACCAGGGCACTCTCTACATCNTATCAGACTTTGCAAACTACAAAGCAGCCCTGNCTGCGTCTACAGACAACGACCCGAGCTGGGGCGTCACAGAGTATCCAGCGGCAGAGGGACACAACTTTGACGTTGCACAGATGAGCTGGCCATGGGGAGCCGAATACCAAATGCCTGCTATGTGCATAGACTGGGATAATCTTGAGAAGCTTGTCGGGCGCGAGAGGGAATTGTCTCTCGGAACCACGACTCAGAAGCTCGAGGGTACATCAATCACTTGACTGCTGGCCATAGCAAGCTTCAAGGTCTGCTCGACTTATACGTCAAACGTAAGCATTTGTTACGATTCTGACGAGTGACAGGATCGGACAGCCTGCTCTGTAATTCTCCTCATCCCTACAGTAGATATCAAATGATTTGAAGTTGATGGAATATTCGAATATTCCACTCAGTTGGCATGGAATATAATCGTCAATTTAGGTGGAATATTCCACTACTACTATCAACCCAAGCCTGGTTGACAACATACCCCATGATCAATCAGACGGAAGCCGGAAAGGCTTTTCTCCGGCATCCGCGCGGGCAGGTCTAGAGCCTAGACACGACTCGCGGCTTCCAATTCCACAAAGCTCCGACAGATCAATGACCAGCAATCTGGTCTGAGAGACGAAGGAAGCATGGGAACAAGCGCGTGGAAGCATTAGAAATTTGAACCGGTCGCTTCAGCTAGCCAAGCGGACCCAAGTCGCACCGATAGTGTTTTAGGATTATGGTTTCAAAGCTCGTGTTGGAATCGTACATGTGGAAGTAGGCGCGTCCAAAGTCCGATGGCCGTCAATGACCTAGGCAGACAGTCAAGTAAGCAAAAAGTAAACGGGCGCAGCACCAGTCCATCAAAGACACTTCGCGCCTTATCAATCATCGAATGCGCGTATCCCATCAACCGCGCGCCATCTCCCTGTCCCGGCGCTCAAAGGTGCGCCATATCGCACCCGTCTCGAATGCGCCATGAACCCTCCAAACCCCCACCAACCGCAATTTTCATCGCTCCCATATGGTGCCACTCCGCCGGGTGCCCAGGCCCATAACCCTTCGCTGCGCGCCTTCGGCAACTCATACTCGACTTCCAACTCGCCCACCAACGCGACCTTTCAGCAAGCTGCCGCCTATCTAGAAGGCAATTACGATGACGACGGAGACGATCGCGCAAATGACCACGACCATGACCATGACCACGACCAGGGCCAGGGTGATCCCAAGCGTCGCCGTATAGCACGCGCCTGCGACATGTGCCGAAAGAAANAGATCAAATGCGATGGCAAGATGCCCAAATGCTCACACTGTCAGAACTACAAGACCGAATGCATCTTCACTCAGGTCGAGAAGAAGCGTCAACCTCCGAAAGGCGCAAAGTACATCGAGGGCTTGGAGAACAGACTTGCGCGTATGGAGGGCTTGCTAAAGATGTCGGGTCTGCTAGGAGAAGACGATGGCGGCAAGACCGATCTCGGCACGCTGGAGAAGCGGTTGGCAGATAGGCAGGCCGCCGGCTCGTCGTTCGCATCGCCAGCCTCACCGCACATCGCTGGTGACGGTTCAACCTCTGCTCACCCAACCCCACCCACTGGACTTACCAGTCCTCAGTCTGGTGCGCCGCTGCAAGATGGCCTAGCGCGGTCTCAAGACAAGGCTGCTGAGGGTCTGGCAGACCAGATGTGCTCACTAGTCACGAATAATGCTGGAGAAACTCGATACATTGGATCATCGTCTGGCTTTTCTATCTTCTCACCAAAAGGAATCCAATGGGTCAACGAGAAGACCGGAGACTCCTCTTTCCGTGATATGATATCCCAGGCAGCTAGTGATGACAGAGCGTGGGCTGCCTGGAAGCCCGAAATTTTTGACGATATCTTCTCGCGCAAAATCTACAAGCCTCTACCTCCCAAACCCGAAGCTCTCGCCTTACTGAAGGACTTCTTCGAGAATTTCAACTGTGTGTTTCCATTGTTTCATGAACCAACCTTTATGCACCTGGTCGACAAACACTACTCGCTTGACCCATACGAAGGTTCTGGATGGTGGGCCAGCTTGAACGTTGCGCTCGCGATTTCTCACAGACTTCGTATTATAGGTGAAGACGACGCCCGCATTGAAGACACGAAAGCTTGGGGCTACCTGAAAAATGCCCTGGCTGTCTTCTCGGAGTTGACCATGCGCAACAATGACCTGCTCAGCGTGCAGGCTCTGCTAGGCATGGCACTCTTCATGCAAGGTACACCCAACCCACAGCCAGGCTTCTTCCTTGTAGCCGCAGCGCTTCGCTTAGCACACAGCATTGGTTTGCACAAACGAGGATCCGATTTTAATCTTAATGAGATTGAATCCGAACAAAGGAAACGTGTGTTTTGGATCGGTTATCTGATGGACAAGGACATTTGTCTTCGTTCAGGGAGACCTCCTATCCAAGATGACGATGATATGAACGTCGAGCTTCCGAGTGAAAATCCATCAGACAACATTGGTGTTGTACCAATAGAGAGTGGCAAAGGCAAGGTCAATCTGTTTCGGATACAATGTGTTTTCGCCATGATCCAGTCAAAGGTCTACAAATTACTTTACTCGGTCAAAGCCGCTCGCCAAACAGATGGCGAACTATTGAACACTATCGGAGATCTCGACCAGGAACTAGAAGAGTGGAAAGACTCCATTCCTCTTGAATTCCGCCCTGAACATGAGATCAAAATGGTCAGCCAGTCGCCACTCATGCTGCATATTGTCGTCATGCACTTTGCCTACTACAACTGTCTGACAACCATTCATCGAATGTCGGTTCACCATGGGTACTGGACATCGCGGCTTTCTAATTATGCCATTGCTGGTCTGAACGCGCGCCCGCTCAATCCACGCGTGTTCATGTCGGCAGCCTTGTGTGTAAACGCTGCACGAACGTCCATCTCGCTCGTCAAATTTATTCCTAGTCAGGATCATGCTTGCGTTTGGTAAGTTAAACATCATATACGAATATCATCAACACACAATCTCGTGCTGACATGGTTACTAGGCNTTTTGGTATATTATCCCGTGTCTGCGCTCGTCACCCTGTTTGCCAACATTTTGCAAAACCCGCAGGATGCTAGAGCTCGATCTGACCTCAAGCTTATGAACTCTATGACCGAGTTCCTGCAAATGCTGTGCGAGGAAGATGGTAACATTCATTGTCGAAGGATGGCGTCGATCTGCAAAGAGTTTGAACGTATCGCTAGGGTAGTCCTTGATAAGGCTGAGAGGGACATGAAAGGTAGGGGCAAGAGAAAGACTCGAGAAAGTGATTCGGCCACACAGCCCAATTTACCCTCGCAGTCTGAGCGTCGCTCGACATCTCAGCCGGCACAAGCTCAGCATACACCAAGCTTGCCTACTTCGGCGCTACCTAACGGACGAACAACAACGGCATCTCCATCCGTCCATCTGAATGGGCAAACGCAACATCAAGTCTTTCACCCTCCACCTATGGGACAAATACCTTTCACAGCACCATCAAACGTATCCCCCTACCAAGCGAGCAGTATGGCACCAGAGCCCTGGATGCAGACCGTCCCACCTGCACCAGAAACCCTGTTCTCTCAAACCGACGGCCGATTCCCACAAACAACATTCCCGCAGGAGAACAACTTTGACATGCAAGGCTATAGCCTGGGACCCATGGCTGGAGATTTAGGTGGTAGTTTCCAACAACCATTTGTACCACAGGACCTTTGGCAGATGCCTATGACATTGGAATGGGATTGGGCTGATTTCTTTGGCACGGGGCCGGGGTTTGACCTCAACAACCCTACTGGAGGTGGGCCTCAGTAATTAATCTGAAAAGGAGTCTTTTGTGGCATATTCATGTATGATTATTCGTGCTCGGCTGGCATATCGATAGATTTATTCGAGCTGCTATGGATTTTGAGAGTACTCATTTCATCGACCACTCGGCACTCGTGTGTACTAAAACTGCGATTCTCCTCGTCACTACAGACCATCCTACTGTCAGGTATGTCAATCTTGACGAGACTTCTCGACTTCTGTCCAGTTTCCTGGAGACGTCGTCAAGTATCCGGGTTGTAGACAAAGCATATTCCAAGCCCAGACGTTTAGAGTTCGAGATATGGCAGGAATAGCGGGCTCCGATTTGCCCATAATTGGCAGTAACAAGTTGTTCGCGTGGTAGGTTCCTGCCCGCATCTCGATTTGCATGTGACAGCGAGTGGGAAGCTGGCTTGTCTTGGAGCAAGCAAGGCAGTGACGCGCTTGCTTTTGAATTGCTCAAATACTGGTCTTTAGCTCTGCTGCATCCTTTGTTCAATTGACAGTCCCATCAAAGAACAAACGTCAATATGAACTCTATCCCCGTCTCGGCCACCAGGCCCACAACCAGCATTCGCGTTGCTCAGGTCGTCGGCCTTACTGCTTCCGCTTACCTTGCTGGTAAGTCAGAATCCATACTTGCCTGACAACGGCTTATTGATCACATGTCTCTTANNGGTTCCATGGCAAGCATCAGCTGGATGAGTGTGCCGGCACTTATGGATGCACCCGCTCCTCTGCTCGCCAAACAGTGGAAGAAGATCTTCGACCAGGGCAAAGTGTCAGCTCCCCCAATGGCTGTCCTGTCCTCTGCCATCTTTGGCTACCTTGCCTACAGAGGTATGTCTACGTGCATCATTGACAGAGATCGACATATATTTACTGTTTGCANNGAACCCGCTGCATCTTCCAACTTCAACCTCTACACAGCTGCAGCCATTCTGGTTCCCAGTATCGTGCCTTACACCGTCTTCCTTATGGCAACCGTCAACAACAAGCTTCATGAGAAGGCTTCATCGCTGGCCAATGCCTCTCTGACTGACACGGCCGTCGAGTCAGGCGCAGCTCAGGGCGAGACGGCTCACGAGCTTCTCGACAAATGGGCCACTCTCAACTTCGGTCGCTCACTACTTCCTCTAGTTGGAGCTCTGGCAGCTGGATGGGCAATTGTCGACAAGTTCGAGGTGCTCGGTCTCGGCGCAGTCCTCAAGACTGGTGCCGACCGTATGGGATAAGGAGGAACAGCCGGAGAGAGCGATGATGAGCGCATGACCTGTTCAAGAGACACTGAGAGCATGTGAGATACTTGAGCGCAGCGGTTATCAAGACAAAGGTGACATGAGATCGAGATAAACATAACGATAGCCAACGAAGAAGCCAGAACGAGTTTTTGCTTTGTCTTCTGTGGGCCATGAGTAGCAGTCGCGTGCCATGTTGGAATTGAAGTTCTCAGCACGTCGTCTCAAATGTGTCTGTTGACCTGCGATAGGCGTCGCAGGTCGGACGGACCCTGCTTCTCAGGTAACAGGTAGCAAGAGGAGTCCAAAGGAAGTCGTTGAAACCCACCCCAAACTCAAGTCCAAGACGGCAAGGCTGTCAGGCTTCTTCAGCTGATGTGGGGACCGCGGCCTGGGAGTGGGCTCTCCGAGGCGGCTGATTCTTTCGCGGCTTCCTCAAAACATGTTCCTAATCTGCCTCCTCTGCTCTTGACCAGGTAAGGTAGTTTTTGACTCGACCTCGCTACTCGCACGCTCGAAGGATGCTTGGATGCGATATCCAGCATGATTAGGCTGATCTAAAGCATCCTATCACGCAACGGACAGACATGGCGGCGCTCAACGCGGGCTTAGACACAGCCCCGCCGAGACCTTATCCCCCGCTTCCAGAATGGGGCGATAGCAGGGTTGGGCCTTGGCCAAAATTTCTCGGACAAGAGCTCGACACGACGACGGACGGACAAATTGAGTACGTACCCTGACCGTTTGGTTCTTCTGACCTCTTGATCTCTCTTGACCTTTGTGCTTCCATCTTTTGTTGTCATCTGCATGCCTCCGTCCACTCGTTGACCGCCCGCTATCTGTCTGTCAGTCGCGTGCACATCCCCCGCCTTAACAGTACATCGGGTACTCCACCTTTTTGTAGCCCGCAGATAACGACCCTTATTTCCATCCATCTTTTTCTCGACAACAACCTCTCTGGCAGAGTGTTGATCCTCGGCCTCTCGAAGCCCATCTGGTCACTCTGCTCTAGACACGATGGCTCAAGCATCCGTCGAGTCTGTGGTCCTGGAGACTACAGCTGCTGACCCATCAGCCTCCGTTCCTCAGGCTGTGCCAATCCAAATAGGAAAAGTCAAGGGTAAGAAGAGGTTTATACAGAGTCTACAACGCATGTCTTCTTCTCCATCTCTGGCCAAGCTTGGTAGAGCGCCCTCTTCGAGTTATCGAACAGGAGGTAGAGCCTCGGCTTCCTGCATATCGCTCTCGTCCGGACCCGCTTCGTATGCCTCGTCCGGACCCGCTTCGTATGCCTCGTACGGAAACTCGCTGGCTTCCGAACTCTCTGTCGGATACTCGACAGCTGCAAATTCAGCCGCCACCACTCCAGGCATCCCGTTTCCCGCGTTTGACGAGAAGACAGCACGTTCTCGTTACCTTGGTTCTGTGCCTGTGCCTGATTTCAGAACCACCACGAGAATTGCTGAAGAGGAGGATTACTTCTCCATACCCGTACAAAAGGCCGTACAGAAGCCCAAATCTTCTTTCAACTTCTGGAAGGACTTGCCGTCTGAGCTGGCCTTGGAAGTTCTTTCCTATCTCGAGCCTCGAGAGGTTGTAAGATGTTCAGTGGTCTCGAAACAGTGGCACAGCAGATGTTTCGATGGTCAGCTCTGGTCTATCCTGGATACCTCCGACTTCTATCGTGATATCCCTGCCAATGCGCTGATCAACATCGTCACGTCTGCTGGTCCGTTTGTTCGCGACCTCAACCTAAGAGGTTGCGTTCAACTCAGAGAACAATGGTACGAGAAAGGTCTATCTGGAGCTTGCAGTAATCTTGAGAACTTCTCTCTGGAAGGCTGCCGTATTGAGAAGACCGCCATCCATTGTTTCTTGTTACAAAATCAGAAGCTTGTCGACATCAACCTTTCCGGCCTTGCTGGTGCTACAAATTCGGCCATGAAAGTCATTGCTGAAAACTGTCCCAAGCTTGAACGTCTCAATGTTTCTTGGTGCAATAATGTCGACACTAGAGGGTTGAGAAAAGTAGTTGAGGCCTGTCCTAATCTTCGCGACCTTCGTGCTGGTGAAGTGCATGGCTGGGATGATGTTGACTTTATGCAAATCCTCTTCGAACGCAACTCACTTGAACGACTCGTCTTGATGAATTGCGATTCGCTCAACGATGAATCATTGACTGTCCTAATGGAAGGACAAGACAGTGAGATGGATTACTTGACCGGCAGACGCATTGCTCCAGCTCGGAAACTCAAACACCTTGATCTTACGCGATGCCGTGGTATCAGCTTCAGAGGTCTCGAGAAGTGTGTCGACAGACTTCCAGAGATGGAAGGCTTGCAACTTAACAAGTGCCATGGCATCACTGACGATGTCCTCACATCTATGCTGAACGGCATGCCCAAACTTACGCATCTTGATCTGGAGGAGCTTACAGAATTGTCCAACACCGTACTACAATCATTGGCCACTGCTCCTTGCGCAAAGGGCTTGCGACATATCACCATCTCATACTGTGAGAATTTGGGTGATGTGGGCATGCTACCCATCCTCAAAAATTGCACCAATCTAGAAAGCCTCGATATGGACAACACTCGCGTCTCCGACTTGTCGCTCGCCGAAGCAGCAGCTATGGTGCGTGCCCGTACAGCTCGCACTACTCTACCCAAGCAAAAACCGGCGGTCGGTTTACGCCTCGCAGCATATGACTGCCAAAACGTAACATGGACCGGTATCCGCGAAGTGTTATCGCGAAATGCAGAAGTAGTCCGCAAGACCGTGAAGCCCGAACCATCATCAAACTCAGATGATACCGCCGCAGCATCCGCACTCCCTCAACCTCAAACCGTCCGCACCTATCCGACCAAGATCATCCAGCTCAAATGCTTTTACAACTACCAGCCCACGGTTAAAGAACACACCAAGCGTGTGTTACGGGCCGACTTTTCAGCTGCCACTCGTCTCGAGCGCAAGTGGGCTGAATTCATGATCGCTCAAGAAGAGGCTGGTGCCAGTGGTGCTGGTGCCCGCAGACGTCGACGTCGCGCCCGTGAGGCTCAAATGATGCATGCAGACGAAGAAGACGGCGGTGCAAACGGCGGTGGTGCCGGTGTTGGTGGAGGTCGCAGACGCAGAGCTAGAAGTGGAGGTTGCACAGTCATGTGAAGCGGGATTTGACTTGACATTTTTCTGTCGTTCAAGCGTTTTTGTTTTCTTCTTCTCTCTTTTGTTTGGGTAGGGCAACAGGACCATGATTTGGGTTTGGTCTCTAGCGTTTTTGCAGTTCTCATCGCCATATTTGCATTCTTCAAGATCATCGTGGCATTTGTTTTGGTCACTATCAGATCTTGCTTACATTGGATTGTTCCATTGTCCATCAAGCTCATGTCTTGGCTCGTGTTTGATACGCAGCCCACTGCTTGCTTTGTCGCCTGAAGGACCAAAAACAATGAGGCTTGAACACAATTATATTGTATGGAGATACTCTTTCAAGCACATACGGCCACAGTCAGCTGAAAACTGGGCATCCCGTCCGCTCTGCCATACATAAGCAGTTGAACGGCAGATTAGTACTACGGTGGGTGACCACGTGGGAATCCCTGCTGCTGTATGTTTTGCATCTTTCTTTAGCTGGAACTACAAGCAAAGAGGGAAGGGAGATTGACATGGGAAGGAAGGGTCGACCATCTGGTTTGAGAAAGGCAAGTACATGACCCCGAGTGGCTCTTTCTGCTTTTAATCCTGTACAACTTTCTTTTCATGACTACACAAGTTTTGCTCAATGATATCTATAGCACGGGACATCAAGGAAGAGGGAGAGCTAGAGCGTTGTTCAAAAGTGTCGGACATGAATTGAATTTCTTTTCCGGCCACGGCTCATCTCATGACCACTATACAAACATTACATAAAAGTATCTTCGTGACAGAGAAAAAAAGTCGAAACAGGAAGTACAAAAAAGGGGTATCGGGCTTCCAGAGAGAGAAAAAGAAGGATAAAGAAGTGAAAGTCAACATGGAGTGGAGAAGAGAAGAAAGAAACCAAAAAGTTTTTGCAACGATTGAGAGGGAGAGTCTCAAACTCCATCCCCGCGTCAGACTGGGCTTGACGGAACAAGAAAAAAGCACAATTTTTTGGAAATGTAAAGTGGTGGTTGGTTGTGTGCAATCAGACTTCTTCGGTGAACCTGCTTCCCCTGCTTCCATCGAAGCTTGACAGCGTGGCGGGGGTGACGCTTCTGCGAGCCATACCTTGCGGGTTCAACGGAGTCATGAGAGGAGCATTTTGTCCAGGCTCGGGGGTCAACCTGTGTCCCTGAATGGGGAAGGTAGGACTGGTAGGCGATGTGTTTTCGGACAATGCACTTGTCGGACTCATGGCATAAGGAGGGTGAACTCTTGCTTGCCGTGCTGGTCCAGGCATTATGGTTTCGTTGATGCCAATTTCGTTGTCGGGGTCATCGAATGGTGAGCCAGCTGCGCCGTAGTAAGTGCTGTCGCGATAGACCGAAGTGGTGCTCATGTTACGGTCGTTGTCGAAAGCAGACGGCATGAGCATGGGAGGAGCAGAAGTCATGCCAGCTGAGAAAGCACTAGGCAATTTACGACCGCTAATGCGCTGGAAGCCTCGTTCTCCAGTGTCGTCCACGGCTCGGGATTTTCTGTTTTTGAAGACCCCTCCCAGAAGTGGCGCTAATACGGGAGCTGTTCTGCCGCGCTCGGACATGCCCCTAGCACCACCACTTCCAGTAACAGCTTCGGCTCCAGTCAATGCATTCATGCTCATGCTAGCCATGCGCTTTCGGTACCAGCGCAGGAAAATCATGGCAGTCAGAACCAAAACTGCAAGTCCGGCGACGCCACCCACAATACCACCTGCAAGCACAGAAGGAGGTGGGGTATTGTCGCTGTTGTTCTCCGAAGATGCGGAGCTGCTCGCCGGGTTGGGAGCAGTAGTTGTTGTAGGCCCACCGACGACGCTAGCATCAGGGCTCTGAGTGGCGCTGGAAGAGGGCAAAGAACTGTCGGCCGATGAGGATGCAAGCACGGAGGCAGATGAGGCTTCTGAAGAGACGCGAGATGCTGCACTGCTCAAAGCGCTGCTAGCTGACCGTAGAGCCGAGGAAGCAGCGCTCTGGAGAACAACTGCCTGAGAAGAGTATGAGCTTCTAGCCGACCCTGTAGCGGTTGATGCGGCGGCGTTGAGAGAACTGAGGCGGGAACTGATATCGGCATTTTGAGACGAGAGAGCAACGGCAGCAGAAGAAATTTCCGAGCTACCACTCAAGGCAGCATAGCCCGAGGCAGACGACGACACGGGCTGGAAAGAACCGTAAGACGTAGTGGTTTGACCGTTGGAAAGAGTGGTAGCGAAAGCCTGCGCAACGAGAACAGCAGTAGAAGGAGATCCATCAGATAGTGTTTCGATAGTGGAAGAAGACGCAGTGAAGAATCCTAACACAGCGGCCAGAGGAGTGGAGCTAGTGCTTGCAGATCTATCGGCAGACGAAACAATACTCGCCGTGTTCGAAATCGAACTAGTCACGCTATTGCGTTGGAAGGTAGTGAATGAGGTGTAAGTCGTCGAAGAACTTGAGATGACGGTTGCAGATGTTGTCAAGTTTTTAGCAAAAGATGGCAATGAACTTGAGTGGGCTGAACTTGATCCAGACGGACTGGCACTGCCTGAGACGAGGACTAAAGGTGAGCTTGAGGACGTGATGGTCGAATTCAGTCCAGTAGGAAATATAGTGCTAGCGAGCGGCACGCCAGACGAAGTGTACGATATGACTGAGGCAGTGATAGCGCCACTTGAAGTACTCGTGGCAGGGAGAGCATCGCTTGTCGAGCCGAGCGACACAAGAATCGGGTTCGCAGTAGCCACCGTCGACTCGTTCGCCGTGTTTGAACCGACCATAGTGATGGACTCATATGCAGAGGGGAGGTCAAATCTGAAGCAGTAGCAGAAACGGGTGCAGCTGTTGTAAGCGAACCAGAGGAACTCAGGGTCGCATTGACATCGCCAACTATATTCGTAGTCTGCGACAGAATGTCGGTGGAAACAGCCGAAGTGGTAGGCGCGGTTCCAGCCACGCCAGGCAAGGTTATACCAGAAGCAATGCTAGTCGGTATAGCCGAAGCGACGGTGTTGAGTGCAGAATTGTATGAAACAAAGGATGACTCGGACAAGCTCTGGACCGGGACCTCGGATGCTCCAGACGAACTTGTCGTGGCAGCGGTTCCAATTGTACCTGGAATAGACACGCCCAATGATGCTGCAGTCGAGACAGCCGGTGATGTGTTCTCAGAAGACGACGAAGTAGACGAAGTCGGAGTGAGAGTTGATTCAACGATTGGTAATATGCCAGTCGAGTCGCTTATGTCTAAGGACGCGGTTGTAGTGGGAGCCGAACTTGCAGTGCCAGGACCAGTATAGCCGGCCAGAGGAATTGTCGCAGAGGATGATGTGGTGCTTGATAATACGTCGGTTGACGAGACGGTCAAGGATGTATCGGAGTTTGTTGAAGAGTCAGCCAGGGGTGTATCAGAGGTTGTTGAAGTAGGTGTTGCGTCAGTGACTGGGACGGTCGAGGAAGGATCCGTAGCTGTCGAGGTGGGCGCAGCTTCTGTTGTTGGTAAAGTCTCTGTCGTTGACACGGCCGAGAACGAGTCTGCGTCGGTCGAAGTAGAGCTGGCGGCTGCAATTGATGGCGAGATACCTGCGAGGGTGGAAGAGTAGGCCGAGAGCGACGACAGTGTTTCCGAGACTGAGGTCGAAGGTGCGTCGGTAAGCAGCGTCGGAAGAAGTTGCAGGGAGCGAGGGTTCGGCGTCAGTCAGTAAAGTGGATGTAGACATTGAAGACGTTGTGGATTCGAGCGTGCCGTTGAGCAGCGGCGTTTGACGTTTGTGTAGCCGTTGGTGCAACTCGTCGGCGCGCTGGACAGCACTCCGGCCAGGACTATGGTTCCTTATGTGGACATGGACTTCTTCGATCCGTTTGACAGGACGGACATCTTGCAAGCCATGTGAGAAGGCAGTCGGACGCGAAGGGGCTACGCTGGCAGCCGACGCGGGCAATTTGCGCCGTTTGAAGAGACGTTCCATGCTTGGGGCGGTTATCGATACAAGAAATGAGGGCAGTAAGTACGCTTGACAGGAATGACAGTGGTAGAGTCCGGTCCAGACTAGACTCTACGAGTCCGAGATGGCTACTATCAAAGAGCCGGATTGGGTAGTTTGAGTTGACTGTGCCTTGAAACCGAAAGCGGACAGGCTCTCGAGATAAACAGTTGTCGAGCTTGAGAAGACCGGAGTGCTGGGAAACGAATGGACGCCGGTAATCAAACCAGCAAACTGCCTCTGTGGAGCCATGTCAGTACGCGCTTCAGCGCCGGCGAGCAGGAAACAGTTGAGGGGAGCGTCTTACAATGTGAACTTGATACTTGGCACAGGCTCAAAGTACCATCAGACAAGTGCCTGCACGCTTGCCGTTGTATGCGAGCAGGAGAAGAATGGGTCGGGCGCAAGTCGAGTTTTTGATGGTATTGTCTGGCGTCGTCTACAAGTATTTAATTTACTGCCTATGCAACAACGACTAGAGAGACCACTCCGCTGAGCGGGTCAGTCACCAGCCAGCAGTCAAGTCGTCGAGCTGACGGCAAAGGACACGGCTGTGTCTGAGAGACGTCCAGGGTGGTGAGGGAGAGTGGCTGGGTGATGAGGCAAGGACGTGGTGAACAGAAAACAACAGCAACGACGTCGACGTCCGACTTGAAAGTCTCCGACGACAGACGGAAAGCAAAGCGAAGAAGCGGCAGAAGCAGAAGAAGCCTGTGCTTCAAGGTTGCACGACTTCCACCAACTTCGGCCCACGAGACCCTCTGGCTCTCAAACGGTCCCGCCGCCGCCAAACATGGACCACCTCTACTAACCAACCCAAATCTCCGCTGCCTGGGAATTGGCTTGCGACATGGATCGTTTGCTAGGGTTGCGCAAGCCGGCGAGATTGCTTCATGCTCCATCGTCCAATCCCAGAGTGCATCCTCCATCAGCATGCTCGTTCGCGTCTTTAGATATCATGTCGTCTCCCGCAGCTATTTCATTTTCTTCGCGGCCTGCCTACGCATGCTCACGGCTCGATCGTCTGCTCCCATGATCCATCACTATCCCTGCAGGTACTGCCGCAGCTGTCGTGGCTATTTTCCATTTATTTGCTCCACTTGCATATTTTTCTGCGGCCTAGCCAATATGCATGTCCCCGTCTGACGTCGAACCCCGCCAGAAGCGCAACAAAGCCCTGCAGCTGTAAGGGAGCATGTCGTTGTTCTCGTTTCAAGTTTCCACTACTTGACGCGCAAGGGATCCTTGCTTATTATGGCATCATCGCGTGTGCGCACAATGGCGCCCTCGCAGCGAGGCTATCCTCTGCATCAACATCTGCCACTTTGCTGTGCCGTCAAGCTTGTGCTACATCTCGTGTTTTGACGATTCAAACATGGATCGATTCCATACGGCTGGGTGTCAATATTATTGAGAAATTGCCGAGTAACTTTAACGCCTATCTATCTGTATCTAATTGTGGAAAATAGTTCCGTTGAACCTGGAAAAAGTGCGCTAGAGATTCAGGCTCCCGATTTGCCCGACGTCACATCCTCACCGCCCGTAAACACCGAACGGCATCTTCAGACAACACCTCCTGAGAGCCGCATCTATCCTGTGACTACACAAAGACTAGGTGCATCTTTGACACCCGAGTCTGCCAAGTTCTAGACCACCCTCACTCGGCATGTCAAAAGAAAGCGGCCATCAGAGGACTGGTGGACCTCCACCGTTACCACCTCGGCAGGTGTCTGGCGCAAACCTCATGAGATCCGAGTACTTTGAAGACGACGACTTGCCTCCGCCATCTTACGAATCTGTCGCGGCTGAGTCGTACGAAAATGACCGTATCACACTCTCTCACAACGACCCAAGGTCGAGGTCAACACAGTCATTGCTTCCTTCACCGTCAGATGAACAAGGTGACAGGAGGAAGTTGCTATTGATATTCATCCATGGGTTCATGGGAAACGAGACCAGTTTCCAAAGCTTCCCTGCTCACGTCCATAGTCTTGTAGCTGCTTTACTGGCAGAAACACATACTGTCCACACAAAGATCTATCCAAGGTACAGATCGAAANAGAAGATCGACTTTGCACGAGATGACTTCAGTCGCTGGTAAGATATGAGTAACAATACTACTCTGAACATAGTTGACACTCTCCCAGGCNTGAGACCACACGAAGGGCCAACCACCGATGTGATCCTGCTGGGTCACAGTATGGGTGGTCTGCTCTGCGCTGAGGTAGCTTTGATCCCATCCCTTGCAGATGGATCTCTACGCCACCGTCTGATCGGCACTGTCAACTTCGATGTGCCTTTCTTGGGTATGCATCCTAGAGTCGTCAAGGTTGGCTTAGCCAGCATCTTCAGCCCAGCCCCTCCCAAGTCGCCACAAGACGGTAGCAATACGCCATCTGTTTCAAACATGCAAACTACAGGAGACTATTTCAACGACAAACCATCTGCGAGCACGTCCACACCCAGCATAAAGAGCCCAGAAAGTTCGTTCTCGCCTTCTCAACTGGACCCTAACTACAATCCAGCTTTCAAGAATGATGTGATTCTCCCTGTGAGGAAAGGATGGGAAGGAGCTTGGTACTTTCTCAACAAGCACTCTGGTGATCTAAGAACAGCTACCAAGCAACTGGTCAAGTCTCATCTAGAGTTTGGAGGTGCTATGGCGGACTATGGCGGCCTCAAGCTCCGATACACACGTATCAGAGGTCTAGAAGAGCAAACTGAGAGAACCAGAAAAGCAGTGATAGGAAGCTCTGTCGCACCGCCAAGAGTGCGCTTTGTCAACTACTATACTTCCAGCACGGGTCGGCCCAAGAAACCGAAAACGCCAACATCACCCGAGATATCCGTCGAGACTCCCACATTGACCAACAACGGTACTGACGTAGATCACAAGACGACCGACGAGGATCATGAAAAGTATTCTGGCGAGTTTAGCCCAAGAGATGATCAACTGTTGGAGACAGATGACGATATTAAAGAGTTTGAAGCAACAGAAAGTATTGGATCAGTAACAATGGATCATCTGGAGCCTGCTCCAATGTCCGAGATCGGTGGTGATTCTTCTGACATCGAATCTTGGGTCGACGCAACAGAGAACATGGAGATTGCCTCATCTAGCTCGAGGGTAGCAGAGGATGCGAAAAATAACACTCTCAAGCCCGAANAAGACCCGGTTATCGACACAGCTTTGTCAGAGAAATCTCCCGAAGTCATTACTAGTAGTCTTCAAGCTCTACCGCCTGTGCCCGACCCACCTGCAAAGCCAGAGAAGCCACCGTTTTTCGCAGACAAGGAAACTCGAAAGTTGGCCGAGAAAGAGTACGACAGGGTTTTGAAGCTATACTTTCGAGCAGTCAAGGACCGTGAGAAGGCACTTCGAGATCGTGAGAAGCTGGAGAAGAAACGTGAGCGCCAAGCCATCAAAGAAGGAAAGAAGGCAGAGAAAGAGGTCACTAAGGGTGATAAAAGCAAGGAGAAGGACCGTAAGAAGACGATTGAGAGAAGGGAGACGGATCAGGAGAGTGTCCTGGCGGCTGAGCAGAGAGAGGCACAAAAGGAGTGGAAAGCTGCCTTGGATCATTCCTGGAACGATGACGACTCTACGATCGAGCCACTTTCGAAACGCAACTCGTCCATGCAGTCTACTGTCTTGTCTACCCAAGGCACAAGAACTCCTTCGGGTGAAGAGCAGAAGCCCTTCAAAGACCGCACGTTCTGCACTCTTCCACCCAAAGACGGCTCCGGTAACAGAGATCCTACATGGGTTCGTGTACTGATGAAAGACGTCGATCTGGTCGAAGCGCATTGTGGTCTATTCTTTCCGGATCCAAACGATGACAGGTATGAGAAGCTGATTGGTGACGTGGGTGAGAGAGTGTGTCAATGGGTCGGCGAGGCAGAGAGTGAGAGAGTTGCACGGGAGTTCGAAGCGCAAGGCTAAGTAGTTCCCCGATCTATCAATGTTGTTGGTAGTCTCTCCAAGAGATCATGTAGCTCCTTACGTCTGGAGTGCTGATCAGTATGACTTTCGCGACAAACCGTAGCAACTGCTGGAGTGAGAGTTGCGGATTGAGAAGCAGAGCTGGGTCGTGCCTTCCCAATCTGCCAAGTCACATGCTACTCGATTGTTCGCAGCCGACGCGCTAAGAACTTGTGTGGCCTACTCTTACAGCACAATTTCTCGAAATCAGTGAACTCAGTCGATATGGTAGGACAAACTCCTTCGATACAATCATTCTTCCCTCTTCGCACCTCTCCACTCAAAGGGTTGCCCCAAAATCCTTCACCACCGCCGGGTGATGGACTTACCTCAGAAGAGCTTGACACCACAATGATTCAAGCACCTCAGGATCATTGGATTCCACCCGCAGACTACGACGAGTATGAGATCGATTCGCTTGTACCAGGACCAAATCGAGTCAAGGTTGTTGGCCGGATTGTCAACCTGTTCGAAAGCTCGCCCAAAGCAAAGCTGCCAAATGCAGCTAAAGGAGCCGTCCAACTTGTGATCAAGGACACCACAGGTGCTGTCACTGTAAGCGTTTCATCGTTGCACACATATGAGTCTATACTGGCTTGGTTAAAGATCAGATTTTCTTACACTCACATACCGTACGGACTACAGATTGGTCAACTTGTCGGCGTCTGGGCCACCTATGTCACGAACGGGGATCGAGGCATCTTCCCCTGCGCAGTCGCACCCATGTACATCAGAATCTTTCCAGAGAAGGACAAGAACTGCCATATTCGTCTACTGGATGGTCCAGAATTCACCCAAGTTTGCAGGGAGCCACTGAACTACGAATCAACTCTCATGTCCCTGAAGGACTTCATCCAGGGCGGATTCGAGGTGACGGATGCTAAAATTCTTGTCATTGTGAAGAGCGTTGGTACCCGCAAAAGAGNNGTGATCAGGTTGTCAGACGTCAAGCCCGCGCAAAGCTAACAGATCACAGTCGCCAAGAAGGATGGAACCACAGCCGACCTCGTGAAAGTTGGCGTGATGGACGACACAAGCGAGGCAGTACTGTCATTATGGGGTGTCACTTCAACAAGTCCGATGGATTGGCAGCCATCACAGACCGCGCTGTTGATCTCGGGTCCAGGCCTGAACGTCTCACATCAAACTTGGTTAGCCTTGACGTCCAACACCTTCATCGATGTGGACCCCAATATACTGGAGGCAGAAAGACTTCGGGCCTTCGCCGAAAACATGATCAAAAGACAGCACATCAATCCAGCTTTTCCTGATGAAGGTATATACTTCTCCATGATTTCGTCCGATTCTGTCTCACTATGGTTTANNGAGTACAACTTGTGGAGTATGAACAAGCCAGATGGACATGTTCTGTATTCGCTTGCGGATGTGGACAACCAGTACGCTTGCGATCAACTATCTCAATCCAATGCTGACTTGACTTTCAAAGCGNCTCGCGAAGCACCCGAGGACGAGTTTGATGGCTATCTGAGTATGATCATCATGGATCTCAACATGTCCACTCTGCGACAACAGAACATGCTCATGTGCAATGAATGGTAGACCTCCATAGAGTCAGCTGTATGGGGACTCGATTGCTGACGAATTGGTAGTTGTGGCATTCCACTGTATGCAAATGCGACGGTGGCCAAATGCAAGCATTGTGATGAGCAAGTGGCATTGAGAGTCAATCCAAAACTGGTCAGTAAACCTCGCACAGTTCCATATCAGTACTGACATTTGCAGGTTGGCAAGCTGATCGACGAGAGTGGGTGCATATTGAGTGGCAAGCTTGTGCTGTCAGATCACGCATGGACACGACTCTTGGGAAGAAGTGCCGAGGAGATGGTCCAAAGCAGTGCAAGCACGCTGAAGAGCGTAGAGCAGCGAATGCTTTACGTACGTATCACGTTGAAATTCTGGTGGAGTGCCCGTGTTGGTAAACTCGTCATCTCGGACATACTCGAGTGATGGAGGCTTCACAGAGGCGAAAATTGAGATCGACTGATGGCTATATGAGATGAACTTGCTTGTCTTCACCCCAGGAGCATATGAAACAAATGCTGGTTTGCTTGGAGGAATATCAACGAGATGATTGTTGCTAGATGCTTGAAGTGAATACTGGATTACGCAGTGGCTTGATGAGCATTCTAGGCTGACTCAAACCTTACAGCTTCATGGTCAATCCCTTCTTCGTGTTCACGTTAATCAACAGTGTTATAATATGCTGTCAAATTGCACAGTTGCTTATCGTATGAGACAAATAACCATAGAGATGGCCACGGGATATTTCACCTTGGGTAGGACCGCTTTGGAGAACATGTAGTCAACTCCCGAGGTTCCGTGCTTAAAACAGTCTCAACACCTCTCCTGCGTCAACAACTGGCGCTATGATATGTTATAGAAATACACAAAGTATTGATGAGATAGCCTACGTCCAGAGAAATCCGAAGATCATTTCTCTCAATACGGCGAAGCCAAGGATCGACAGTTTCCACCTGTCCTCTATACTGGTTTCGCATAGAGAATTGTATAAGAATAGGCAATATCGTTGAGATGCATGATGAACGGTAAGATATAATCCATGACCATTGTAAGGGGGTGACCCTGCTTAGCTGCGATAAGATAAGGAAGTTTGAGATGAGCTGCCTCTTGAATGCGACAAAGGTCAAGTTAGATCACAGACACAAGCCATGACACAAGATAGCAATAGCAGTCGTCGCGACTGGCGGGACATGTTTGCAGTGCCACCGGTCGTCAGACAAGTGTTTGCAAAGTTCCCTCTATCGACATACGAAGTCAATGCGCTACCGACGCGCTCGCCAACACACAGAGACCAACACACTCTCTACACATGGACGACAGAAACAGAGGCCGGCGCAAACAAGGCCTCATTCAATCCAACGTGTCTGAAGTGGCAGACATACCTCTTGTTCCAAGGCATCCCGTTCCGCAGCCAACCCTCCAACAACCACGCCTCGCCCTCGGGCTCCCTCCCCTTCCTCCTACCAGCAAATACGCCCCTCCCTATCGCATCCAGTAAACTCGAGCACTGGGCCGATGCACGCAGTACAAGTAAAAGCCCTTCTTCTGATACACAATCTTCGCGCCAAGATGTGTATACATCGCTACTCGAACACGCCGTGCGAAGAGCATGGCTCTACCTCCTCTACCTCGACCCCGACAACTTCGACCACGTCGCCAAAAAGCTATACGTCACTCCCTCATCTACCAGTACCTTTGTTGCTCTGGCCATCTCATACCAATTGCGCGATGCCGCTACTCAAGAGCTGTTGAAGACCACACCTGCTGTAAAAGCACAGGATATTTCGGACGAGGCTGTTGATGCATTTTCCGCTCTGTCGACTTTGCTGGGTGGGGACAACTGGTTCTTTGGACAAGGGACACCTACGCTGTTTGATGCGAGTGTGTTTGCATACACTCATCTGTTGCTGGACGAGGACATGGGCTGGAGGAATAATCCTCTGGCTGAGCGACTGGCTACTTTCCAGAATCTGGTCAATCATCGTAATCGCATCTTGAGCGATTACTACTCATCATGAGATGAGACTCTCTTCTCGCCATGTCGGAGTCTCCTCCCTCCTTCGACTGTACATACATTCATCGTTCATACCAACCCTCAACTCTGTATACCCTACCTCAGATACTTGCATCAATACACAACTAGACGGCATCAAGTGTCCGACGACGCTCTTCACTAAGCATCCAGTCTGATCACCACTCACATTGCACCCAAGAGGCGTGAAACAGAAAGGCGTCCTCCAAGTGAGACTCTAGTATTCTCTAATCCGGATATCATCTACTCTATCAAACCAAATACCCCCACCGTCATTACCAAACATCAATATATCATAACTTCGTCATCGGCACATGCTCAGTACTGTACAACCTTGGCATCAATCTTCTTTCCATCCTCGACCATTTCACCCATGGCCTCTTCGTCGAACTGTCCATCATATTCCAAGCTGTTCTGCTCACCATCATCGTCAACTTCGAGCCACGTCTCGCTTGTAGCAGGGATGGGCGACACCTTGCACAAGCACCAGTACGTGATCGCTGCGATGAAGAAACCGCAGAAGTAGTTGAGGTCGTAGATGTACGTCGCGCCTTCAGGAACCTTTTGGCCCACTGCGCCAGCAAAGCCAACGACATTGATGAGGATACCTGCAATGTATGAGGCATATGCTCGCCAATGCACGCCGTAGGTGAAGTAGTAGGGTCCGGTCTTGTCAGCCGAGTACAGGTTTCTGACCTGCAAGTATCCTTTGCGGACAAGGTAGTAGTCGCAGACCATGACGCCGGCAATCGATGACAGGAATACGCTGTAGGCTGAGAGGTAGGTGGTAAAGTTGTTGCTCGAGCTCATTAGGTTCCAGGGACACATGCACAAGCCAACAATGGCACAGATGTATGAGCCTCGTCTGATGGACAGGAAGCGAGGGAAGAGCGCAGTCATGTCTGTGCCTGCAGAAACCGAGTTGGCGGCAATGTTTGTACCGAGTTGGGCGAGAGAGAAGGCGGCGGCGATAACGAAGACACCGAAACGTGTAGCACCACTGACGTTGGCGTCGTTGAGGAAGTTTTCAAGCAGGGTCAAAGGTGACCAAACGGGCGAACCATAGATGACGGCAGAGGATGAGGAAACAATGATGCCGATGAAGGAGGTTACGGCGAAACCGACGGGAATGGTGATGAGTTGGGACAACATGGCGCTGTCGGTACGCTTTGCGAATCTGCTGAAGTCCGGGTTGTTCATGATCAAGGCTNNGTGCATTCACGGTCAGTGGTCTGTTGCTTCGAAGCTCATACATGTTGTGAACTTACCGGCAAAGTTTGCAATAGCGCTCATGATACCCTTGACGATGGCCCATCCGAGCTCACCACCTTCAAGCTTTGCGGGCTGACGAATAATAGGTCCGAGACCATGTGCTCTGACGATAGCCCAGATGAAGAAGGCAATACCGGCAGCAGGTGCAACGATCGACTTGACGGTGAAGAGATGACGGATCTTGTGGACGGGGAACCACAATGCAGGCAAGGAGCATGCCCAGAAGAGGAAGAAGCTGACAAAGTCGCGAGTGTTGGTGCCAGAAGACTCGGGCAGTGTGTTCTTGGGTCCACCCTGTTGGTATTTGTCCCAGCTGGGCCAAATGCTGCGGATCATGAGGTAGACGCAGGTGCCTCCAATCCAACTTTGCACACCATACCACACACAGGCCATGGCCGCGCGGTTGAAGACTGGCCATAGACCTCCCCAGATACCAAAACTGGATCGAGAGACGACTGGGAAAGAGATGTGGTATTTTGCTCCGATACGGCCAGTGAGGACGACGAAGACGGCGGCGATGGAGTATCCGATCCAGACACAGATCCATGACTGCCACCATGAGAGGCCGTCCTGGACGCTGGCGCTGGAGATCATCCATGTGTTGATGTTGAAAGAGTCGGCCATCCAGAAGGCGACGAAGTGCCATGCACCCCATTGTCTACGTGCAGGCTCCACAGGCTTCAGGTCTTCGTTGCTGAGCATGAGTTGGACATCGGTAAGACCAGGTTCGTGACGGACCTCAAGTGCCTTCAAGGCACGAGAGACTTTTGAATCCTTCTCCATTGTGGGAGGGCAGGAACGAATAATGCAGATGCAACGAGTAAAGGATATAGGCGTCGTCTAGGATATGTACAAGACGCCCTATGTCGTCGACCTAACGTGTAGTGGTCGTGATGAATTACTGATTGTCAATGATATCCATTCTGAAATAGTGCGGATCAAAGGTTTCTTATGTAGGTCAATCATCCTGAATGACCCGAGACTGAAGCTGGCTTATCTCTGAGACTATAGCAATGATGTACCGTTGATGTTGGCGATATCTCCTATGCGAGAAGCAAAAACGTGTGGTTGCTCGATCACATCGAGTAAGAATGCTGGATAAGCGCGACTGTTGTGCATAACGTGTATAACATTCGCACAATTGCTCGATAGTATCGAGTAATGAGCCTGGATAGAGGCCCCGGTCTCGGTCCAGTGAGCGGGTTTGATTGGTCGAGTCGACCGCTCATACCGTATCTGGAAAGGCGCCGCGCTGTCTGCGCACGAATCGGCATCAAGCACGCCACGGACGGAACCACTTGCTACTGCTGGCAACGCACCTCGTGAGCTTCGCTATGCTTGAACAGCAGCCGAGGAAGCGTCAAGGCAGATCCTTTGCAGCTCCCGTGAGAGGCTTATCTAGATCCTGGCTGGAATTGGTGCCACAGCTGCAAGAGAAGAAAATTCTTCGCAGTGCCTGCATGAGATGGCCAGATTATAGAACGGCTTGCTTCGGCCGACGGTGAGGTCCGACCATCGACATCTCCATGGGGAATTGACGATCCTACACTTGTTTGGATTACGAACCTCTTGATTTTGTGCCTCCAAGTGCCGTGATTGTGCAGGTGCTCGGATGTCTCGTTCTTTCTGCCAAAATTTGGACAGCTGCGGCAGCATGGCTTGGTCGGCAAAACACGAGCGATACCGGNNGCGGGGGAAGTCGACCCAAGGCCGTGCTTGCTGCTTCTGACCGGCTTGCCAGGCCGAACAGCATTTCACATCTACNTACGCGTGTCATATATCGCCGCCTCGGTCATGATGGAGTCTCTCCGTTCCTCTATTGAGAGTTCGCAACCTCCGAGCAAGCGCCAGAAAAGAAAGACCATCGCGTAGGCACCATTCCAGACCTTCGAACGTGAGCACAAGACTGATCACGATGCCACAGATNGTCGACGTTGTCATGATCAAAAGACAAAGTGTGATGGCGAGAAGCCTTGCAAGAATTGTTTGCAATCAGACAAGGCTTGCGAATATCCAACACGAGATAGAAAAGTCACTGTGAATGAAAGGTAAATCGGTCACGAGCGGGTAGCGAAGAACACAACTCTTATTCGATCCAGTTACATACAGCAACTGCTTGCCGAGAACGAGCGCCTCAAGCAGAGTGTAAACGACGATACAAGCCATGAGGATACAACAGAGGTCACCAATGGGGATGACGAGAGAAGAGGAGACAATCCTCTCATTGAAAAAGAGGCATGGTTCATGCCATATGATCCTAGTCCTATTTACATAGGCGAGGCTGCTTGTACAGGCTTCTCAACACGAGTTCGGCAGCTTCTGGTGAGTGTCGAGGCCGAGAACCATATCCCGAGAACTTCTTTTATCAAGGGTAGGTGCGATTGCCACTTTCAGAAGGACATGAACGCTGACATGTGATAAGATGCCCAGTTGGATGCTGCTCTGAATACGACTGCGCAATGGCCAAGCAGACCTCAGGCTTTTCTGTTGATCAATACTGCTCTTAACACAATCGGCAAGTGTTACCACTTGTCTCCCGCTTCTGCGGTGCGGACCACGCTCGACCGCGCTTACCAAGACTTGCGATCTCTTGATCAGCTGGCAGTTTGCAAACTGTTCGTCCTCTTCGCGCTAGGAGAGGCATACTCTATCAGGTCACCATTAGACAACACGGGATTGCTACCTGGACTTCACTACTTTGCAAGAGCCAAAACCATCCTTCGAGTCATTCCGGAACGACCAAAAATCGACCACATTGAGATTCTCGTCATGTTTGCTTTGTACAACTCGGTCATGAACAGACGACATAGCGCTTTCCGTTATATCGGATCCGCGATTAGACTGGGTCTGACGATAGGACTGTATCAGAATATGGCAGAACGACAATTGCCGGACAAGGTCGCCAGACAACGTAGAGTTCGTCTTTGGTGGACAATGTATGTTCTGGACAGAATGATGAGCTCCAAAGTCGGCTATCCGACACTCCTGAAGGACGAGGATGTTGAGGTAGACCTTCCGACCGATGAAGGCTTGACGGAAGCACAAAAAGATGACTTCATAGATGCCGACTACCTGACTGCTAGTATCAGTCTAGCCCGCATCGCTGGCGGTATCATTGGCAGTCTTTACAGTCGAAGGAAGCTTCCTGACACTTTCTCGCAGCGAGTGCAAGCTGTTTTCCGTAAACTTCGAGATTGGGTCGAGGCCTTACCACCGAGTATGCAACTACGACAGGAAGATGCATCGAGCCAGGTTGCACGACACATTGTCATGCTACATCTATCATTCAACCAGTGTGTTATACTAGCCACTCGGCCTATACTGCTCCATGTCTTCAGAATCTCGAACAAGATTGGAGGTGCTACAGAAGAGATCTCTCAAGCAACTCTGGCATTGGCATCGACGTGCACTCACTCAGCATCCCACAGCTATCGCTTGCTGATGCGGAGTTGGGTCAATGGCTCTTTCTTCACCCTTGACTATCTATCTGCCCAGTATCTGTTTGCTTCAGCCACCGTCCTGGCGATATCGAGTCTCTCTCCCGACAGCCATGCAAAGTCGCATCAGAACGACCTGGAATCAGCCACTCATCTCTTACGTCAACTGAGCATGCTAGGCAATCTGGCAGCTTCCGAATTCTGCACACATCTAGATGCTGTGCTGAGATCTACTGTCACGTTCAAGGCCTCGCGAGGTGAATCTAGCGAAGCCTCGACTATGGTGCAGGCCAGTCCCGCTGCTAGTCGTCCTGATACCGTTACCACTGAGATGGCGCTTTTTGGTCCTCTAGTGGGAGACTTTTTGACGCAGACGGATACTGAGCTTGGTGTACCTTTGCTTCTTGATGACAGTGCTCTGGATTGGAGCGCGTGGGCTGGAGTTTTGGCTGATCAGGAACCAACCNCCGGACATATCAATATTGGACTTTGATCTATATATCCCAACGTTTTAACGAAGAAATTTATTACTCCACTGTCGTTCGTCAGCTCCACTTCGTATATGCTAGCTCGATGTCCGAGTATAACGTGAATGTTTCTAATATGCTGGGGCATCTCACAATTTCATACTCGACCTCTTGCTCACGGCGGCATGCGCCAATATTGTAAGCTATGGAAATGCACGACTGTCTTCGGAGTCAGCAGTGTGGCCACAGAGAGCAGTCCCAGACAAAGCCTCTCGGTGGTCATCGCTTGGTTATCCAAAGTATCGTGCATTTTCACAACTACATGTGATACTCTCGATCACACAGGGAGTCCTGACAGAACATGGGTAAGATCACGAACCTGACGATCTTGAGGCACAAGTGACGATGACGCGAAATTTCCAATCGGGTTCCGGAAAATTTATGTCATTAAATACATTTCAATTGATATTAAGATTCTTGGATTGATTCTCGATTTCCCTAATGCATTTTCACTCCAGTCGCAGTTTCCTTGATTTGTGAATTCCCTTTCTTCCTAGGCTAAACTCTCTCAGACTGTACCTCCCTAAGCTGAACTATCCCCTTCTTGTATTTTCCTAGGCTGAATCATGTTTTGGTGTATCTGTAGCGGTTGGTTGAACAAGCAAAAAGCAATCCCAGAAGTAACAATGTACGAGCAGGAAACCTGTATCTAGCTCACGTGCTGAGTTTGGAGACCATATCAATCATGTGTCATCAAGGAAGCATTTGATTCCTTGTTATTATGAGGTCAGTCTTTAGTAGACTGCTTGCTTCCTCTGTCCGGCTATTTTCCATGATCGGGAGCCTTGATTTGATCTTTGTAGTCAATGCTTTGTCTGACTCCTCGTTGATCGTAGCGTTTCCCAGGAAATATTTCTCCAGCCTTTGCCCTATTTCAGTCTCGATCTCAAGCCCAAGTTCCATTATACTGAGAATCGTGCTTATGTTTCCTCCTTTCCATTATCCAAACCTTTGTCGCCCCCTTGATCTCCCATGCCTTCATTCAGATCTTCCTGCAAATCCATGTTTGATCTTTCCATGGCTGTATGCATCTACAAGGACCTGATTAGAGTATATGAAAACAGATGAACAAGTCAGAAACTTACGTAGTGCATAAACTCACCCTGGGTCCAAGAAGCTGCTCTCCTCAAATTCTCTTCTGTGAGGTCCAAGACAGACTCAAAGTCGGGTGCCTTGACTTTGGATGCAGCACCTGGAACTCCAGGGAGTGGCTTGACATGTAATTTGAGGCGGGGTGTGCACCTCTTTCCGTTGAATGTGTCATCCTTTGTACGGCGGACAGACATTCCCCGAATCACGACACTTAGGACCAGAGCCATGGTGCCATCGATTTGTTCCGACTCGGCGTTTCTGCTTTTGCTTTCGCGGAAATACGGCTCAAAGACGCGGGCATATCCGCGTCTTATCATGTGTGATAAAGCAGACCAGTCCATGGAGTCGTTTTCCTGTGAAGAAGCACTATTGACCATAGTACAGTACTTTCTTTCCAGAGCGCAACAGACCTCTGTGAAGATGCCATCCGTGAAGATGTTGTGGATCTCGTCCATGATCACTCTTTCCCAGAACATACCATGGAGTAGACCACGTGGCATGACTGTTTTGAGATCTCTCAGGGGTACTCGAGGTTCACGCCCCTCGAGCTCAGCCTGTGCCCTCTCCTCCTTTGAGATACGGCCCACACCCATCAAGCCTTGCATTCGAAGGTCCTGGTCTGAAGCGAATTCCACTCTGTCCCTGAACTCGTTTGAGATTCTGTGGTAGCTGACTAGAACAAAGTCGTATTGTGCCAATTATTCGGCAGTTTGCCCAGTTGTCTCCAGATCTTTGTACTCGAAGAGCGATGCTTGGGGAAAGACCTCAAGATACCTTGCGACCAGTCGCCTATAGTTGAGTCCGGAGCCACGATCAAGGTCGGTTCTTTGCGTTTGTTAACGAAGTTCAGTGCGATGCTTTGCACAACCTTTCCTCTGTCTTGCAAAAATATACACCCTCCATAGAGCTTGTCGATGTGTGCCGCTGTACCAATATCTTCGAGTTGATAATCTGAGAGTTTCAGATCACCTGACATTTCACGAGGCTGTTCTGTCAAACGGTGCTCTGTCCACTCCAGATGGAGGCCCGCAAGAGGAGCCAAGCCTTGTTGGACGTCCTTCCAGAGCATCTCGAGCTCTTCATCCACGTTCGGCGACAGCTTCTTCTTTCCCAGCTTGAATTCTGGTACGATATGGGTGTGGAAAAACTCCTCTCTCCTCTCAGCGAGCTGTTCGCGTTCATCATCTGGCTCCTGCCCCGGGGGTATTTTCGAGCCCAGCCTCTTGGTTCCAAGACGCGGTCGAAGGTATGTTCATAGTCTTTGTTTTTGAAGTCGAATTCATCATTTTGGTGGATAGAGTCCAGGAGTTGAGATGCCCGCGATGACTCAAAGAACGCAGGAAGCGGTACGGCATAGTTTGCGCACCATTCATTCAGATCGCTAACCTCGAGATCGTCGTAGCTGGCTATTGCGCCAGATTGGACGACAGAAGTTCTGTTTGCGAAGTCGCTGATTCAGATGTGTGAATTGTTCGAAAGGTAGGCGTGATGGTGTAATCGGCAGGTCACAGAGAGTTGCAAAAGGCCTGCAATCGACAAGAGGTACGGCCAGGGGGTCAAGAGACGGCTGGTGGAGAGGTGATCTTTGTTGATTGCTGTTGTGGAAGAGAAGGATGGTGTTTGGGTCGATAAGGAAAGGTTTGAGGAAGGGGGAGAGACGACTGAGTGAAATGAATGTTTTGTTTTGCGCTGTTGCGCAACAGAGTGGTAGTCGCAGAGTCGACAAGGAAAGGTGGAAGAAAGATAAGAAATGGCTGACACAAAGGTTTATCTTGTGTGCTGTTGCGTGAGAGAGGGGTAATCATGGATTTTAGGAAAACAAGAGATAGCTGAGTGAAAGAGGTGTTTTGTTGTGAGACTTGCGTTTGTGAGTCGTGTGTCCGTCTGCTTTCACGAATCATTTTCTTTGTTGTGTCCGCTTACTGGCCCTTCAAGCAACTGAACCCAGTTGCTAGAGCATCTCAATCAACCAATAGCCGACCTCATACCCGCCTACTGGCCCTTCCAGCAACTAAATTTAGTTGCCAGAGCATCCCCCTCAAGCACTACCCAGCCTCTAAACCGCCAACTGGAACGTTCAGCAACTAAATTAGTTGCCAGAGCATCCCCCTCAAACACTGTCCAGTCTCTCAACGACTTCCTGAGAAATTCAGCAACTAGATTTAGTTGCCGGAACATCCCAATCAATAAATATCCCACTCTTTGCCCGGCTACTGACCCTTTCAGAAACCGAATTTAGTTGCCAGAGTATCCCGCTCGAGCGATATCCAGCCTCATAACGACTCGCTAGAATCTTCAGAAACTAAACTAGGTTGCCAGAGCATCCCACTTGAGTAAGATCCAGCCTCTCATCCTCTCCCTAGAATCTTTAACAACTCAACTTGTTTGCCGGAGCATCTCAATCAACCATAATCCAAGTTCTTGCCCAGTTACTGGCCCTCTCAGCAACTAGGTCTAGTCGTTAGAGCATTTCTCCAACCACTTGTTAGTCCTTTGGACAGTTGAGTTTAAATGACGGAACCTCTTGTCTGCCAAAATCCAGCTCCGAACCACTTGCCGGCTGCCTTATCAACTATTCTAGATGATGGGACATCTCGCTGACCACTCGCTCGGTAGTGCATCCAGTTCACCGAAAAGAATGCATACTTGACTTCACATGTAAACCCGCGCTATACAGTGCGTCTTAGCATAAACAATCTTTCAGCCGTTCGATATCAGATAGCATACTGTTTTGCTAAGTTTATCTTGCTCTGTTGCCGTCTAATTTGAGATGATAACATGTCTTGATGTTAGTCTCCGGCATGAACGACCTTTTCACCATCTCGCTCCAGATGGCCATATTGCTTCGACAAGCTAACCTTGCTCTGCTGTCATCCAAATTCAGATTTTAGCTTGTCTGTTATATCCGATCTCTAGCTCAAACTATTCAAGATTAACTAACCAAGCTCTGCTGAAATCCAAAATCAGACTCCAGATGTCTATGATATCAGGATTCTACACAAACAGCACACAAAAGCTCTTCAGCCATCTTAAGTTCGGACTGTCACATCATTTTGATCAGTGAACCTTTCTCTGCTACCATCGGGAATCAGATGATAGCGGGTCTGCTATTGTGCCTAGCTTCTAGCGTAAGCAACCCTCGGGACAACTAAGTTTCGATGGTAACACTGCTTCCATTCAAACCACAACACTGCTTCACTATCACCAATCCATCTCCATCTCCATCTTCTCTTTACTGTATCAGCCTCGCCGTGCCACATCACACGTCTCTTACGTTAGGCCACATCACCCGGCGCTTCAAATCTCCTCCATCCTGCGTACACTCTCCAAGGATATCATCTTTGTCAACGACCGAGGCACACAACGTACGAAATTTTTCTCTGCTCTCAACAAAGAACACACACCGCCAGAAGCCCGCCGACATGGATCGTCCAGCCTCTTTTGCTTCCCTTCCACCAGAAATAGTCGCCAAAATTTGCCATAACTCTGACTTTGATAAGGAAGACCTCATCGCCCTCCGCCTCACTAGCAAATCTTAAGGCATCCATCTCTCTGCTCCCAAGTAGTTCGCCGATCGTTACTTCNGAAAAATCAGGCTTNTTTACACACGCTACAGTCTGCACACCTTCGTGGAGATTTGCAAGCACTCTACCCTTGGCCCTGCAGTCCGAGAAGTCCGACTCTCTTGTATCCGATTTCTGCCAGATTGTTTTGAAGAAGAAAGCAAGGGTGTATCTGAATATCTTTCCCTGATTTTTCCCGAGTCAGGGTCAAAAAGGCGCCATAGGTATCTGAATAGCATACGAGGACTCGTCAACCGTTGCGACGAAGAAGAGAGCCTCATAGAACATGGCGATGCCGAAGATCTCCTGGCTGCAGCGTTTACGGCGCTTTNNTCGCACTGGCGTCATCCTCTGGAAGTCGCTGTATCGTTTTGGGAGTCTGGTGCACTGGGCCTAAAGCGAATCTACAGTCCCAACAACATGGGCGAAAACGCACACTGGGCGTGTGATATAGTTGGGACAGTCGAACTGCTTTGTCATGCGGCTACCCGGGGCACAAGTATTGTACAGAGGCTCCGGATTCGCGGTCTTGTTTGGGACAAATTGGCCGATAGCTCTTCCAACTCATTGAGCTCATTAGCCCAGCTCTCCGAGCTCGATCTGGACNATCTGAGAACTTTGAATGAGGAAGACATTGTACGGGTTGCAGGGCTCGATGACATGGTGACCAAGCTGTTAGGCAATGCAGTTCATCTGAAAGCCTTGCATATCTATACTTGTGATGACGGCAACCACAAATATCTTCACAAAATCTTCGCAACCATATCGACTATGATGCTTGAAAAGATTACACTAAGAGGTATCGATCTCGATATGTTCAGACTTTTCAAGAACAGAATCCAGTCTTTGCGTCATCTGGGTCTGTTTGGATGCCAGACCGACAGAAACCTGAAGAGCGTCTTACTATTGATCCAGGCAGACTTCCCCCAACTTGATTATTTCTGTCTTTGCGGCTTTGAGGGACGTTGCATAAGCCAAAGAACCGAAATCGAATGTAGGGGTCTGCAAGGAGTCAACGATGGCATAAATGAGCCGATACAGTCAGGGCAGGGTTACTACAACAATACTGAACCGACCTTAGCTTGGGAGACCAATACTTGGCAGAGCGACGAAGGCTAAAGGCCAAAACGAGGGGCTGGAATGCTGTTTTCAAGGCTTGTGACTGGGAGATGATGGAAACTGGTAACGAGGATGGTTCCTTCAGGGTTTCGTGGCTCTGGTCGGTTAAATGGAAAAGGCATGTATATTAGCAGATAATGCCCGCATATCATGCAAGCAACTTACTCAAATCACAACGGCAATGCATCTCTCAGGCCAGTTTTCAGCACGAATAACTATTCAGCCATCTAGATCCGGATGGCCGCAAGGTTTGATAAATCAAGGATGCTCTTTTGCCATAGAAACCCGGATCGAAGCATGCTCTTTATGTCAATTTCCTCACAATAAATTGGCCTCTAGGTATTCGAATTAGACGGCCTTACTGCCTTCCGAAGTATTGCTGGCTCTTTTGCTTGATTATGTTTAGTCTTGTCGAGGAAGACATCTATCGGTGATGATACCGAGAGTGTTGAGGCTGTTAATATTGAGCCGATATATGAAAATGAAGAGGTGGATGACTTTGTCAACTTGCCGACCTGAATATTTTCGTAAAGATGCACATGCAGTTCCTGCTTGAATAAGTACAGTGATCAACGAATGTGTATCATGGCACGACATGGAGCTCTGCCAAGACAATTCTCGAACGGAGCAACGAGAGTGAAGCCTCGAGGCTTGGCCACGTTCGAACGGGACCTTGTTTGTAGTCTATTTTCTCTGATTCTTGTTCGAAAGGTAGTTGTTATGCTGCTCTTGCACGTTAAGGGAATCGTGTCGGCTAGATACATGTCTGCCAAATGCAAAAGCTTCGGCCTTTCGCTGCTGTCTGCAAGCAAAGAAAAAGATAGCTCATCACGGGGCTCGAACCCGCAGCCTTCCGCTTTCTGCACTATGTGCGTAGGAGGCGGATGCGCTACCATTGCGCCAAACGAGCGAGAAATCGTGGTATTGACAAAAAGTGCGGCTTGATCATATATGAAGCCTCAAAAGTGAAGCTTCACAGGCTGCGGGCACATCAAGCTGCGGGTTTAGAGCCCCGTGATGAGCTATCTTTTTCTTTGCTTGCAGACAGCAGCGAAAGGCCGAAAGCTTTTATGCTGAGGCACAAGGCCTCAGCGCTCATGGTTCGTTGTGTTTGGGGGAAGAGTGATTGACGAATTTTTGAAGAACCCCTACATGCATTCCCAATTAGCTCATCACCTTGTGTCTCTTCTGATCAGGACGAAATCCCCTGTTCAGCTTGTTGTAGGCGGTTGATACTCCCCAGTTGAAGCTGCCAAGATCATGCATTGTATGAACACTTTCTATGTCAAGTCCACACACATATAATGCGAAGGTATATCTTTTGAGGCAGCCGGCGCTAGCCTAATATGGTGTAGTGTTTTCCTGTTTTAGTGTCGAGCGACTTCCAGAAGGACAGCTGGTTGTTGACCCTGAGCCTTTTTCTGAAACTTGGATCAATACAACGACGGCCCGTCATATAATCTAGAAATTTGCTCTTCTCCTTCCTTTTCGACTTCAAGAAATCGGACGACCTTCTGGCAGGGATACCGGATCCTTGTCTTGACTTTCAACTTTTTCCCGAAACCACACAAAATCAGAATGGCGAGCAACGGCGGAGTCAAGCAGAGGAGTGGAAATGGAGTATTGGACGAGAAGGCCCTGTTGCAAAGGCAGGTTGATGGTCTTGCAACTGATCGATCATCATCAGGCAGTGCGCAGACGACGAAGAATCTCATAATCTGCGTGGGAGGAATCTACGCATCTNTTGTATGTTTCGTCCAATCTGCGGAGATGCACACAAGGCCATGCTAACAACAGATCAGTCTCACATGGGGAGTTCTTCAAGAACGCATCACAACGACACAATACGGCAGCTCATTGGCCCCGGAGAAGTTCAATTCTCCTGTCTTCATCAACACGGTCCAATCGACTTTTGCAGCACTGCTGGGATATCTCTACGTGCTATTCACACGCAAGCAGTCGAATGATCTTCCCATCTTCCCTAGCCGCAGCATCGTCTTCCCTATGTTCCTGGTAGCCATCACATCTTCTCTGGCTTCTCCATTCGGTTATGCATCGCTGAAGCACGTCGATTACATTACCTTCATCCTGGCCAAGTCGTGCAAGCTTCTCCCGGTCATGGCTCTGCATGTCACTCTCTTCCGTCGCAAGTACCCTCTCTACAAGTACTGCGTTGTGGCACTCGTCACGGCTGGTGTAGCAGTCTTTACTCTGCACCACCCTACTTCATCCAAGAAGAAGGGAGCAGACGGTAGCAGCGCATGGGGACTGTTGCTTCTTGGTATCAACTTGCTTTTCGATGGTCTCACCAACTCGACTCAGGACCACATTTACAAGTCGTACAGACCGTACACTGGACAGCAAATGATGTGTGCGCTCAACTCTATCAGCACTCTTTTGACTTCGGTATATCTATTGATTTCTCCTTACATCGCCACCACACCTGTTGGAGCATATCTCGGCATGAGTGCCGCTTCTGGAGGAGAATTGGAGTACGCTATTAATTTCATCAGAAGATACCCGAGTGTCGGTTGGGATATTTTTGCATTTGCTGCCTGCGGTGCTTTGGGTCAAATGTTCATCTGTAAGTTGTTTTACTCTCTCTGCATGAGAGACATTTCGGAGCTGACCAGCATGCCAGTCTACACTCTTTCGACCTTTGGGTCGCTCCTCTTGGTTACCGTTACAGTGACCAGAAAGATGCTTACCATGATTTTGTCGGTCGTCTGGTTCGGTCATCGCCTTAGCCCAATGCAGTGGGTCGGTGTTGGCTTGGTATTCGGAGGTGTCTTTGTCGAGGCACAGCTCTCTAAGCAAGAGAAGCTCGCCAAGGACCGCGCAAAGAAGGAGGAGGTGAAGAAGTCTTCTTGATCGTACTAAATTGCCATTTTATCTTTGTATGAATAAACAGCTGGGTACATAGAAGGGAGTGCAGGCAACTCTTTGACTAGAATAATTAAAATACAGTGTAAGGCTCCGGGTATGGTTGCTCCCGAGCAGTACTTGCAATCCTATCCAACCATTTTTCTCCAGATCGAAAAGATGAAGTCGCTGTAAGAACCTGTTACCATGGCGAAGTTACGGCTCTGATCGGAATACTAAGTGCCCGTTAGAAAGCATGCACTTTGCACCGTGGCTTTCCACGCGTATCGAGAGCTTCGAAGTCTATCTCTATAAGCAAGCCCACGCGGTCCTGGAAAAGAGTCGAGCAGAGCACAAACTGCATACGCGCAACCAGCATCTTTGGTTCTGAACCATGGCCAAGTGTCTCTCCATGCAGGGATCGTGATGGATGGCCTCATGAAAGCGTCAGTCTGGAGAAGAATTGAATAGAACGAGGTCCAAGCTTCACCTATAACCCCACAAATCGACGGGTGATGTCATGGCTACCTCAAGCTCGTCTCCACCAAGGCACGGCAAAGAAAGCTATAAACACTTGAGATCGCGCCTACTTTTGTTGTTAAATCTTCATTCGAATCTTCTAAATACTCAACAACTCTCCTCAAACCCATAAACCACACACAATCACCGCCACAATGTTCCGCTCTACCATCATCCGCAACGCCCGCCTCTTCAGCACCAACGCGCGCCTCCAGAAGTCTGCCACCGAGACCATCAAGGAGGCCGCTCAGGCTGTTGACAGAACCATTTCCGATGCCGCCGTCAAGGGCATTGAGACTGGCGGTATGTCTTCGATTCCCCTTCCTATTTTTCCTACTCCTCACTAACACCCTTGTCAGAGCAAGCCGCCGCATCCCTCAAGTCCGCCACCAACATGAGCGCCGGCGAGGCTAAGGGCACCGCCAACAAGATGGCCGGCCAAGCACAAGGCAAGGCCTCCGAGCTCGCCGGCCAAGCCAAGGGCAAGGCCAACGAGATGTCTGGCTCAGCACCCGGTTCCGCATCAGAAGCTTCCGGGCAGGTCCAGGGCAAGGCTTCCGAACTCATGGGCGAGGCCGAGGGCAAGGCCAACGAGCTTTCCGGCCAAGCAAAGGGCAAGGCTGAGGAGATCAAGGGAAAGATGTAAAGCTGATCTCCCACACAACAACTTTTATGATATGAGACGACACACTTTGCTTTCTTAGTTAATAGCGGCTGGTCACAAGCCGCGACGGAACGGAAATCCAGGCTCAGCGGTCCCGGGTTTTCGTCTTCTTAATTACCCAATTACATGATCTTGTCAACTCTTCACTTCTCTTGTCTTCTCTTTCATCTATCAAGTCGTCTTTGTGTTGCACAGGTCATAAACATGGTGGGTTACTGAATGAGTCGGAAGGAAGCCAAGATGAAGAATGCTTTTTCGAAACCCAAGTACGCAAGCTGTAACCCTGTCCGCATCTCTCGAGTTAAGATCACTCTACGATCGCCCCGAACAATCATACTGTGCTGTCTACATTTTCGGTCACGATGAGAGTACACTTTGATGTGTTTATGAAGGATACACCCAGCTTTTGTGTCCACCCTAGGCAATTGTCGATTATTGAGCTCCTTTCTTCAAAAGCATGCTTCTTCAAGCCTTTCTGTGGTCGACCAAGTTAAACGTCAAAAACACCAATTGCGCAGAGAAAGAACCTTCAGACTCAATGATTGAGATATCGGGTGTCTTCAAAAATGCCTAGTAGAGCTGCAGCAATCCAGTGGCCGACATGAGTTGAGATACATTGTGCCATTCTCAAGAACAGGGTGGCACTAGCAGCAATCACTCTTGAGAGTAAGAGCAGTGCGGACGTTAAATGGCATGGAATAAGTAGAATATTGGAATATTCCACTAATTTAAGGTAGAATATTCTACCCAGTTAGCATGGAATAGAATCGTCAATTTAAGTAGAATATTCTACCATTCCACCACTTAGTATAGCTAGTGTTACTACGGTTAATAATAGTAAGCCTTAGCTTAGAGCGTACTATACTTAGGTATAGCAATCGCACGCGAAAAACTTACTATAACGCCCTTTCTAATTAGTAACCTATCTAAGCTCTCTAATTAGCTAGATCTTATCTTAGAGATAAGATTATAAGCTCCGACTAGCTAATTCATCGTTAGCTTACGTAAAGTCTTATGCGTCCTTTTCGACGCGTCTTAACTACTCCCTTTCTATTTATTAACTATCCTATCTTCTACCTTCTTACTTAACATTAGAGCTTAGCTCTTAGTCGTTTTTCCATCTTAATAAGTACATAATCTACCTTTAATTACAACCCTTATATCATGTATTTAACAGCTAATTAAGAGCATAAGTTATAAGAGCTATAAAGCTAACTAAACTCTTAAGTATCTTAGAGCTAGCCGCTATACGCCTCTAAGTAGAGCACCCTCTTTAAATTCGCCTCTAATACTCTAAGGCCTAGACTCTTCGCTCCTTAGAGTTAATTAGATAGTATCTTGATTAAAGGTAACAACTCTAAGACTAACGATAGCGCCTCTAATGTCGACTAGCCGTTATTTCCTCCTTTAAAGTAACGACGACTAACGCTAACGACCCCTAGCAACTATATCGATAACTCTAAATCTACGTTAATATAGCGCTCTTAAAAGCTAGCTCCTACCCGTAGCGATTCTAAAGAGCTCTAGTCTTATACTAGAGCTCGTCGTCCTAGAGAGCGTAAGCGTAAGCGTAAGAACAAGATTTAGTACTACTTCTATAGCAATAGAGACTGTCCTCGTAACTATAACACTACTAACTACGACAACATTAGATTACACCTTAAGAAGAGATATAGCTAGAGATAGGTAACTAGTACACTTTTAAAGATGCTAGTAGTAGTAATACCCTCTTAGATATCTTATACTATTACCGATATCGATAAAACTCGCTTAAATAGACGCCTTATCGATTATATCACCTTAAGTAACATCCTATTCCGTACTGCTAGTAATCCTCTACTCTATACGCTACTCGATAAGGTACTTTCTAGCGCCTTAAAGCTCTTAATTAAGAGTTATTCTACGGTTGCTAAACATATTAAAAAGGAGCATAACTTCTATTAAGAGTAGCTTAAGGCACTACTTATAACCTCTCGATTATTAATCTACTTTACCTACGATGCTTAGACGGCTAATTATGGTAACTATAAGCTACTTAGTATTATAGCTCGATTTATCGCCTTAAACGGCAGGTTAAGTAAGGCATTGCTAGCTCTTTATAAGCTATTAGCTAGCTATACTAGTACTTAGTGTGCTCCTCTTTTCTTTAACACTATCGTTACCTATAGCATTAAGCAGAAGATCGGATATATTACCTCTAATAATGCTACCTATAACGACACTATAATAAGCTACCTTACTAGTCTATTTAGCGAGCGTCTATCTATCGATTAGGATCCTATATAACATCGAACTCGCTACTTTAGACATTAGATTAACCTTACTAGTTAAGCACTTATATTAGTAAGCTCGATAAACGCCGTAGCTAATGTAATTAATTAAAGTTAAGATCCCTTAAAAGCTATCTTAACGCTTGCTTAAGGCACTAGCCTTACTAATTATAAAGCTCTTAACTACCTCCGTTAGTTTTTAAGTAGATTATAAGGTTAGCTCGCCGTCGTCGTAAGATTAAGGTAGCTACTAGTATATCTCCTATACTTAATAATACTATAAGGTGGAATAGCTAGCTAGCTATAATTAAGCGAGGGATCTAATCTCGAGCAACTATAAGTACTATTTAGTCTACTAACGAGCATATAGAGCATACTACTCTCTAGCGGCGCTACTAGTAGTTTCTTAAAGCGCTTATTAACTTTATAGAACCACTATAGGAGGTAACTAAGCTATGTAAAGGCGACAACGCCACTCTTAATTAGGTACTTATGTTAATGGATTTCTTACGTAAGCACTATAAGAACTACACGATCTAAGGCGCTTCTACCGATCGAGCGCTTATTGCCGCTATCTAGACTAGCTAATTTGCACTTAATAAGTAGCAAACTATTAACAACTATACCCCTACCTATACGGTAGCGCTTCTCCTCTACCTAACCTATCGTAAGGCCTATATTAATAAGTAATAGCCTCCGTTATAGCGAGTACTAGCTATTACTACTACGCGCGCTTTATGGACTACTAAGTATAAGAATAAGATTAAGCCTATTATATTAACACCATTATTAAGAGAGGAGGAATCAAATAAGCTAGCTAAGTAGTAGGCCTTAATACGGCATATAAGCTTAGTTACTATACCTAAGAAGTTTATCTAGTTTACTAAGAGTCCTCTAATACTTGTTAAAGACGCTATATACTAGTAGCTTAAGCTAATATAGTAACATAACTATCTAAACCTCTTTTAGATAGCTATTAATATCCTCTTAATTAATCTAATGTCTACTAAGTTAGAGAGGGTATTTAGTAGCTATAGAAGGACACTATTATAGGACCGAGTAAGCCTCTCTACTAATAACCTTAGCTATATTAAGTGCCTTAAGAGCTAGCAGAAGAACCTCTGTTTTAATAAGGTTAACCTATTAATTACCACTAACAAAGGACTAAAAGATTACGTAGGAGGACTGGAAGGTCACGTGGAGGGACAGGGTGACCCACAAGAAGGACAGGGTTACTGCCACGACGACGACGGAGTTGGAATTGGCATCATTCCACTAGATAATTAACATGGAATGGAATATTAGCTAGAAGTAGTGGCATGGCATGGCATGGCATGAAGCCGAAATTCCACCGATTCCATGTAACGACCGCTCTGAGTGAGAGAAATGTAGCAAACTAGAATATAGAATGTAGTAACAGGAACGCTCAGGACCAATGCAGCAGCGTCGTAGCTATGTATATCACTGAGCCATGATCATATCTCTGTTGTCGTGGAGCAAAAAGCAACGACCTATACCTTCAGACTTCGACGAGCCTTCTCTTGGTCACCTAGTCAGACCCCTTCGACCCCAATTTTCTCGATTCATACTGATACTTTCAAGAATTCTGGAGCAAATCATAAACCTCGCTCGCTTATCACCTCGTTCTTGCAAACACCACACAGTGACATTTCGCAAATGCCACAACGCCATGCCACATCTTCTTCTGCAGCGTGCTTGTGGTTGTTCACTCCAGCGCCCTGGCTTCCTGAAGATGAGTCAGAATCTGATCTTTGCACAGTCGCATAAGTCCTGAAGAAGCAGCGGAAGCACTCTGTACTAAGTGGTACACCCCGCTTGAATGCTTCCTCTGGGAGTTGAGCAGGTCTGAAGACATGAGCGCATGACCAGATCGACACATGATAACCATCTTCGGGTTCCTCGCCGAAGAAAGCGCCTGTGGTTTCCCAAACTCGACGACCACCAGCATCAAGGTTGATTGGCGGCTCAATAGTGAACTCAGGACGGACTGCATCTGCTGAAGCGTTTGTGGATTGGTTTGCTGGAGTGACGACCCTTCCTGGAGCAGAAGCATTTCCTGGAGACGGAACTGTAGCTGTGGCATTCTGCCCGCCGTTGTGAGTTCCTTGAAGAAAGGCACTAGTTGGAGGAATGTGAGGATCAGTTTCCTCGTCGCTGTAACCCTCATCTTCGCTGTCGGAATCGCCCGAATCACATCCACACTCATCAAATGTACGGAGACAACCCCAACACCAATGAGCGCCACAGCGGCACTGCATGTGGCGACAGCCGAACATCCTCTTCACACCGTGGCCACAACGAGGGCATTTCTTGTAGCCATATGTCTCGAGCATTGCAAGCTCATGATCTTGGGCAGCGGTATCGCAAGGTTGTCCGAAATGGGCGACTTGTTTACAGATGGGACAGATTCCGATGTGACAACCTGGACAAGAGAAGCAGGCAGAAGCAGGCAGTTTGGTAAACTTGCTGCTGACTCGGACTTTGACTTTACCAATCTCCTTCCACAAATGTCTCCTTAAAACATCGGCACTAGCGGAGGCTGGTTGGGGCATGGAGCGGCCATAGGAGAATAGTCGTTTGAGGTCAGAGTCAAACTCAACCATGTTGGAGTAGCGTGGAAGTTTTGCAGAAATGTCCTCAAGCCAGACCATTTTTCCAGGGCACTTCCAATTTTGGATCCCATGATCTTCGGGAGATGTAGCATTCAGGAGGTATCGAGCACAGTCTTGTTGTTGGAGCTTTGTCATGATAGCGGAGAGCTCCTGTTTCAAGAGACCCCAGAGATCGATCGAATCGGTAGAAGGAGGCGGTAGGACTGCACGATCAGGGATGAAGCGGGAGCATTGAGGAATGGGACAGTAAGTCTTNTTGGTCGAGACCCACTCCTCAAACTTGAGACGATACTCGTCAGCTTCGGTGGTGGAAAGAAAGTCGAGAGCGACGATGGTCGACAAGATGGTGCAGCATCTGGGTGGCATCGAAGTTGAGTCGCGGGTAGCTTCCAAGAACATGCTTCTAATACAGTCTCCGCAGTATGCGGAAGTGCAGAGGCGACATGGCTGCAGCACTGGAGCTCTACTCGCTTCGCAGCATATATCACATTCTCTTTTGATGTCTTCGGCTTTGAGTGGAGTAGGCTTGTCAAGTTTGGCAGGAGCTGGCAGGCTTGAACGGCCCGGCAAAAGAGCGAGACTTGGGTTGATGGGGTTAGTCATGGATGATGGCAAAGGTGGGTGGACGCGTGGAGCTTGGGTTGGATTAGGCAGCACGTGTGTAGACGAGAGTGTGGTAGGACTGAAGCCGGGCGAGGGCACGGGTGGATCAGGTCGAGAGAAAGTGAAAGTCGACGATGGCGGCGGAGGGTGAGAAGCTGTCTCAGGTTGAGCAAGATCTCGGTATGCTGCTTCTTGGCGTGGTGGACGACGAGGTGGGGGACGGTAGGGGCCTGACTCTGGAGACTCTCCAGCCACACGACGAGATCTGCGAACGGCGTGTTCCAGAGGACTCTCGTCGAGTCGACGCCCTTGTCCGGCTGCACGCCTTGTGCTTCTGAAAGACGACATGATAAAGGTGCCGATGGCAAAGGGCTGCTGTACCGGGATGTCTGGAGGACTGTGTCTTGAATCACCAGAGAGAACTGGAACAGCGCCAGTGATGGTGTCTTGGAAACTGTCCTCGATGTTCCCTGTGGTTTGAAGAGGGAGGTGCAGACGTGAGCGGACGCTCTGTTGGACGCGTTGGAAGAGGGAGCGAATGGTACGCAGAGTCAGTAGAGTGCGGCGGTGAGGACGGTGCTGTCGGACCCCATGTGCTGATTGAGGGACGTCCATGAAACTGCTTCTTGCGCATCGATCAGGCACCACCAACCGCCTCTGTGCTGAGCAAATTCCGATCAAGTGCAAGTTGAAGGAATGTCTGGAGGAAGGTAGCTGAGGCTTGAGTCATCAGAACATGTGAGGAAAGAGACCGAACTCCAAACTACTAACGTCAAGCACGCTCGACCAACACGCGCCTGCACCCAGTCTCGCGACTGCTCTTTCCTCGAACTTCAAGACCAAACCCAAAACGAGGCATTGAAAATCTCAGTGGCTAAAAGAAAATGCATGGGTATACTCATCTAAAGGATCTGCGTCTTCAATCTGTCTTGATGTGCATAAACAAAGCTGACATCAAGATCTTGTTATGAAGCTACCATCCCATCACAATCCACTCCTGAACGCCTTCGTCAATAATCGTCTCTAGTTGCTTCCATCCTTCTTCGATGACTTCACCAACCAGGTCAAAAGATCAACCTTGGTCACAACTGCCACAGCCTTGTAGCCACCCTTCTCGGATGTCTTCTCGGTGACAATGGCAGCGCTGTTCCACTCGAAGAAGCGGCTCAGTGCGCTCAACTTGGTGTCCTTTGTGATTTCGACAAATTGTCTGCGCTGGGGATGGCTCTCAGTCTCGCTGCTGGTGGCAGCCTTCTTGCGCTCCTCAGGAGTCTTGATGCTGATGTCTTGGGTGCTTGTAACAACCTCGTTGATCTTTCTGAAGTCGAACATGACATCGCTGACACAAGAGTGGCCAGTTGCACGGCCAGAGGAAAGGTATGACAGAAGGTTTCCAAGTGTGACGAGACCGACAAGACGCGAGCCAGAACCAGCCGAGACTGGGAGCTGGTCGAAGCCCTTCTCACGCATGGTTTCAATGGCATCTCCGCATGGCGAGTCTGCTGAAATGGTGGTGACAGGCTTCAAGCGCAGATCGCGAATGGTGGCATCACCATAGCCATCCTTGCTCTTGCCATCTTCGCTCTTTGCGACTGGTGTTGTAGGGGCGGAAAGTGGGGGAGTGGGAGGGAGGAGATCGTTTGCGGCCAACCAGTCGTCGTCAACAAACTGTAAAAGCGGTCAGTAATGCGGCGGGATCAAGATTCAGGAGAAACGAACCTTGCTCAAGTAGCTTCTAATGCTGTCAGGCAGAACAACGACAACAACGTCGTCCTCGGTCAGGTTGAGCTCAGTGCAAGCCTTGACACAGGCGGCCATGGCACTGCCACTGCTTCCTCCAACCAAAAGACCCTCCTCTCTAATCAGCTTTCTCGAATACTCGAAACTTGTGCGGTCATCGGTCTTGAACCATGTGTCGACACCTTGTTGATCCAGGACGTCAGGAATGAAGTCGTAGCCAATACCCTCAACCTTGTAAGGCTTGTCCTTGAAGTCGTCGTTCAGAGTAGCGGGCAGAGCAAGGATACTGCCGTGAGGATCGGCAGCGATGATCTTGACGTTCTTGTTGTGCTTTCTGATTCCTCTTGCCAGGCCGGTAATGGTGCCACCAGTACCAGCGCCAGCAACAAGAGCAGTGATCTTGCCGTCGGTTTGTGCCCAAATCTCCTCAGCTGTGCCGAGCTCGTGAGCCCTCGGGTTGTCGGGGTTGATGTACTGGTCAAGAATGACGGCACCGGGAATCTCCTTCTCCAGTCTTCTGGCGACACCAATGTGACTCTCGGGGCTGTCGTAGGCAGCCTGGGTAGGGGTTCTGATGATCTCGGCACCGAGAGCCTTGAGCACGGCGACCTTCTCTTGTGACATCTTCTCGGGCAGAGTGATGATGACCTTGTAGCCCTTGACGGCACCGACAAGAGCAAGACCAATACCAGTGTTTCCGGAAGTAGGCTCGATCAGGGTCGTCTTGGAAGGGTGGATGCGGCCAGAGGCCTCGGCGGCTTCGATCATGCGCAAAGCGATGCGGTCCTTGACACTGCCACCAGCATTGAAGAACTCAAGCTTGGCGTAGATGGTGGGCTTGAGACCGAGCGACTGGGGGATCTTGTTCAGGCGAACGAGAGGGGTGTTGCCGATCTGCTCGGTGATGGTCGACATGACGACGGGCGGGTGTCTGGGGTGCGACTTGATCGACATGGTGGGTGTTGATCAATGTAAGATTAGTGTTTAGTGAGAGAAAAGAAAGAGGAAATCAAGGTGTAGGAGAGATTCAGAGAAATACAGTTTGTCTCGTTCGCGCGCCCTGTGAGCTTTGGACCCTTGTTTGGCTATTTCTTAAGTAATGCCGAGACGCTCCGATCCTACGCATAAACGCCATTCGACCATCAGCCTCTGCGAACACGATCAAATTCATCAAAGCAGTTGCATACATACCTACAGCTTACATCTGCTGCGCAATCCACGTCCACCACGCATCCACTTGGGTCTTTTCGTCGCCCTTTGCGCTGGCGTTGCCTCCGAGCACGCTGACTTCAATCTCGGCCTCTTTCATCTGTCCAAAGTTAAAGTCGCCCTCACCGCCTTCACCCAGCCATTCCCTGTCCTCATCGTCTCCTTCAATGTCGACCGCGCTGTCGAGCAGTCCCTTTGCCCTGGTTGATCGAATTTTTGTGATTTCGTCTTCCAAGCGCTTCTTGACCAGTTGAGCGGGTAGTGCAGTAAATAGATCCAGCTTGTTGGCTGCGATCAAAACAGGAATTCCGGCGGGGCCCTTGCTGCTCTTCGCTCCAGTGTGCCTCTTTTGCAGAACGAGTAATGTATCGTGAAGGTAAGTAGCAGCCTCGGAAAGGCCTTGAGGGCTGGACAGAGCGGCCGCGTCAACAACAAAGATCAGGCCTTTAAGAGAGGCAGCGGCAGTAATGGTGTCGTAGGCGTGCTGGCGCAGCTTGCCATGGCCAGGAGTGTCAGTCACTTCGATCTGACGCTCTTTCTTGGTCGAAGGGTCGTCGGAAGCGCGATATTTGTGAGACTCGACAGTGATGCCAGTAGGGAGGGTGCATGTGACGGTTTGGGGAGCTTGCGATGTGTGAGTAGCAGTCGGTGTGCCGCGCTCGAANCTGTGCACGAGATTAGTATCTTTGTGCTAGAGTCGCAAGTGTTTGCGACGCACCAGAGTAAGGAGAGTTGTCTTGCCGGCACCACTAGGACCGAGCAGGACGAAGGATGGTACAACGACGGCGGCGCGCTGGCGGTACAGGAACAAGTGGAAGAGAATGGGCAGCGACAGCGACAGCAGCAATGTGAAGACCATGGCTCCGATGGTCGGGCTGAAGCTCCATGTGAGCCATTCCCGAGCCGTGTCCATGTCTACCGCCATCTTGGTCTATGTCGAGCGGTATGGGCAGTTACTAAGTCGTAGAGGGAGCTAGAGTAGGTATTGGCTTGAAAGCCCCAAACTTGGCCGATCGCGCTGCCGCCTTCCCACCTTGCGGCCCGAACACGCACCTGCCGAAACCTGGGGCATCTCCGTTCCTTGAGCTATCTTCCAACTTCCTCTCTGCCTCTCGAAATCAAGAGATCGGTTCTGTGACCTATTGTGACAAGGAAAGCCATCAATTCGTGCATCGTCGAGAGCTTGTGTCCGCTCGATTTATCAGAGTTTCTTTCGAGGGTACAGCTATCATCATGCCTCATGCATCCCATCTCTGTGCACTGTAACACATCCACTGCATCTTATGTTAATGAAGAAGTGTAGAACACAGCTTCTGCTTGAGAAGTGCGCAATCCTGGACAAGACGTGCAAGCATTGTGTGAGATGCCTGTTGTCTTCATATCTTGTCACCCAAAAATGGTCTCATCATCATCCATTATTGACGTCACCCTGAGCAAACGACTGTGCGGAGCAACCTCCTGATGGCAGCAGACAACTGCTTTCGGGATCCTTTGTTCGAGTACTCGTAGATACTTCTCAAACATCAGCTCAGCCTACGAATTCACCTAGATCATAAACATCACCAACTATCCTTCATAAACCACTCATCGTTATTCATCGATACCATCAACATGTTTGGAAGCAGCAACACCTTTGATCCCAACACTGACATTCCTGACCTTTCAGGCAAAGGTATGAATCGTATCAAGGAAAAGCCAACCCTAGCTAAATCCCACAAGNTCTACGTCGTGACTGGCGGATCAGCTGGTATCGGTTTTGGTATCTGCGCCCATATTCTCCAACACAACCCTGCCGCCCTTTATCTTCTTGGCAAGAAGGAGGAGCACATTCAGGAAGCTGAAGAAAAACTCAAAGAATACGGCGACATTTCAAAGGTCCACTCTGTCCAGATCGAGCTCGAAGACCTGAGGCAGACGGATCAAGTGGCCAAGGAGCTCGCTTCCAAACTCGACAGGCTCGACGCTCTCATCTGTAACGCTGGCCTAGGTGTGGGAGTCTTCAATTTGACCAAGGACGGTATCGACAGCCACATGCAGGTGAACCACATTTCACAATTCCATCTGGCTCAAACTTTGCTTCCCCTGCTCCAAAAGACTCCTGGTTCTCGTCTTGTCCTACAATCCTCGGATCTCCATCGCGGAATCAGTGATGTCAAGTTCGAATCCGAGGAAGAGCTCAACCAAGACATCGGTCCCATGATGCTCTACAACAGGACCAAACTCGCCCAAGTTCTCTACATCCGTGCTCTGGCAGACCGTAAGGCGAAGGCTCAACTAGGCTTCAGCGACAATGTGAGCTCTGGACCATTCATGAATGCTGTACATCCTGGTGGTGTTCAGACCGACCAGCAAAAGCAGGCTGTCGACGCTTATGGAACACTCGGTAAGATCGGTGTTGCAGCAGTGAAGCCTTTCTTGAAGGATCCCGTCGACGCTGGATGTCGTCCAGCACTTTTTGCAGCAACTAGCGAAGACGTGGTTAAGGAGACTATCCAAGGACAATACGTAAGTTTAAGGGTTCTGATATGTGTGAAAGCCTGCTAATAGGATGACCAGATCGTGCCTGACCGCAAGGTCACCGATCCATCAAGCCAGGCTTGCGACCAGCAACTTGGCGAGAATCTGTGGCAGCTAACTGAGAAGATCATTGTTGGCAAGTTGGGAAACGCTGTGCCATACAAGCTTCAGTACGCTTAGTGGCGTCCTGTTAAGGAGGTTTCTACATATAATGATATCTAGGCGGAATCTCACCCATTGTGGTCCAGAGCCAAGCAAGGTCAATCAGACAACACGTCTTTTTGCTAGCGTATGGGCATTGAACTCCGGCGATAACTCGCTATAATGACACGGTCGCTACATGTTTACATTCGCTCTTCCTCCATAAAGTGCTAGTGTGTGGTCAGTATTAGGGAACATGATGTGTCGCCCGTGGAGGAGCAGACACTACGTGCATCCTGTTGACGTGGCGCTGATTACAGGAAGTATTACGCATACTACTAACCATATGTGAGAAGCAATTCATAAGCCAAGAATCGACAGCACTGCCATGTCCCTACGTGCGTTGCCACATCATCGAAATGCGTCAACTCGACCGAGTCTTTTGGAGCCTCAACTGATTACACGGCTACCAACAGCGCCGCCTTGATCTGTCCGGTCCGTTTCTTGCATCACGAGTAATATCAGCACCACGCCATCAGCTCGCGGGAACATGTCAAGTGCAATATTGCCTCAACGAGGGAACATGCTTGCGTTGGAAGAGAGGGGTATGCCTAATCCTCATTCTTCCTTCCTAAGCAACATGGTCTTAGAGCCATGCATGTGCCATCATCTCTGACTACTGCGGCCAACATGTTATGGGATACGCGTCCTTTCGATGCAGTCATCAAGTAAAAACCCTCATGGCATTTGCAGCCNAAAAAGTTGGTATAGGCTATCCGCACGTGCTTACGAAGTGAACAATGACAACAACAAAGAAGTGACGATCGTCGAAAGAGAAGGCGCGTCGAGGCAGCAGCCGGCTCACTGGCAAAGACCAAAGAGGGNAGTTACACTCAACCTCGTTCTTTCTTACCTTGACTCGACAATCCTCAACAGACTTGCGGCTCGTTGGATGCTTGCTCCGTCTTTCCCGACGGGGATGGCGCTTCCCTCGAGATGCTCTCTACCATCTCCCGACGCAGCTTGATCTTCTGACAGATATTGACCGGGTGGGCTCGAGAGAAGGAGGGGCAGGGAAAGCTTGAAGATCGGCAGCTGAGCATAGGGCCAGAGAAGCAATCAAAGGCCCGAGTACCTGGATGAGAGTCTGCGTCGGAAAGCATCGGGTCCATGGTTCTCTGCCTCTCTTCAACTTGCCTCTATGCGCGTCTTCTGCATACAGAGACTATCAAACTGCGATGCCTGTTGTCGGTACTTTCCAACGACCATGATGACAATGACGCGTGGTTGATTGACAAACCTTTCTTGTCCTGCCCCGAAGAGTGATGGAGATTTTTATACTTGTAAGACTGTTTGGCGTTGGATTATGCCAGGCAAACGTGTGCGATGCAAACTGTTCAAGAACTGGATGAGAGAGGATAGTCTGTCTACAGTGCTGACGGGCCATTCCCACACACGTGAAAAAGTCACTGGACCACCCAAAAGACATGTCTCGAACCTTGTGATAGGACTTGAAACCGCTCTGGTCATCAAAGCTTGCAAGCCACCATACTTTCGGTGTGTAGTTGATCCTCTCGATTTCTTTGAACATGCACAGGCCAGAGGTTCGTTTCAGAAAGGACTGACGAGTCCGTGGAGACCGCTATAAGGCGATTGGTGCTATCAAAACAAGGCCAGAATTGCGTCTTCGGTGTTGTGCAGAGCTAGAGAGTGCTTCCCGTGTTGCTCAGCGTCAGTTCGTGACACGGAAGCCTCAAATCTCCGTCGTGCACCGTGTCATGACTTCTGCCTACACGCTTCGTTGGAAGTATGAGTATGGCATGAGCATGGAAGAAAGAAGGTCGATTGGGTATACTTTGTTCTGTTCCAATACCGAGGTATAGGCTCAGGGAGGTGGTTCCATCAGATCACCTGGGTGTTGGTTCGCTCACCGGACAGTGCTGCAAACGATAATTGGCGTCTCGACAGATTCCTGTAGTTTTTGCCTGCAGGTTCGAGTTGGAACCAGAATCGCTTGTTGTGAGCGATATAGCTGCAGGAGCATAGCACGTTCTAGTCAGGCCATGCTGCGCCAGATCTTCGCAGCACAATCATGTTATGCCAATGTATTGTACGTTAATGTTTCCCTGGTTGAGGTACTGCAGCTCGCCGCTCCGTAGACCCTAGATCCGTGAGTCACCCCGTGCGGAATTCGGACCGGTACGGGTTATGGCAGGTCCTTCTCAGCTATGTGCTCAACGACGGAAGCTCCCCAATAGAGCCGCCGGGGGTGCCTGAATCTATGGAGCCCCGCAGTAAGATGAATATAGCACGCACGTTCGCCTTTGAATTGTTCACGAGATCAGCGGCAAAGTGCTGCGGCAACGTTTGCCTGCAGTATCAAAATGGCCACGACTCCAGCATGGACACATGTACAGTACAGTACGATACGGTACGAGTACATTGGACCTTCTCTTTGGAACACTCCCAGCAAGCTGGGACTTGGCGATGTTATCCATCTGGGTAAGAGCAGAACTTGACGAGTCACCCTAATCGACCAGTAGGCAATGACAAATTGACGCATCGAGGAAGCGGACCATCTGATCAATCCACATGGTAGATGCCAAAAGATGTTCTGGCCTCTACTCCAGAATGCAGTGCTCGGGAAACATGCGCTCGACACTCGATGCTGTCCAACATGCAGAGTCGATTGGGCACTATGACATCTGGCGGAAGATTATCATCTTTCAACGCTGAAGCCACACTTGCACAAGAAGCCATCTGATCGGCGCGCGCTGATTGTCAGCCAAAGTGTAATTGTTGCATTACAAAGAACCATTCTGCTAAATTGAGCTGTAGTGGCAGTCGTCGTGTGAATATTGAGTCACCAGATTGTCGCATTCATCGACGACGAGAATAGCCCACCGCCAGAGCTTGCCATCAGACCGGAGAGCGCTTTCTCCAAATAAAGAAATCTTCCCAACAGCAAGCGCTTGGCCGAAGTTCTCTTCGCAGCTACGGACGAAACCATGACTGACGAAATGAGCCGAGTCGGGGCTTGGAGGATACGGTAGGATGCATGATTGAGCTGCAAAAGGCGACAGCGCGGTGTAGCAGTGAGATAATGTCCCATATGATCCGTATGTCAGACTGATATGGGTTGGATGCTGGAGGCCGTCGCTGGACCAAAGATCTGTTGAGCTTCACGGCCTTGACAAATCTTGATTAGATTCAGGCCCCAGAGCAGTGGTTTGTCCAGTCCTTCTGACTCGATGCCTATTTTGAAGCGCCCTCGGGTATGAGCTGTGACGAGTCTATACTTTTGCACTTCTTTGTTCTGAATATAGAGTAGGTAGGTAGGCTCTGGATGGAATGTGAGGTGAGAGGTAGAAAACACCAAGCTAACGCATGCAAGGCAAGCGGTGCCAACCCAAGCATGTCGCTTACCCACCAATCACAGCGACCGCTCACAAATGAGCATCTCCAACCACCTCCCTCTCCAATCCTCGAAACATTTCCGGGACGCCTGCACGTCACAATTCTTGTGGCTTGACCATCCATCAGGGGTGCGGGAGGCGTGGTTCAGATCGGAGCAAGGGGAAGCAAAACATCTGATCCATTCGTCATCCCTGATGGAGCCGCTGCCGCGTTCGAGACATGGCCGGGACGCGACAACCACCTATGTTCACTCACGTACACGTTGGTTTGCCCTCGGCTTCTTCTGAGAATTGCGCCCTGAATGTTGGCAATCCCATCGGCGGTCCAGGACCTTTTCCGCATAGCACGCAACTTGACGCGGGCCGTGGCTTGCTTGCCGCCGCCGCAAGATGCGCCCTCTCACGCATCTTCTGTATCAGCCCGGTTACGGGGTTGACTGACAGGAAACGGCTGGTCCAGCAACTGACCCAGAATGAGACAAATGCAGAGCTGCCCTGCAACTGTCTACGTTGGACCTCTCTCCGGATCTGCCGGGCCGAGCGGTTTGTTACGGGCCTCTGTGTCGGATCGACTTTCACTGTGCTGACCTGACAAACATTCTACCCTCTTTCTTTTTGTTCTGGATGCTAATTCCGCCTACGGTAAAACAACAAGGACATGTCAGTAGGTAGAGACGATCGTCAGCACTTCCTCACTTACAACCCAGCCTAGATTCGTTCAAGCAAGACGTACCGACAGTAGCCCAGATGGAGGGTATATCGCGCGCTAAGTTCTGCCGACCCAAGCGCTGCCAAGTAGTGTTGTTGTTGTTGATGTTCCTGCATGTGTATGGAGGGATCACCTGCATTTGCCGGCTCATGATCGAGTCTCTGATGATGGACCTTTGCACTTCCCAGCAAGGAGCTCCGCGTCTGCGTGATCAAGGCCGAAAAGGCCTCTGTTGCATTTGAGTCGAATCATTCTCCCTGGCTTCGGAGTTAGATAGGTAGACCAAATTCGGCAACGAGGCTACTGCAGCTTTCCCGTGTTACGCTTCTTCTTCCCAAGAGGCAACTAGAACGGTCTAAGCTCTCCATGGCTATGATTATACTGAGGCTGAACTAGTCCCCGTCAATTGGGTTTGGTTGCCTCGAACACGCAACTGAGGTCGCCTGGTACCTTGTGGTAGAAAAAGAGGGTCGAATCCTTCTCAAAAACCAAACGAGTTTTGGGTCCTGCTGGCTCTTGCAACTGTTTATCTCTTCGAAGTAGTGGACTGGCAAGCTCCCACTAGTCTCGAGTAAGTTTTTGACCATCAATGTTCATGGAAACCATGATACTCTCTCCCTTCATCCTCATCATCAGGTGTGTTAACTTTTGTCGCAGTTCCTCCTTGATATCACTTTCGTATGAACAAGACCTGCGATCAACCTCCACAATCCCCGAGGACAAGCACCTCAACGTTCGTTCACCCTACGCCAATCTCCTGCGCGAACATATCACTTCCTTGCTGTACGTCTTGTCATCTTCTGGTGATCTCGCAATCTATCCTGAAACTGACATCTATCAACGTGCATAGAGGCGCTTGCAGATCCAGCTGCTCACGCTCAGACCATCAAACATCTTGTGTGGAGAACGGATCCTTGTAAGTCGTCGTTCTGCATGACAGATGCCGAGAATCAGGAATGCATCGTTCCTCACCGCCATCTCAAATAACGTCGGGGCTTTTATTTTTCCTTTGTTTCCTTCTGGTTTCGGTCTGCAGCATACCGTGCCGACTCGTATTCTCAATGACAAGTCATATCTGTCTCGGAAGGAAACAAGACCATTGCTTACCATGGCTACTGTGCAGGTCCTATACATACTGGCTTCCCACATCGCCCCTCGACTGCCTTTTCGACTTGCTGCTGCTATCTTCGCAAGTCCGACGTTTCGAACAAGAATACCGCATCTCGATTCTGTGAAAGACGCAATACATCTTGTTCGGACCAGACATCTTCTCCATCTGATCTCAGATTGTGGCGTCTTTTGAGCCTCGGATCTGAACATCTATTCATCAAAATCGCAGTAGTCTACTGCACCTCGGACACATCCGCTGAACCATCCATTTCGGTCGACAGATCATCACCACTATTCAGGGCAGAGTTCAGAAGAAGCCAAAGTCTAAACCTGACAAGCCTCTTTGAAACAATTGTAAGTCAAGACTTTGTTATTTCTACATTCATGTCTTTTCTGCACTAGCAAGTGTTTTCTTGGTGGCGCGACGTTCATTTCCTCCAAAACCCTTACCATGCAGTTTGATTTGGCGCTGATGAGCAGCTGCGGCACAGCCAGCCCCACTTCCTGCACGAAGATAGCATCATCAATCTGTTCACATGAATCTGGTCGCGTCGATGAATTCTGGTATGCATCTCCTCTTCTTTACTTGCTTAATCATTCCACCTTCTTCATGCGGCATAACGTCACCTGGGTCTTTTTCGCAGTTGACCGCAATCCTACATCCTCTGTCTTGACCATCAGAAGCTGCGTGTCACCTACGTCTTGGGATTGAGTTCTTCTGCTGTACGACGGACAACCTTCATTGCCTTTTCTTGGCCTAAGGATGACAGGCGGCATCAACAGCAGGCCGTCTACGATATTTGGTTGGACCATCTGGTATGATCGAAATTGCTAACACTTGATTTTGCCAGGGACAGCATTCTTGCATCTACGGCACGATTATTCACTGCCAGCAGACCAAGAATGTCTTGAGCAACTCGGAGTTCATGCACATCAGCCTAGCTACCACAATCCTGGAAGCGTCGATCCTCTCCGACGTGACGACGGCTTGGGACATTCGAGTGCGAGCATGTTCTCGCTATCCAACAACTTCATTACAGATCGATCGGTAACAACCACCGACCAGTAAGTCTCTTTCTTTCTTATCCGCAGGTCACATGGGTTGTGCACCTTTGACCCCTCATCTCGTGCCGCCGCGATGGCTGGAGATTTGCCAGCCTAAAAACGATTGGCCTGGCGTGGTTCTTTGTGAAGAGACGCGGTTTCCCTATGAATCTGCCAACTCCGGGGTTCCGCTCATCTGTATTCGATCATGTCTTGGCCGTCAAGATGGCAGCACCTTGCCGCGCATCACAAGCCTGGCGTTGCAATTACAGGTCCGCGGTTGCTCATGCAGGTTTCTTCCCAACATTATGCCTCGCGCGCGCTGTTAGCCTGATGTCGCACATGCAAGCCTTTTCCTGCACTGCGTTCCTCCAGAAAATCTTATTCTTCTCCTCAGCGACATGAAACTCTTCAGGGACAATGACTGACAATCTTGCAGCGAAAGGTATCACCTAAGTGCGACAAGCTTTGCTGCCGCCGCTGGAGACGGCTCTGGTTCAATCTCGACCAGTCCTGGCTCTGCCACGTCCTCACTGGCCTACACTGCAAACTATCCAAACCATTACACAGCGTATGCCGCGCCTGTCGCACCTGTCCAACATTTCGTCAACCATTCTGGATTGAGTGGACGCATGTGAGTCCGGACCCTACAACCATTATCTGACATGCCTTGACCGGCATTGATGTTTATTCATTGTTGATCCACGCTCGACATTCGCTGACACAGATACGTTGTAGCCNTGGATGATCCAGCCCAAGGACTTGCTGCCTGGCGATCTCCAGCTCCAGCTCTAGGTCACTCACTGTCGCCATCCACAACCAGCATCACCACTCGTGACTACATTCACACAGGTAATCTTCCTACTCCGAGTCACCTATCTTCTCCTCCGACATCCACCTGCACGGGGTACTCGGAGACTCCACGTTCGTTGACTGGCGTCGCAACCNCCCTCTCTCCATCTTCAAACCCGCTTCTGTCTGCCCAAATGGCTTCTTTGAGCACTACTGGATATGGAACACATCGCAGCGAATGCCAGAACTTCCCCTGGGTGCAGCACGAGAGCTTCCACAATCTCGAATGCGAGGGCCAGGAGGTTGTGCCTAGAATTCACGCAAAGATGGAGAAAGGCTTCTTTTTGTCTCCTGACAGATCCTGGACATGTTACCGACGCAATTACTTTTCCGTGACTTGCTCATTCGAGCTAACGCCACACATTGGAAACGGAAGACTTTGTCTCAATGGTCAACGAGTTCAGGCCATGGGCATGAAGCTGACTGCAGCCGTCGACGGGCAAACGGGAAAAGGCGTCGAGCTCATCCAACACACACCCAAACGAGACCGAGGTCCCAAGAATGCGATCCCGATCATCAAGATATCACCCACTCCGCCCAATGGACGACCCGCCGAGTCGACTCTTAGCCCGCACGGTGTTTACCATGTGCCAATGTCTTCGTTCCACGCAACTGGCGTTCCCACTGGTCCACACCTTCCCTTTCAAAACACCCGCGACGAGTCTCCCGCATCGAGTCGATCGACGTCGCCCGCAGGCCGAAGACATGAATATACCTTTGGCCATCTTGCCAGCGGTCAACTGCCAATGCCGGGTCAAAACATCCAACACACATTCGAGCGTGTGCAGTTCAAATCAGCGACGGCCAACAATGGCAAGCGAAGAGCATCTCAGCAATACTTCCACCTCATGGTTGAGCTCTGGGTTGACGTTCGGGAAGATGAAACCAGGAAGCCCAAATGGATCAAGATTGCCTGCGCGATCAGCGACAAGGTGGTGGTGCGCGGTCGAAGCCCCAGCCATTACAAGGCTGAGAACCAAGGTGGTGGTTCTTCATCCACTGGTCGTGGAGGAAGCACTGGAGGCTATGACGGCTCGAGTGGAAGCTATGGTGGCCTGAATCGTGGTAGTTTCAGAGGAGCTGGCTACGCCACTGGGCCAGGCAACACAGGAGGGTTCCGTGCCAGTCAACAATACCAGTCGGCAGCATCGCCCGAGAAAGGATATTCGTCCAGCGCCGGGTCAAGTGTGGCCGAAGCGGTTGACATGAAGCACACTCTCGAAGCCGAACCCACTCACGATGAAGACATAGCGATGCAAGACTTTGCTGGTTATCAGTACATACCGACGACTCTTTACGACGGCACTTCGGTGCAAACCAAAGCGGACAGCCCAAACGCAACCTCAGGAGCCGGACAGACTGGCGATAAGAAGTTCTCGATCAGGGATGAGTATCCTGAAGCATTGCCTGGAACACAGTGGAGCATGGGCAACTGCAACCGCTTCCAGGGAGTGGAAAGCAGCAGAGGATATTACCCAGCGTTCAGCACCACTGGGTTCTAAAACGATATGTATGAAGCAGCGCGTCCAACAGTCGATGGTATGGGTCGGTTTCTTTCTCTTCTCATTTGTCTTTTCATGGCGATATCTTTTTCCGGCAACACTTTCCTTTCTCACAATCACGGTCCTTTTGAAAAGGTCATGGTATTAATGGAGTAATGGGCACATGGAGAAAAAGGAGAACAAAGGGGACCGGCGTTACGAGAGGGCCAGAGAAACAAACCACAGATGATGATGATACCCTTGGTCGGATTTTGGGCAGTACAGCATGCAGAGGCGAACGGAGACAAATGGCCCACGGAAACATGATGATGAGGATTATGACGGGAGGCAGCGCTGATGTAGCTTATGTTTCGCAGAATGCTTAAGACACAAGATGTCTCTAATATTATTGATGATCACTGAGCGAAGTGATGTTGATGATGTTGAGCTGAATAGTGTGAGTAGAGCGGTAACGCTGGTGAATGGAAGCTTCCAGAAGGCGACTTTGCGTGGGCAAAACGAGTAGGTTTCGGGAGCCGTTTTTGTCGCCAGTCATTTGCGAGAGAGCGAGCCAGCGCGAGTCAGATGTTCCCAAGAGTCTTTGCTAGAAACACTCCATCGCCGTCAGTGTCGTCTTCTGCGCCGAAGAGCACCAACACCCAGGCTCAATCCGCCGCCAGAGACACTCCTTTGCCACGCCCATCTTCGGCCTCTCAGCGCCCGACCTCCAGCCGTACCACGAGCCGGCCGCTGTCCCGCTCTCCAGAGAAAACCCCGAGCGCCAAAGCCGACAAAAAGTCGTGGTCGCCCAAGAAGCAGGATAGAGCACACGACCCCGACACACATCCGCTCAACCTTCCTCCTCAAGAGCGCGCTCGTCTGTCGAGACTGGCTGCCAGGATGGACCAAGAAAAGCAACAGACTAATGGCAACGGCACCGCCGACAAGCCCACCCAGAATGGCGATGCTGCTCCAGCTCCTCCGCCGCACAAGACAGCCACCACTCCTCCCCCTCCGAGCACTGAGGATGCTGAGGCCTTCAAGGCTGCTGGAAACAAGTACTTCAAGGCTGGCGACTACACCAAGGCTATTGCCGAGTACACANAAAGGTTGAGCCTCTCGATACAAGTCGTTTTTCTGGTCACGCCCATGCTGACATGTCCCTCCGCTCCAGCCGTCGAGGCCGACCCCAAGTCTCCGACGTACAAATCCAACCGCGCCGCCGCTTATATGTCTGCTGGAAAGTACGTCCAAGCCCTGGATGACTGCAAGGAAGCCGACGAGTTGGACCCCAACAACGCCAAAATCTTGCTTAGAATGGCCCGCGTCTACACATCTCTGGGTCGTCCTAAGGAAGCCCTTGAGACCTACGATCGCATTGACCCTCCTGCATCGCAAAAGGACCGCCAACCCGCTATTACCATGAACCACCATCTTTCCGAGGCTGAAGAACAGATCCGCAATTCCACCTCTGGTTCCATGGCCATTTTCGCCCTCGACCAAGCCGAGAAGGGTCTTGGATCCACCGTCACAAGACCACGAAAGTGGGCTCTGCTCAGGGGTGAGGCGTATTTGAAGATGGGCAACGTAAACGCACTTGGTGACGCACAAAACATTGCCATGTCTTTGTTGCGCAACAACAGTGCCGACCCCGAGGCCCTCGTACTCCGAGGACGCGCTCTTTATGCACAGGGTGAGAACGACAAGGCTCTGCAACACTTCAGACAGGCCATCAGCTGCGACCCCGACTTCAAGGATGCCGTTAAATATCTGCGTATGGTGCAGAAACTCGATCGCACAAAGGAAGAAGGCAATGGCTACTTCAAGACTGGAAAGTACCAGCAGGCCGTCGACACCTACACCTCTGCTCTCGAAATCGACCCGCAAAACCGTGGCACAAACTCCAAGATTTTGCAGAACCGAGCGCTATGCTACACCAAAGTATGTATAGTCTGTTATTCTCAAATTCCCCTATTCTAACAACATGCACAGCTCAAGGAATGGCAAAAAGCAATTGAAGACTGTGAGCGTGCTTTGAAACTTGAGCCCAGTTACACCAAGGCGCGCAAGACAAAGGCCAAGGCATTGGGCGAGTCTGGCAACTGGGAGGAGGCTGTCAAGGAGTTGAAGGCCATTGCCGAGAGCAACCCTGAAGAACCTGGCATTGCAAAGGAGGTCCGCAACGCCGAGCTCGAGCTCAAGAAGAGCAAGCGCAAGGACTACTACAAGATTCTAGGAGTTGAGAAGGACGCCGATGACAATCAGATCAAGAAGGCCTACAGGAAGTTGGCTATCATCCATCACCCCGACAAGGTTTGTGACTTCAATTCACTGTCCGAGATCATTGCAGACGCTAATCATGCAAACAGANACCAAGGAGACGAGGCTGCAGCAGATCGCTTCAAGGACATCGGTGAAGCCTACGAGACTCTGTCAGATTCTCAGAAGCGCGCTCGTTACGACAGTGGTGAAGATCTTATCGACCCTTCGGAACAGTTTGGTGGAGGTGGTTTCGGTGGCATGGGTGGCGGCATGGGCTCACAAATCGACCCCGAGGTTCTCTTCCAAATGTTTGGTGGACAGATGGGCGGTGGTGGCTTCGGGGGTGGCATGGGTGGTGGTGGCCGCAGAGGAGGTGGTGGAGGCTTCCTGGAGGATTCCATTTTGGTTGAAAGAACACATCGAATACGATATCCTCGGCCAGGTCTCTCCTTTCTGGACTCACTGGACTTCTCACGACAAGAGGTTGCCCAGTCCTCTGCAGCATCTTGTCCTTGGGTCGTTTGTGGGCTGTTCTATTTCTTTCGACTCTTCACCGACTTGTTCTTTTCTGGCATAACGAAGCAAGCAGGCAAGCAAGGAACAGAATCTTTGGAGGCGTTGCATACGGACTGGAGTTTGACACCTCTTGCAAAAGTTTTGAGATCTGGGTATAGACTGTATTGCAATTCGCTCCCACACAATCTACCGTTGTGAAACTCGTTTGGAGTGCATAGATTTGTGCATAGAACAGCAACCTCGAGTCTTTTTCCCATACCCTTCCACGGATTTCTATCGATAACTCTTGATAGACATGCCCCACCTGTTTCCTCAATTTCTGTGGATGCAGGTTGCAAACCGCTCCGTCTAACGGTATGGAACAATTCTACACTTGCAAACCGTTGAACGAGGTCGGAGAGAAAAGAAGTGGAGAGCGGAGCCAGAACAAGTCGAACAGCAACCCTGATCTCCACCGTCTGATTGCAACACATTTCGCACGTTAGAGCACAACAAGATAAGTTCTATTCATTAATGGCGTGCACTTTCACCACACAGGCAGCGAGGTAGAAAGTAGCAGCAAAGAGGTAACGGCGATGGCGTAGCATCTACAAACAACGACGCAGGTGGCAGTTCTGAGATGACAGCAGAGGCTGGATGGCGGAAGGCTAAGGCAAAGGAAGCATGGAATGTCACTGTGAGGTGTCAGGAAAGAACGTTTCGATCATCAGTCGTGGCAGAACGAGACAACCACCGTCATCAACTTGTTTTGTATTTCGGCGTGGGGTCTTGAATTTTGGTCTTCTCTCGGCCCTTGCCTGCTCCGCGAATGTTGCATGAGCATCAAGTATATCTTTATGTCGATAGAAAACTCATGGAGCTTCGTATGGAGTACGGTGGCGTATCACCGGTATCTCGGAATGTCGATCGGCGTGCTTGCCTCCGACACCCCATCGCAATCTCATGGATGACAGCGCACAGACGCCGACCCAGCGCAAGCGAGGCGTATGGAATGCCGTAGAGAGCAAGGCTTGCGCGGAAAGTAGGACATTAGGGTGGATTGGAAAAGTTTACCACGATGAGGCGCTGGCAGGGCTGTGCCTGTGCCCTCTGGCTGGTGACAATAATTGCAGGCAGCAAGAAGCGCAACTCTCCTTAACAATCTTGATGATTTCTTGTCACTCCTTCATATACTTCAGCCTCATCCTTCCTTCGACTTGCGCTCCTTCTTGCATCCTGCCCTCTGCACCCTGGCCATACCAACCTCCAGTCCTACTCAATCCTAGAATCAGACATCTTCACCGCATCCAGTACTTGACTCGAGGCCGATACTCGACCTGATCGTCCTTGCCATTCTGGGGTTAGCCAACCAAAAGGCGCAACACGGACAAACATCAACACCAACCAACAAAAGGTTGCTCCCTCCGCCTGCTTGGTTGCAGCTGACCTGAAGACCTACCGACATCATGCGCAGACCTGTGCTCCTGTTCCTCATCCTAAACCTGGCAATCGTCGCCTTCCTCATACACTCGGTCTGGACGCTATTATCGCTTCTCGTCGTCGACGGCTCCGAAGATGCAATCTCTCGTGCCGAACTCCCTGCTCCAGGCTCTGATCTGATCGACGGTCGTCCTCAATTGATTCCCAAAATTATTCACCAGACATACATCAACGAGAGCATTCCAGAGGTCTGGCAAGAACCACAAAAGAGCTGCATTGAACTGCACAAGGATTGGGAATACAAGCTATGGACTGACGCCCTGTCACGCGAGTTCATTGCTGCCGAGTACCCTTGGTTCCTCGAGACCTTCGACAACTACGAATTCCCCATTCAGCGCGCCGACTCAATCCGCTACTTTGTGCTGGCCCACTATGGCGGTATCTATCTCGATCTGGACGATGGCTGCAACCGTCGTCTGGACCCTCTGCTCTCTTACCCGGCTTGGTTGCGTCGCACTCTGCCTACTGGTATCTCCAACGATGCAATGGGTGCCGTTCCTCGTCATCCCTTCTTCCTGCGCGTTATTGACGACCTGCCTCGCTACAACCGCAAATGGGTTCTTCCCTACATCACCGTCATGGCCTCGACTGGTCCGCTCTTCCTGAGCATCATCTGGCGTCACTGGAGCTCCGAAGGTCTCAACATTGGCGATGGCCCCGACGGTGGCAGAGTCCGTGTTCTTTTCCCCGACGAGTACAACTACCACCCTTGGAGTTTCTTCACCCATCACCTTGGTAATTCGTGGCATAGCAGCGACGTCAAGCTCATCTTCTGGGTACGTTCAATCTACGATTCATGCCATGTTCTGGATCAATTACTAACATTTACAAACAGANTGCTGAAACACTGGGTCATGCTCACCGTCGTGGGCTTCCTGACAGCCGGTGTCGTCTTCATCATTTCCTACTACCTTTACACCCGCTTCTTCGTCTCTCACAGACCTTGGGCCATGTCTGTACGCAAACGCTTCCCTGTGGGCTTGTTCAGACGCCTCAGCAGCGGCAACGTGCCATCGAAGCGACGACAATCTTACGAGCTCGTCCGACGTGACGAGGAAGACGCCATGTAAATTGAATGCTTCTCACGCCTCTAGCATAATTGCATTTTCCTCATTCTTACTATCATCATCACTTCATTGAAAAGAAGTCCCATATTGGATTTAGCGACGGCGTTTGCATCATGCTGGAATACACGCCCTTGGAGTTTCGTCGATCTTGCCTTTGGGATGCTTAGGGGGCACACAGACTCTTAATACATTACTGTTCAGAATACGCATTTGTTTGCAATATGATGATTTTGAACCATCTCACATGATATACTCTCCACTTATGTCCATGATACAACGTGAAATTCTGGATGAATATGGATGTTGCTTGCCTATGGATTGGTTTCTGCCCATTTCACCCATCTCCTCACAACCTCATCTACAGCAGCCACGCCTTCTGCCGTTGCCTCAATCTCAAACCATTCCTTGTGTTCGCGACCACAGGCTTGACAATCGCGTTTGATCCTCTTGTCTCCCAGTTCCAGGTGCACCAGTCTCTCCACGCGATGTGCATGGGGGACTTTGTGAACTTGATGATTCGAGTTATTTGCAGGTGTTCCTCGTGAAGGAGAAGGTGATGGTGATGATGAAGAGACATAGGGGTAAAATCGAACGAGACTGAGATTGTAGCCACACTGTCTGTTCCACTCGTTCATGCGACGGTGCACATTGTTCGCCCTGCCGATCTTCAATTTGATCGTGGGGGTTGCTCCTTTGCTTGCAGTATAAGCGCTCATTACATCGCTGGGTCGTCTTTGTTGGCCCCGTGCAGATGTCTTTGGTGCGGAGAGTAGTGAGGCTGCGGTGTCGTTTGAAGGTGTCGAGGAGGTTTCTGTTAGCCAGAAGATGTATATGTAGCCGGCTTCATCGTGGGGAGAGATTGGTTTGGAGAGTTCGGTGAGCAGGACAGAGGCGGTTTGGGGTGGGAGGTGGCCTGGGATGAAGGGGAGGAGTTCTGTGGCGCTGGTTGGGGCGGAGGCTGCACGGCGTTTATTTAGTGATGGGGCGGGGACGTCTAGAAGAGGTTTGCGTGGTGGTAGGCCGGTGGATGAGGCCGCGTGGGGCAGGGGAGTCGGGTTTTGGGGACGGCCAGCGTCTTGGTTGTACGGTGTAGGTCGAGAGTGAGTGGGTAGAGCATATACTGGTGTTGATGGATTTGAGACTTGTGTTGTCTCTGTCTGTGGCGCCTGGTAGTTGGGCCGTCCGGTGTCTTCATCATCGTCCGCATCGCCCATGCAACACAATGATGCCCAGAATCCTGGCTTTGACTTGGGCTTCCTGTGTACTTGCGGTCTTGCTGACGGCCTTTCGCTCGGCCTCGAGTATTGCTGGGTAAGTTGTGTTGGTCGTCTGCGATCCTCACGAGGGTGTCTTGCAGGCTTTGGTGGATCCTGAATGGACGCAACTCCCAACCTGGCGACAAGACTATCGATACTTGTTCTCTCCTGAACGGGTAATAATTTTGCATTCGCAGCATGCGGCGAGGTTGAGTATTTCTGAGCAAATGATTGGGCTTGGTCCTTGTGTTGCCAGCAGTAGAAGGCAGCCGCATCCAGATTTCCATCACCGTCTTCAAGAACAGCAACGACACCTCTCGAGGCAGTGTGCCGAGCAGCAGTCGGTGATGTTTTGGGTGAAGACTTGGGCGAAGATGCAAGTGATCTTCTACATGGCTTTCCACCTGATGTAATGCCTCGACATGTCGTTGCCGGGTTCTTCGAGTCTGACCTCTGGACAAGTGACTCGGGAGTGCGGTCCTGGAAAGACATTGTCGACAGAACACAATTTAAAGTGTATGAATAAAGTTGAGGACAGGGATGGAGCCTGTTATACAAGACCTACATTATCGCCGAGTACTCGAGTGGAGTGGCTGACTTTATTTTAAGAGCTACAAGACCTGACGTTTTTGACGTGGCTGGGAGGTGGCTGCGCAAGCATGGAGCACTTTTAACGCGCACAAATGCAGGATGCTTGGACCATTGAGGTATGGAGGCCTGAAACTGTTACTCGATTTTGAAGATTGCACAACTGCTCATAGTGAAGCCAGCGTCGAGCGTCATGTCGGCTAGTGAGGCCGAGCAGAAGTGATGGGGCTCAGGGCAGATTGTTGGAGAGGAAGGCTCTCACAAGCAAGCGGCGGCGACTCGGGAAACGCTGAGCCCGTCAGCAGCCAATCATGATGCCTGATGGCAACAGATTTTTGAAAGGGAGGTAGCAACCGCCACTGCTTGCTGTATACAAATAGAGAAATATCTTGAAAGAAGGAAGAAGCCATTTCTATATTTTACTTCGTCACTTTTGACTATCATTTATCCTCTATAGTTCCGTGGTCGTTCGCAGTCACTTATCAAGGCCCTGACGTCGTGGAAATCCTGAGACGCCGCCGCGCCCCCACCAAAATTCATTGGCAGCAAAATCGATCCCAGCTTCAAGACTTTTCTTCTCTCTCCACCCACCACCACCCACATCTAGCAGCATCCAACATGGTTTCTGCATCCAAAGCCGCCCGTGACGCAAAGCGCGCCGAGACCGGCAAGGCTCCCAAGTTGACTCTTGCCCAGAAGAAGGCACAGAAGTCGGCTGAGGCGTCGGGCACCAGCACTCCTCTGGTTGATGCCGACGGCCAGGCGCTCGACGCTGATGGCATCAAGACCATGGAGAGAATCAAGAAGCTCGAGTTGCAGGAGGACGCCGACGGTATCTCCGACAGAGTCACAACCGGTGTGCTCGCATCGCAGGAGGCCAGCAGAGATGTCAAGATCACCTCGGCCTCGCTCGTCTTCCACGGAAAGGTCCTGTTCAACGACACCACCATCGAGGTCAACTACGGCCGTCGCTACGGTCTGTTGGGTGAGAACGGTTGCGGAAAGTCGACCCTTCTCAAGGCCATCAACGCCCGCGAATTCCCCTTCCCCGACCACATCGACATCTACCTCCTCAACGAGGGTGCTCCTCTAACCGAACTTGGTGCCCTTGAGTGGGTCGTCAGACAGGCCGAGGAGGAGCTCGCCCGTCTCGAGAAGCTCGTCGAGACCATTCTCGAAGAGCACGGTCCCGAGGACCCCAGACTGGAGGAGATCTACGAGGTAAGAAACAGCCATCTTCATCAAGGCACAGCAGACAGACTAACACGACACAGCNGCATGGACGGCATGGACCCCTCGACCTTCCAGACCCGTGCATCTCTCATCCTGACTGGTCTCGGTTTCAACAAGAAGACCATCCACAAGAAGACCAGAGACATGTCTGGTGGTTGGCGTATGCGTGTCGCCTTGGCCAAGGCTCTCTTCGTCAAGCCCTCGCTCCTGTTGCTCGACGACCCCACTGCCCATTTGGATCTCGAGGCCTGTGTGTGGCTCGAGGAGTACATGAAGAAGTGGGACCGCACCCTCATCCTCGTTTCCCACTCTATGGATTTCCTGAACGGTGTCTGCACAACCATGATCGACATGCGTCAAAAGCAGCTCCTCTACTACGGAGGTAACTACGACTCGTACGCCAAGACCAGAACCGAGCAGGAGATCAACCAGCAGAAGGCATACGAGAAGCAGCAGGACGAAATCAAGCACATCAAGAAGTTCATCGCTTCGGCCGGTACCTACGCCAACTTGGTGCGTCAGGCCAAGTCGCGCCAGAAGATTCTCGACAAGATGGAGGCCGATGGCTTCATCCAGCCCGTCCACCAGGACAGAGTCTTCTCCTTCCGCTTTGCCGATGTCGAGAAGCTCCCTCCCCCGGTCCTGTCGCTCGACGACGTCACCTTCTCCTACTCCGGCAACACCGAGGACAACCTCTACGAGAACCTCGACTTTGGTGTCGACATGGACTCGCGTACCGCCCTCGTCGGCCCCAACGGTGTCGGCAAGTCGACCCTCCTCAACATCTTCACTGGCAAGCTCAGACCTACCAGCGGTGTTGTCTCTCGTCACACTCACTTGAAGCTCGGTGTCTACTCGCAGCACTCTGCTGAGCAGCTCATCCTGACCAAGTCATCCCTCGACTTCGTCCGCGACAAGTTCCCTCACGTCTCCCAGGATCTCCAGTACTGGAGACAGCAGCTGGGTAAGTACGGTCTCACTGGTGAGGCCCAGACTGCCCTCATGGGTACTCTTTCCGAAGGACAGAAGAGCAGAATCGTCTTCGCCCTGTTGGCCATTGAGTCGCCCAACATGATTCTGTTGGACGAGCCTACCAACGGTCTCGATATCCCCACCATTGATTCGCTCGCCGATGCCATCAACGCCTTCTCCGGTGGTGTCGTCGTCGTGTCTCACGACTTCAGGTACGTTTCACTCATAAATATGCTACAATTGAACAAATGACTAACATGATATCACAGACTTCTCGACAAGATTGCCAAGGACATCATGGTCTGCGAGCACAAGACCGTCAGACGATGGGAGGGCAGCATCGGCGAGTACAAGAACTACTTGCGCAAGAAGATGTTGGCCTCCAACTCTGTCTAAGGGCCATGACAGTTTGCTACGATCAAGAACAAAAAGATACCCGACCCGGTGTTGGTTTACCTCGTCACGAATGTTTTGATGCCAAAGAATGGGAAAAGAGTGATGAGGTTTTGGAAAGGAGAACACGGACGTTCAATAGAGTCTGCTGTTGATCTTTTCTTCTCGGCCGGAAAAAGCATAGAAGATTGTTGTTGTTCTACTACATCCCGTCAAGGCTTCCTAGCGGGCATTTCTCAGGCGTGGATCTAGTTTTGTTACAAAGACAATGGATGGCGTTTATTTGTTTTCAATGGTGCTCAGATTATTTAAAGCCACTTTTCTGCTGCCTACTTGTCCCGACCTTGGGCGTTGTTCCTCTCGATCCTTCTCTTCCTCTTCCATCATGTACATCGTGATATAGGGCCAGGATTCGGCGTGTTGACTCAGACTATTCTTTTGGGGTTGTGTCAGAGTTCGAGAACGTGTGGGCTTTAGGAAGAGAGTATAGTACCCTCTTGACGGCTCTTCAGGTATTCCTTTCTGAAGTTGTTCTCGTCGGTCTCGGCGCCACGCTGCAGCGGCGTCCACTTGGGCTCGTCCTTGAACAGTCTCATGGCCTTGGTATACNNTGCATTCCTGTCATTAACATATTCTCTTCTTTCTGCCCCATCTCTTGCAAGCAAACTCACATTCTTGTCATCAGTAGTAAAACGATGGTAAATCCCCGCAGGCATAATAGCCAAATCTCCCTTCTCCAGCCTCAAACGGATCCAATCGTCACCCTCGCTTCTGACGTCAAAGTAACCCGCGCCATCCAGGATATATCTGATCTCCTCGTCTTCATGCAAGTGCTCGTGGAAGAAGATTTTGACCTTTTCTTCGTAGTTGGGGAGGGTGGTCGGCGAGATGGTGACTTCGTCGCGGTTCTTGTAGTTGCGGGAGGAGGCTAGCTCGTTGACAGAGTCGAGGGAGGGATAGTTGTGGCAGATGATGCCGAGTTTGGAGAGGTCGGTGGGGGTGACGGGGCGGCCGCTGTCGTGGGGNAGGCGTTGGTCGCCNCTGTTGTGGTTCGTTAGATTGTGGATAAGATGGCAGCAGGGGAGAAAAACGCCTACCTCGATGTTGTCGTACCAGTATGCCTTCATGGTTGCTGTTGGTTGTTTGTGGTGGGATGGGAATGTCTGGTAGAAACGTTGGTGGGGGCTGCGTAGAAATTCGAGGTCGGCATGGTCAGCGAGCACGTCATGCTTGCCGTCCGTGAGTGGAGAACTTCACCAGGGTCGGCCATTTCTTTAACCTCCCAGACGCTCACGAAATGTGTGTGCTACCCTTTGAGTTAAATCACATTTACCAATCTTCAGATGGTATGAGTAGTGTATGACGGTTGATCGTTCAATTCAGAGAAAAAGGCAGGAGCTGCATTAGATGTGAATGTCGGAGGTGATCGAGGAGAGAAGGAGCTAACATCAACAAACTGATCTTCATTGCGGTTCTGTTCGTCCCTTCCATCAATACGTGGAGAGAGAGACCTCTCAAACATTAACTACAGGCCGTCAACATTTCTTCGTCACCTTCCATGCACCAATTCCTCTCCTTCCAACCATTCGCTTCAGGGTCGGCCAAACGCCATCGTCACCAAAGTCCATGTCATCAAGATTCAGGTGGTTTCTGTAACGCCAAACCTCCTCAAGCGCAATATCAGAGACTTCTGAGGTTGTGCTGTTGTTGTTGTTGTTGTTGTTGTTGTTGTTGTTGATGATGTATGCGTCAAGGAACGTCGCACTAAGTGGTGCAAGCAAGAGTGTCGTTGATTTGGCATCACAGTCCACCTTGGCCTTTAGCTCTTCCAGGAGCTTGTCGCCACACATGCCCATCAAGTCTCGGGTGACCAGACCTTGATGGTTATTACCAAGAAGATAGGTCGGCGGGCTGTATGTCTTCCACCAGAGAGCCTGCTGGATTCCTTCTTGCTTGCCGACCCAGAGCTGCGCTGGCACGACACCACCTTGATGGAAAACGCCCATCAAGAGACCGAGGCACACGTTGAATATGATCCAAACAGTGACCCAGACGTTCCTCATGCGTCGCGGCACTCTGATACTGGACAAAATGAGAGGGACCGCTGGCAGCAAGAATCGGGCTTCTTGATGTTTGAGACATGACATGGCGAAAATGCCGAAACCTGCAGAGTACATTGGCATCCCCATTCGACATGAAAAGAAGACCAAGGGGAGTGCAGGCCCAAGCAGCTGAGGTAAGTTGGCAACTACATGCTGATAGTATGGATGAAGACCGTGTTTGGCAAGATTGCTGCTGTCCATGTTGTAAAGCAAGTTGTTGAGAGGTGTGATGATGGCGGTTTCGCGCAACTGTGACAGATGTACCGGCTTCTGGAGAAACCACTCGGTATCCGAGACGACCGCGAAGAGTAGTGTTGCGGCTGCTGTCAGTATCATCACAAGAAGCGATACGGGTCTGTGATGTTGATTAGAGCCTGGGCATTCATAGGATATGATCGCGGAAAGAATTTACCTATGACGGAAATGCGGAATTAACTGCAGAAGGGGTATCAAGACAAAAGGCGGGAAAGTGATGCGATTAAAAGTGCCCAACACACACAAGAAGGCGAGTAGAGCAGAAGGCAGAACACGGGTATGCGACTAGAGTTGGGTCAATATAGCTGTGACGATTGAGTTGGCTGCTGAACATACTTTGTCCTCCTTGATACGGTTGATCAAGACCAAGCACCACAGCACTATCAACGTCTCAACCGAATTTGAGAATGTATGGTTCTGAAAAGTCCATGTAACATAGGACGAAGCAACCAGCATCTGGGCTGCACGACGCTCCTTGGGGATATGGATGAGTTCGTCAAGCGCCCAGTCTTCAAGCACGAAACTTAGGACAAACATCAAGGCCCGCAGAGTGTAGTATACGGTGGCGGGTGAGATGATATGATATCCAATCCCGTCGCAGATCCATTTTAGCAAAGTCAAGGGCAGGCCATAGAAGATCCGGAGAGGGAAAACACTGCGAACTGGACTATCCGAAGTGAATTCCCAGGTCAAATGTGAGGCATATCCAAAAACGCGACCTGATTTCGATGGTCAGTGATGCTGGAGAATTTGATGTCTACAGAGTCAGCATACCNNTGCGATCACCTCCGGTCCTTGGAAGTGCTCGTCCGGGTGAATATAGCTGGGGGACAGAGCCAGGTAGAGGCGCAGCACGACCAAGAAGAGATATGTTCGTCTCCACATGGTTGGAGGCCTACAGGATTCTCACCAAAAGCGAATTACAGGACGAGATAACATATTCTGCCATCAGGAGCCAGACGTGTCACAGGCTCATTTCTGACGGCGGCCCCTAATTTGGTTTCAGAGTCGTGCGCGGTCACGTGAGACTTGCGATGGAAAGGTGCATGAGCATGATGAGTACATGCATTGGATGTAGTTGATTGTCTCTGCATTCACTATTGCGTTTGTTTGTGTTGCTGTCTTTCACACGGGCGGCGGGGATGAAATTCAATGGCCGGTGAAGCTATCAGTTTGGCCACCAGCGGCTACTTACTCGACGCGGGCAATGGATTGAATGCTTGCTGGAAGATGAGCAGCACCAGCACATGGATAATAGCACACAGTTCTGCGACAGAAAGTACACGATTGGATCAGGCAGAAAGCTAGGCAGCAAAATGGAGCAACAAATAGCAAGTAAAAGCTGAATAGTGGCTCATAGGCAGAGTCAAGACACAGTGAGGCAGGTGCAAACTGCGAGAAGGTCTGTGCCGCCAGGCACCAAAGCGCGACGACCGACTGCAGCACCATCACCCCGCGAAGTGCCTTTGACTCTTCACTCCGCCTCTTGCGACTACTTAATCCTCACCTTCCACCTGTTGTCGTCACATCTGCGCGACAACTCTTTTCCACCAAAGACAATCAACACCAACGCTTGTCTTCTTCCACACACCACAACCAACCAACTATCCCATCCACATTCATCACAACATGGCTTCCACCGATGAGCAGAAGATCATCCTGGTCAGCTCTGATGGCGTCAACATCCAGACTGGTATGCGCACTCGATCTTCCTGCATCTCTACCTGCCCGATTAACACATGTTGTANNGATCGCATCATCGCCGAGCGCTCCATGCTGATCAAGAACATGATCGAGGATCTGGGAACCNCCGGCGAGGAGCCCATCCCCATCATGAACGTGAGTCTCATTCTCATCCTCGCTTCGTACCTCACAGTCACTAATCATCTCCTCCAGGTCTCTGAGGCTGTCCTTCGCAGGNTTCTCGAGTGGTGCGACCACCACAAGAAGGACCCTCCTCCGGAGAAGGACGAGGACGCCGAATCCCGCAAGAAGACCACCGACATCGAAGAGTGGGACCAGAAGTTCATGCAGGTCGACCAAGAGATGCTCTTCGAGATCATCCTCGCCGCCAACTACATGGACATCAAGGCCCTCCTTGACGTCGGCTGCAAGACCGTCGCAAACATGATCAAGGGCAAGTCCNCCGAGGAGATTCGCAAGACCTTCAACATCCAGAACGACTTCACCCCCGAGGAGGAAGAGCAGATTCGTCGCGAGAACGAGTGGGCCGAGGACCGCTAAACTCCTCTTTCCAACTCGCCGCTTGCCAAGTGCAACAACAAAGCACTCACACCCGCTCGCTCACCGCCAATACCCACCACACCCTTTGCCTTGCTCAACACACTTATGGATTGCATGACGTGTCACTCTTTGATCGAGAGTCGACGCACCGGCCTGGCGTTTTCTGGAGTTTTCCCATCACCTTTTCTGATTTCATGCGACACTTGACGAAAAGAAGAGAGCGAAAGAGCAATCGGCAATGGGGTGAATCAAGTTGCTGTTTTCCTGCTTCGACCAGACATGATGATTGGGCCAGTGCATAAAATAATTACCACCATAGCCCCTTTTCTCTATATTCCTCGGATTGAAGCTAGCTCGTCGAAAATGCAGATATCTCTGGCTTTGATATTCGTCTTTCGCTCTTCGTCTCTTCTCAATCTTGATTCCAGTGGTATGAATGCTCAATCAATCCCATCCAAGCGGTCAATACAAGTCCGTTGCTGCTCTAGAGCGCTAGTGCTATTCACGGACAGTAAGTATTGCCTTCGGAGCAGAAGTGCTAGCATGCTCTTAGAGTTCAAGTAGAAAGTGTTCAAAATATCTATATTCCGAAGAAGAAAACAGCTTTACAAAGTGGTGGGATGATATCAAAAGAGACAAAATGTCAAGGTTTCCAATCCCTTCTTCCTTCTAGAAAAAACGTTCAACCATACACACATCGTAGTCCACCATCCACAGCCCTTCTTTTCTCCTCTAACGCCAGACATGCATTGGTCCTTTTTGTTCTGCTGCTCTATCGCAGCTCCGTCGTTGGGCATCATCGAGCCGTGTCTGTTTTTCTCGCGTTTCGTCTCTTTTTGCTTGCAATCATTACTCTAACTGTTCAAGCGCAGGCGCAAAGGTGCCGGAGTTGTGGAAACCCTGCTTCTCGCACCCATTCTATGACTTGAAGCTGTCCTTCATGCTCTGGCTGCTAGCACTGGTGACGCTAGTCGGAAGGGTGGGCTTGTTGCCCTTGCCCTGCCAGACCTTTGCGAGAGCGTAGACAATGCCAGAAATGAAACCAACACCGATGGCGCTGACAGAGGCGAAAGTGACGGGGGCGTCGAAGAAGACGAGGCCGGAAATGGCAATGGGCAGCTTGTTGAGGGCACCGACCATGGAGTAGGTGGTGGACGAGGTGACGCGAACGCACCAGGCAGAGGTGTAGGAGATGAAGACTGAGGAAAGGCCGGAGAAGACCATGGCGGCGATGATGGAATTGCGCTGAGGAGCAGGGAAGTTGAGAGCGAGGTTGGCGCTCGACCAGTTCTCGAGGAAGAGGGAGCAGATGAGGAGGATGGGGATGGAGAGGAGGTTGTTGTAGTACATNGGCTGTAAAGAGTCGAGTCAGTTTTCTACAAGGTATCACAAGAAAAGGAAAGAGGGCGTACTGTCGAAGTCTTTGAAGTTGGTCAACTTGATGCGCTTGCGCATGCCGAGGACGTAAGTGGCACTGCAGAAGCAGTTCAGGGCCATCCAAATGTAGCCAGAGTTGAGAGTAGAGATCTTGTCGTTGGCGGCCGAGCCCGAGTGGCTGTTGAGAGCGTGCTGGATATCTGCCCACGCAGCAATGAGAGACGAGAGAACCATAAGACTGAAGGAGAAGAGGGCGGTTCCGGTAACGCTGCCGCCAAACCACAGAACTTCACCATATGCGATCAGGATGATGGTCAAGTTCTTGAAGATGGTGTAGACGGGGATGGAGAGGTATTGCAGGGCCTTGGTCGAGGTGTAGATCATGCCGATGAGGAGGAGGGAGATGGGGAACCACTTCTTTGCTTCATCGCTGTTGAAGTCTCTGTAGGTGATGATGCCGGCGGACTTGCATGACTGGATGGCGACGATACAGACGACACTCTGCNNATGAGGCATTAGAGAGCGCATGGTGTACTCGGTAGACGATGGGCTTACCTGGACGGCGAGGAGGAAAAAGTTGAGGTTGAAATCGAGACCGCTGAGGACGTATTTGTTGGTAGTTGTCATGAGAATCGAACTGCCACAGTAGGCCAGAATGGCGACGACAGGGCTGTTCAGCTGCGCGGCTTGAGGAGCAGCTGCAGGCATCCTTTGGGCAGGAGCAGCAGCAAAGGCTCCATTGCCCTTTTGCTCGCCGAGCTCGATTGTGAAGTCTTCGTTCTTCTTGTCGTCGGACATGGTTGCGAGCAGAGAGGGCGAGGCAGCGTGTGGTGTGGACAAGGAGACAGGTCTCTGAGAAAAAGATGTTGATGGGCTATTCGTGTCTTCAACGTTCTGGGGCTGCCGCGTCGCTCACACTGGCTGACCCTTGGGCCCTGCTCCTTGCTGGTTTGAGCCCCTGTCTGTTATTATAAAATAAGATTTCCGTATCGCAACCTCCCTCTGCCAGCTCTCGCGTCCGCCATCAGCCACTCGCCTCAACCATCAACCAGGCCGCCCCCATTTCCTCCCCATACTGTCAGCCTCGCTCGTGTCATCTTCGAGAAGCGTTCCCCATCCGAACTGCCATGTTTCATCGAGCATAAACCACAGATCCCCAGCCGGAACCATGTTCGTGGCTTGGCACTCCCGCAACTCTGTCGTTCGGTTCTCTCTGCCGTAGCCCGTGAGCCTGGCCCTAGCCCTATCCACTAAATCCGTCCCCTTGAACAAATCATCTTTGCACCTCTTGACCTGCTACTCGAACACAACAACCACACTCCACCATGTCTACCGTTGACTCCCGCGTGGCCGCCGTGCTGGACCGCAGCAACCAACACGACAACTCTGACGACGAAGATGCCCTCATCGCCGAGCTGGAAGAAGACGAGTCCTCCCTGGCTGCCTTTCGTGAACAGCGATTGCAGCAACTGCATGGCGAATTGGCTCGCGCAAAGGCCCAGCGCAACTCCGACTATGGCACTTATACCGAGATCAAGGACGAGAAGCAGCTCATGGACATCACCACTTCGGCCAAGCTGTGCGTCGTTCACTTCATGAAGCCCGATTTCAACCGCTGCAGAATCATGGACCAGAAGCTTGCCGTGCGTCTGTCTTGTTCTTCGTCGTCGCAACATGCGGACTGACTTTACCCCCAGGCGTTGGCGCCCAAGCACTTCGATACCCGCTTCCTCAGCATCAACGTCGAGAATGCCNCTTTTCTCGTCGTAAAACTCAAAATCCAGGTCTTGCCCTGCGTCCTCTCCTTCATCGACGGCGTCAGCAGCGACAGAATTGTTGGCTTCGAAGGCATTGGCTACAAGCCCGACTCCTTCACCCTGCAAGAGCTGGAGGCGCGTCTGCTGTACGCAAACGTCCTGCTCAGAAGCAAGATGGTCGATGAGGATGAGCATGCCATGAGATCGGGTGCCGTGCGCTCGGCAAACGTGACTGAGGACTACGACGACGATGAGTGGGATTGAACTGCAATAAGCCTCGTTTCTCTGCTATGCTTTGTCCTCCGCCTCGCAACTCCGGCTACACACTGCGCCACGAGAAACCCAAGACATGGTCTTGTCTTTCAAACAAGTCACCTCGTTAGTAGCATGAATTCACCGAGACAGCCGTGACCTCGAGACAGCATTGAGCGCACACGACACCTCTGGCAACCACATACGCCTGGTGAGCGAGGCAAACAAAACTCTCGAATGTGTATCTCTGAGAGGCAAGCACTTTCTAGTCAAGAAGGACTCAGAAAATTCGTGTGTTCCTAGTTGAGCAGCAAGGAAAGACTTGAGAATTCTGGGAAGAGCTTTCTACACGAATGCAACCATACACCAGGAAGGAACGGCAAGAAAGAAGTTATGGGTTATAGGAGAGATAGAAGGCGTGATGCATGAAAGCCCAAGGGCTCCTCGAATGCTCTTAGAATTTGAATTGGCTTGAAATTGTCATGACGCATTCTTTCGTTTCGTATTATGTCGAATCTATCATATCCTGTCCGACATTTACAGAGTCTTCTCCTTCATCTCAATGCCGTACTTCTCCTTGAGCTCGAGTCTCAAAGGCTCGACGATCTCAGGGCTCATGGGAGCAAGGACACCCTTCTGTGTGATCTTGCCCTCAAGGACCTGGAGGACAGCGACGGCACAGGGCACACCGACCAACTTGGCCATAGCACTGTAACCCTTGGGGTCACCGTACTCGACCAGAGTAGATGTGCGAACCTCCTTCATACCGTTAGCGTGAGTGATGCCGAAGCGGTGCTGGAGCATGACGAGATCGCGCTCGCCCTCTTCGTATTGCATCTTCTTCTCGAGAGTGGCGCAGAGGGTATCGAGAGGGTTGTTGCGGGGCTCAATCTTCTCGTCCGAGAAGAGTCCGATCCACTTGAGACCGTTGATGATGCGCGCCTTCTGGTCGTTGTCGGCGAAGCTGGTCTTGGAGCTGATGGCCCAGACAAGGTCCTCCTCGGTGTGGCTGCTACTGCCCAAAACTTGGGCGGTGGCCTCCNNCCTCCAGGTAAGAGCAGGGGCTTCAGGGTGAGGCTTGAGGAACTCTTGCTCGGTATCTTCCAGGAAGCCCATGTCGACCAGAGTCTTGATGAACTCGGGGAAGCCTTGGTAGCGCAGGGTACCACGGATGATGGTCTCGGCCTCGGGAATAGCGTAGCGCTCTCTGTAAGGAGTGGAGTCACGGTTGGGGTAGGCGACGAATGCGTAGCCAGGGTAGATGAAGTATGGCTTAGCAGTGGCCATAAGTTCGGGGCCAGCAACATCGACAATCTTGTCATCCTGGAAGTACTTGGCCTGGTTGCGAAGAGCGAGCAGGACACCACGGCTACTCCATGAGAACTTGTAACCAAGAGGGTTGTCACTGCACTCAGGGGCGGGCAGGCCACCGCAGTAGCTGAGGAAGCTGGTGATCTTTCCACCGGCCTTGTGGACCTCGTCAATGGTCTTGACAGCGTAAAGGTGGTCGATACCAGGGTCAAGACCAATCTCGTTCATGACGGTGATACCGGCCTCCTTGGCAGCGGCATCGAGTTCGAGCATGGCGGGAGAGACCTGCACAAATTAGGAAGGGCCAAAAACATGGTAGGCGTTGTGACTCACATATGACGTGGTAACGACGTGCTTCTTCTGGTTGATAGCAGCCTTGATGACTGTAGCGTGGTAGGTGTAGGGGATCAAACTGATGACAACGGCGTTCTTGCCAACCTCGTGCTCGAGGGCGGCCGAGTCATTGACATCGAGCGAGATGGGGCTGCAGTTCTTGAGGCCTTCGCAGAGCTTCTTGGCCGAGTCGAGGGTACGGCAGGCTNNGGAATGACACGTCAGATGGCCGTTGCAGATGACGCAGTGGTGGGAAAGTGTCTAGATACCAACAGTGACCGAGATGTCGGCGTCGCTGAGGATCTCAGCAGTAGGGCGAGTAACGAAACCAGCTCCAAGAAGGAGAACCTTNCCTGGTCAACAGTTAGCATGTGGCCACTTTGGCTCAGACTGGGAGCTTAAAGCCACTCACTTGGAGCTTCCGAGGACCGTCAGCATAGCATCCATTGTGAAGATGTGATTTGGGATATGTCAATTGAGGAGTATACAAAAAGACCAGAAGGTTCAGAAGACACAGCCTGCGCGATGACTGACTGCGCGGTTAGGGACGGTCAAAAGTGGCCTCCTCCGATGCTCGGCCCATGACGAAAGCTGCCAGGTTTGGGAAGGTGGGGGCCGACGGACAAGCCGAAGCTTTTCCGCGTATCCACACGCGTGCTTTCCTTTCTTGACAGCTTTCACTCCAGCTCCTTCTTCCTTCCTTTGTCTAGCTGGTGCTGTCGCAGTCGTCTTGATCAACATCGTCGTCGTCGCAATGTCGTCGCCTTCTCTTGCAGACGCGTTCTGGGCAGCACCTCCAATCGCTAGGTAAACATCCACTCTATGTCCTCTTTCAACGCGTTTCAATTTTCTGACTCTTTTACAGAACCCTCACTGCTGCCACGCTCGTCCTGTCTATCAACTTTTGGATGCTGCCAATCATCAATCCTGGTTACTTTGTCTTTGTACCTCGATCAGTGTTCAAGCTATGGGTGCCTCAAGTCTGGCGTCTCGTGACAGCCTTCCTCATCACTAGCCCTAAGCTGGGTTTGATCATGGATCCATACTTCCTCTTCACATACTGCAAGGCTTTGGAGGTTGACTCCGGCCGCTTCTCTCAGCCAGGCGATCTGTTTGTTGCCTTGGTCTTCAACTGTAGTGTCATCTTGGTAAGAAGCGTCTTTTCCGCTGTTATTTCCTTTCATCCATCTCCCACGCACACATTCTACCCCTCCTATATCTGCCCGCCCAGCCAAAAATATAGCTGAAGCGGTTCCTGGAAGGAGGGCAAATTACCGTTGTACTGTGTCATGATCCGTCATTCGCAAAATCCAAAAGGGTCATGATGGAGTATGGCCGTGGTGGGATTGCCCATTGAGAAAGCTGCTCGGCGATTCCTTGGTCGAAACAGTGGTTTTGGCACCCTACATCTCTTCACTTGAACCTCCTCTCGTACTGTCTTGTTCAACGTGCGACTATTACAGTACTGATGACTACTCAAAGATCCTCACAGGCATCGTCTTTGGTGGAGGCTTGGTTTTGGCTCCGCTTCTTCTTGCTCTCGCCTATCTGCATGTGCAAGATGCACCCGATGCCATGATGACTTTCTTCTTCTTCAGCATCCGCCGCAAGTATCTGCCAGCCTGTATGTTGTTGGCTGTTTTGGTCATGGCGGGTCCTTTCGCGGCTCTCCAGCAGGCCTTTGGCCTTGTTTCTGCTCATCTCTACGATTTCTTGACTAGAATCTGGCCGTCGTATGGAGGTGGCTACAACCCAATACGTACACCACAGATGGTGCAGCGTTGGTTCGCCAAGCCTATGGGTGCAGGTACTACTCGCTCGTATGGCACTACCTTTCAAGCTCGTTCTTCTGGCTCTGTCGGCGCTCAGCCTCAGGCTGGAAGCTCGCGTAGTGGCGGATGGACAAGTGGCTTCACAGGCACCTGGGGCTCTCGCGGTCCGGGCAGAAGACTTGGTGGTGATTAAGTATACACGTTACCTGAACAGATCGTTATGAAAGCATTTGCTCTTGTCTTGAACTCCATTGTCGAATCCATAAAGTGTCTTGTGTTGTGAACATGGTGGTCATGACCTTCGTCCTTGATTTCACACTTCTGCTGCTTAGGGTTTTGACTTTTGTGAGGGCATCGCTTCCATCCGTATTCGACGCAAAAGAACGCTGTCAAGTAACAACCAACTCACCTTGCGGAGTATTCCTTGGAGTTGGTAGCGAAGTTGGGACTCGAAGCAAAGTAAGATACAAAACATACAGCAGCAGGGATTCCCACGTGGTCACCCACCGTAGTACTAATCTGCCGTTCAACTGCTTATGTATGGCAGAGCGGACGGGATGCCCAGTTTTCAGCTGACTGTGGCCGTATGTGCTTGAAACATGATTTTTGTCAAATATAACTTTTACCGTTGCCGGAGGCTTATCCACAGACAACATTGTACCGTCCGTTTGTCTCTTGCTCGTGGTACTTTAGTCGGTGTCTCATTGCTGTATCAGACTCCTGGTATCATCAATACCATATCGGAACAATCGTTGTTGTGGAAGCAATTTGAGAACGTGTTTGTCCATTTCGATCTGGCAGATTACAGTGCAAGACAGCGATGTTGACGGACAAAATCCAAGATCATCGCCTGTGAATCCACCATTGCATAGGACATGTATCTGTCGTACGCTGACCTCTAAGCACTCTTGAACTGCTCTGAATAATACTTGATGGTTGTGTAATCCGTATATACATCGTGAAGACAGTTTGTTGTTATGACCAGGGTCACCAGAGCGAAAAGAAAGACTTGGCCAAATACGACGATGGCCTCTGATATGAGAATGCGTATAGCATTAAGACGATGGATTGATACCATACTTCGGACGTGAGTACCGTTCCTTACCAACTACATTGAGATCATTTCTGTCTTCACGACCTCACAGGTTGTCGTAGCCTGCCAGTCATGAAAACCATGTCATTGTGCATGTGTCAGTCACTGCATGGCATTATTGAGCATAGCGCTTGGCAGTCAATCCACTTGAAACGCGGTTGTTACTTCCATCATCACATTGTCGAGAAGTTAATCACAGACCGCACAGCCGGATAGTGTCTCGAGAGATGAAGGATCTTGCGTGTCGGATGGGAACACAAGCAGCAATCATCACGATCGAAGAGTGTACGACCTCTGGTTCCTTCGGCGTTCTTTGCGATCAATTATTGTAGCACACTGCTATGCGCTGGACCACTGCATGTATATGAGTAAAACTGGAACCGAGCAGTAATGCCGTCGGTCCAAATCCTTCTTCATCCCTGAAGACTGGTCAGTGACAATCAAAAGCATTAAACCCAAGCGTCCTGGTTGCATATAAATAATAACATTCCCCACATGGGAAGACTTGACCATCCTACTCTATTGGCGTATAGCACAGCGTTGAATGCTGTTGAACCGGATAAGCTTGTCTGTGCCTCCGTGGACTCGAGTTGCTCGTGTCCCTATTGGCCATGTTGCTTGACCTTCATCAGTACAATACGGAAGCAGACGTCCGCACATACACTCCACGAAGAGTATCAGATCTGTGAGATGACGAGTTTTGGCCGGTCGCACCAAGACTCTCGAGCTCCGTGACACCGAGACTCGTAGAACGTCTATTGCAAGATCGCTATTTGTTAGATTGGCATTGATTATGCTTGCTTCAGCATAGATCCTAGAAGTTGCGGCGCGCAATCTGGGGCTGAAAGTCTCGTTACTTGTTGTTGTCGGTGGCTGACGAATCAGACGTCGACTCCCATGTTAAGTGGGCAAGAGAAAACAAATCCTGTTCCTAGTTATCTTGAGATCAGTCAAAATATGACTGCTGAGGTTGGCAGAAGCGGTGAGCTTGATGAGGACCGATGGTAGCCGGCCCCATGCATAGTCAAACCGAGATTCGTCAAGACCAGTGCCATATTGTCAGGGATTAAATGTGAAATGTGATATCGTGATAATTCATAAGAAGGAGTGGAGCACGGAAAGGCAATGTAATCTTTGTACTCTTGGGTCGCTGCATCACGTCTTCCGATACTCCAACAGGCAATAAGGGCCGCCCAAGCGGGGCTTATCAGGTACAGACCACCCACTGCACCCATGGCCGTTGGTTGGCTGGGGGCTTGCAGGCTGCCTGGTTGACACCTGGTAATGAGATTGATTCGACAAGCGGCTGGACACAAAAGAGACGGACAGAGAGAGAACCCCTAGAATGATCAAATCGGTCGAGTGCTGTGAGGCTTTGCTTATCTAAATAGTCAGTTTAGCAGTAAGCAATTAATCAAAATTGACCGCGGTACAGCACTGCCGGAGCGACCTAGCATTAACGTGGATCAATTGGCAGTTTGGCAGCTAACAGGGTATCGGTTACCTGCAGCAAAGAAGTGGGTCTTGAACCCGGGTTGCTTGTATGCACGTTGAGGAGTGGAGGCAAAGGAATGATCTGCCTGGGGCACGCAATTGCGAGGTCAACAGATAGCCTGTCAGGTCAGAGCGTGGCTGCTGTCAATTCTGTCACGGTTGGAGTGGCTAATGCACATGGTGCATGCAGTGCTCTCATCCAAGTGCGTATCATCGGGTGAATTCACGAAATGAATGGAAGTCCAACAAGATAAGGGTCCAAAGATGAGAGCAATACCCTAATGGGCAGCAGCCGGAGCGAGCTCTCTCGAGTAGAGTTCAGTCGATTGCCTAGGCATGATCGACGTGGCGGCGGCGCAGAGGTGGTTACCAGAAGATCGAGGGCGCGTGAGATGTGGTATGACGCAAGCGCGGGGAGCTTGGGGTCAAACATGGTTTCCCATCTCGGTCGTGCGGTGAAAAGGCGATGAGAAAATGTCGCTGGCTGACAGGTATGAGGCAGATGATGATGGATAGACTCGAGAAAGAAAGGATGGCGTGGCCTGCTAATAAACAACAAAGCTTCAAGTGCTGGACAGCGGATAAGGCGGGATCATCAAAGTTGGTTCAGAACCCCAGAGGAGTTCCTCCAAGACGAGTCCCACAAATAACCCCAGGGCAGCCACGGCCATGGCCCATGGCAGGTTGGACGGGGATGGGGATGGAGGACAAAGAGCGCTGTTGCTTCTGCTCGCGCGCGCTGGCAGGCATGGAGGCATGCAGGCCCGCTCGATCTCGACAGGCATGGAACTTGGTTCCCATTGCTGGCGCAGCCCTTATGCAAGCCGTGTGCATACAAGCTCTGGGCCGATAGGTAGCCATTGACCCTCCTACATATTGCCCCCATCAGTCGCACCGAACGAAACACGATTCATCATCAATTGCGTCTGATAGTACTTGCGTGCCTAGAGGGCGTACACTGGCAAGACGCTGCTGCGCTCGTCGTCTTCTGCCGCGAATAGAGATCGAGGTCCCGGGCCGAAAGTGGTGTGGGTTTGAGCAGAGTTCGTGCGTGGTCGCTGTAACAAGGAAAGCGCCGAAATCGACCGAGTGGCTAGGCCATTGCGCTTTGATCAAGGAATTGAAGGTGGACAAACCCTCTCTCCATCCTCTTCTTGCTCTCGCAACTCTCCCAGCACCACCTCGACTGACGCCCATTGCCTCTGCCAGCTCTCAGAATGCCGCTGCCTGTCCAACTTTAGTCGCCGTCCGCAATCCACGCAAACTCCACGCACCTTTCGCTTCATTTCCCGCCCTGCCTTGCGCCACGCCTTCGACTTGTACCAACAACATGGCCGAGGTTCTGTCCAGGTCGCGAGACGACCAATCCCAGTCCTATTTCACTCAATCCACCTCGACCGCTTCCTCGCTCAAACGCTCCCACCCCTCGAGAACGTCGTTGCTGGTCGGCTCGCCGCCCTCGACTTCGCACCGCACCACCTCCGAGCCCTCATTCGAACACATCGGCTCTCTCAAACGCTCCTTGGCTTCTTCCGGCTCGCTCGCTGCCTCTCGCCAATCCTACTCGGACTTTTCAGAACCTCACACATCGACTCCTTTCTTCTCAAACCAACAACCGAAGCTTTCGTTTGAGCTCGGCCATCAGCCAGACACTGGCCTGGCGTTCCCTGCCTACGACGAGGTCCAATTCTTCCATGAAGACGAACCGCTGGATCTCCCTCCTAGCCCTCGACCTGAAGACGAAACGTCTGATGCCGATTCTAATGATGGTAGATGCGATCGAGATGACGAAGACGATGCTGGTAGCACCACCGACACTACCCGTTCTGACTCGCCTTTACCCACACCTACCGTGGCCGATGACACGGCCATCAAACACGAACCATCGAGACACGTCGATTATTTGTCCCACGACTGGCGCGAGGAAGACATATGGTCCTCCTGGAGGCACATTGTGTCACAGCGCAAGGTCTACGGCCAGAGGTCGCGCCTTGAAAATGCGTCATGGAGAACGTGGGCCAAATCCAAATACCACCTTCCAACCGTGTCACCAGAGACGCTTAATTGGTACGCCTGTACGATTCTAGCACAGTGCGACACTGTAGACTGATTTGACACAGGCNTGAAAGAAAGCGACGTGACCTGGCTCTATGGGCCTTTACAGCCCGCCTCAACACACCCCGTAACTCAACACTCACCGGACCCTAGTCCACAGTTCTCGAGCTCCAATTCTTTCGTTCACAAGAAGCCTATTCTCAAGAAACGAAGCATGTCCGAGGTCATGCTTCAACGCTCGCTATCAACCTCGTCTCTCGTCAAGCAGGCTGCCGCCGCTGTACAGGCCCAGCAAACCTTGCCTCCATCCAAAAGACCTTCGCTCGGTCGATCGTCTGCATACCTTTCCACTGCTAGTTTGATGGTGCCTAGCAGTAGAGATCAGCTTGACTTCCTGGACTTGGGCTGCTTCTCCCCACGTCCCTCATCTGGAGACCGTTCGCCATTTGAGTACCCCAAACGCCACATTCGCTTCGACGAGAAGGTCGAGCAATGTATTGCCGTCGAGGGCAAAGACGGCGAGTTCGAAGATGAGAGCTCCGAAGACGAGCGACCGAATAACGATTCCGACTCTGATTCGTCTGATGATGGCATCGTCATGATGAGACGTCCCAAAAGAAAACGACAAGCCCGCAAACCATTGTCGAGAAGCACTTCCTCCAGCAGGACGATCGAGAAGCTTCCATCAACAACTTTGAAGAACAAAACGGAAATCATAGAGCCTCTTCCTCAACCGTCTCCATCTTTGGTCCACTCATGGAGCTCAAGCAAACTGCCACAGTCAGCTTCTCAGGAAACTTTGAAGCCGTCTAATCCGTCCAAAAATCATATCCTACCTCCTGATGACGAGGAAAGTGAAGACTTGGACTCGGACGATACAGAGTCACTTAGATTGAGTGGATTTGCAAATCGAAGAGACAGCGTAGCCGTGCATAGATCACGGACATCAGGTTCACCAGCCACTACACCATCCGAAGACGAGGATGAACAAGAAGGCTCTGGGATGCGCCGTAGTGCTTCGGGAATGTTCATGCCTTACGAGGAAGATGAAGATGACATCGTCGCCGCCGGCCTCTTCGGCAAGGTGAGTGACACTTTGAATACCGCAAAAGATATTGCTCATGTAATATGGAACGTTGGGTGGAGAAAGTGAGAGGCTCTATATGTTGGGCTTCTTTTCTTACTACGAAAGGCGCAAAGAATAAACAACAGAAGGGGAAAGGTTGGGACTGGACTATTGCATTGGTTTTTGAGTAAAGGCGCATTTAACAGACGGTGGCTATACAGATGGTCTCTCTTTTGGTTTTCGAAGCACCGACATTTTTTTTTTATCCCATCATTGAGCGACTTTTTTCTTTCCTTGGAGTATCAGGCGGTTCTCTTTATGTACCTATACTGAGTTTGTCAACAGGCTCATCCGCTGTAACAGCCAAAGCGGCGTCTTTATCCGTTCGATCATCCTGAGATTTGTTGGAGTCGGTCCCTGCTTGAGACCTCACTGATGCATATACTGTACCTGTGTAGACGCATTTGTGTATCATGCGAAATACAAAACACTTGTCTCTATGCACATACCTTGCAGATACGATGCCTGACCCGTCAATCAGAGCTGAGTGGATAAGCATGAGGTCTTGACGAGCCAAGAGACTGGTATCGTCGTTCTGTCTCGTAAACCAGGTATTATGCGATGCTTATCAAGTTCGCTTATAGCCAAGACATGGTCCGTAGGGGCGGAGCTCTACAATGTTGCTCCAAGACTGTTCAATAATGCTGTTGTAACATTCAGTATCCAAACGAACAGTTAATGCCATTTGCCTCAGCGACACTCCTTTTACCCTCATCTCGTGACACAAGACGAGTAAGCGGTACTCGTGTCTAGCGCTGCCACTCTGCAGCGCACGAGCCGGATCAGCTTTGAGCGGCGCGGATCTCATTAGCGCCTTTAGTGCCCGAGGGGCTGCTCCTCCAGCCCTTGTAGAACATGTTCTGGAGTAGAATCTCTGGGTCATGCCACACTCCCTTTTCTCTACGCTGACGGTGTGAAAACAACTCGGCATCCTGGCCGCGTGTAAAGTCGGAATCAATGGCCGGTTCCCACGACGTCCGATCTCTTATCGCGGGCATAACAAGCGACTCCGAGTCTTCGCGCAAGCTATCCGCCTATCATCTACAATCACTTGTCAGCGATCCTTCGTTTGCGCGTGCCTTTGTGCAGGCCCAAGGCGTGCCTGCGTTGAAGCAGGTTGTCCTTGAAGATAATGGAAATGCTCTTGCCTATGCGCTGGGTAGCCTGACCCGTCTGCTGGAGATGGACCTGGGTTGGGACCGTTTGAGCTCAGATGTGATAGAACGTGTAAGAACTGATTTTCGAGAGAGTCTTGAAAGAACAAATTCTTAGATTTATCTCAAATAGGCTGTCCAAGTTGTCGTCAATCGTCCTGTTATCAATGTCCTTCGCAACGCGTTGCTTCTCCTGGTTCTGGTTGTATCACGACCTTTCGATCCCTACAAGCTGCAGCAACCTTCCGAAGACGAGTTTGGGTTCAAGGCTCTGGTACCGCTCTTGCAAGTCCACTCCAACTTTCTCGATCGTCTGGTTGACAAGTTAGCTTCTGCCGACCATGCGTTATGCGCGAATGCTCTGCATTTGGTAAACGCATTGATGCGAGACTCTGTTGCCAATGGAGGAGAAACCGAATGGCCCAAATTCATCAACAGGCTGCAGGAACTCGGTGTCATCAGCGGTGTCGAGAATTTGATGCATGGCGATACGCTCCACGAGATTGCTGCTCCGGTTCTTGAGTTCCAAAGTCTGATGAAGATACTGTTTGCTCGCTGGAGGCACATATTGGTCGACCTCGAAAAGGTAGAGCATCGAAAAGCTCTCAAAGAGCTTCAGGTGTCTAGCTTTCCCTCGAACTACCAAGCTAGTCAGCAAGGTATGTTGCAGGAGGTGCGATTCTCGAGCCAGTAACTGACATGCTAGATCTTGACTCCGATGATAGAGTGGCAGCGCCTAGGATTCTCATCCGATAATCCGGCAGCGGACCTTGAAGAGACCAGATTTTTGGGTATGATGAATCTCACAGAGTATGTTCGTAGGAATCGCGATGCATTCCAGAGAGAATTGCTGGAGCAGAGTGTTTTACCAACGGAGCAACGCTGTCCCATTGCAAAAGCAAGTTTGAGTATCACCATGGTACTGTACGAGCACTTTGAGATCGCCAAAATGGATGGCCAGGATCCCACGAAGAATACCACTACCCCAGAGGACATCAAAGATGCCGAGGGACTTGCAAAGCCCCTTTTGCTACGCTGGGAGGACATACATGCTGCCTCACTCAATGCCTTTATCCGCCTTTGGAAAGAAGCAGGTGCGACGGTCGATGACTATCGCAAGATCGACGATCTTTCGAGACTTCTGATCAGGACAATTCTTGGTCAGGCAGACAGGCGAGCCACTATGGATCAGGTCGAGGAACAACTCGGAAGTACCACTCTAGCAAAAGTCAGAGAATGGCAGTTGCAGGATGTCTCGCAAATTTACGAATATGCTTGGGGTCAAGATTTGAGGTAAGAGCTATCTAACCACATCCCACCTTCCCCAATACTGACCCAGACCTCTTTANGAAACCTGCGTGAGCAGACGCACACGGACGCACTTCTGTTCATGCGTGAGCAGCGTATCAAATGTCTACTAAAAGGCGCCTGGTTCCCCATCATCTCATCCGACACAATACCCTCAGATCTCTCAATCACCTCAGCGGAGTCACAGAAGTTGCATGTGATTGCATGGCGCTTCGTTCGTCTCTCCAACGACAGAAAATATCTCCACCACGCATCCCACACCAACAAGCTCGATAAGATACCCCAAATTCACGAACTCAACGAAAGGCTTGATCTTGAGACCATCAGTTCAGTCGATTCCAGCGTTGCACGATCTGAAGTTCTGCTTGGCGACGATGCGGCCAAAATCTCTAGCGATAAACACGGCTCTTCTACAGGAACAATCACACGATTGACCATCTTCGGCAATCCGAACACCTTTGCAAGAACACAGGCGTCAGNNGGGGAGTCGGTACTGCTCGAACTGAACACTGGCAGTACATCGCTTGCTTCCGAATGGCTGGATGGCCTTCTCATGCTACTGAACCAACAACCGATTACTGCAGATACCAATAAGCTGGTCGACTTGCTCGAGCAATGGAGCCTGACGATTCGCATGTTGAACCTGCGTTGGGAAGATGTGGATTGGGAGCGAGCTCAGGATAACAAGCAGTTGCCTGTTCCAAGCAGGAGTGGGTTGGATGACGATTTCTGGTATGACATGTAATAAAAATTATATCCTTTTGTGAGTTAAGCATACATAAATCTCAGCATAATACACCTTGTAACATAGATAACATGCATCGTTAGACATCTCTCCCCGTGCCAAAGTCTCATGACAGCTTGTATCGACGCTCCACTAAGCGCTCTTGCTTTTTACCATGGTCACGCTATTGCCTATCACTTACGATTCAGACACGGCAATATTCGCTGCCTCTCCTCTCATTGCCGTTCTTCTCACCACCTCTCTCTCCCTGAGCACACCACCACGCCTCCTTTGACCATACTACCAAATCACCATTTCCCGACGCCATCACCGCCGTGCATACCAAAATCAAAAGTTGTCGCGCCTCCTAGGACAGGCCCACATACCAATGCGCCAATCTACTCGAAGCATCGAACTCAGCTCGAATCCATCGTGGCTGCACCAGGCGTAACCTTTTACCATGTTAAGAACTTTCTTCGCACGAGAGGGTACATCCAGAGGTTCCGACCCTCCAAGCTCATGAAGTTCACCCAAAACCGCATTCGAGAGTACTTCTATCCCTATCTATACAATGGCGACATCCTCTCCAACCGCATCTTTGAGCAGGTCGCGACAAAGAGAAGAGCAAAATAAGCGCGCCAACAACCCTACTATTAACCAGCAATTACAATCCGCAAAGCCTTAGGAAAAACGCACTCCTTGCCGGCACGACGACAACGCCCTCAGGTCTCTTCGTGATCCGGTCCAAGACCAGCTAATGATGCCGAGTCCTCCTTTCACAATCCGATCCAAGACCAGCAAGACGATAACGCTCTCGAGTCCTATTTTCAAGAACCGGCCCAAGACCAGCATGTCCAGCGCATTCCACATAACCACAAGTATCGTCTCCACCTAGGACGTCAGCCAATTAGAGTGAAAAATCCAGACTTCATATTAGCAAAACACTCTGAAGTTCGTCGCCCGCCAGCGCCTCGTCCACCTCATCTACCACCTCCTCCACAGATTCCTGTCGTTGGTCATCAGCGCAAATATAAGCCGCTTGATGTTGCAGTCCTAGACACCACAGAGACGACCAAGGTTCCGGCCGGTATTCTAATCTCAACTCGGATCGCATATGCAGGAAATGTACGCATTGGCAGCACTAGAAATAATGATTATTCTCTTCGTTTGCTAATGTGGTATACAGTGCCAAAATTGCAATAACAAAACAAGCTTGGCTGCGGATGGACGCAGTCTAAGTCATGTAACGAATGCATCAAGGCAGGAATAGTCTGCGAGAAAAGGGTATATCCTTTTGTTGGCATACATTCTATATTGACTAACACTCTATTCGGAAAATCCGCAGATGCAACCTGACACACCAACCGTTAGAGTGTACGAGATCAAACTTGACCCCTTGACCTCCACAACTGGAGTTCTTACCGACCACCACATAACAACATCGTGCTCATATACTGGGACAACGAGCGCGGCAAATCAAAGCGTACGGCAGCCAACAAAGGTAGAACATATACCGCGTCACGCCTTACTCCTACCGGTTTTGCAGAGAGTGCTGCAGACATGTGCAAGACGTTTGGGATCGCTTTACAGGGAGCTGTTAGAACAAGACAAGTCCGCGCTTCTAGTCATCGCCTCTGACTCCAACGCCTACCACACCCATGTTGCCACGGTGCGCCTGTGCAACATTGCCAGTGATACCGATCAATACGCAGTGTTTGTATTCGAGCAAATCATACAGTTTTCCAATGGGGTTCTTCATGACGCACCACTCCGAAAACGTATCCAGTTCTTCAAAGATGGATGTGTTGCTCGTCAGACTCAGAAAGATGAGGAGACAAAAACGACTTCCAGATTGGAGGAACCCCTAGAAACCAGCCTCACCAGGCCAAAGGCCTGTCCAAGCTAAAAGATCGCTGTGGGCAGAATGTTGAGCGCGTGCAGGTTGAGGAGGGCGAGGAGGTTGACCACGATCAGAGTGATGAGCATGAGCATGATCAGAGTGATGAGTTCAGCACATAGATGAGTCCGATACTGACGATGATCAGGGGGATTACATAGCGCAGTATTTGTTCTCTGGAGAATGGCTATTCGTGGGCGATGAGGACATGATATGGATGAACATTCTACAATCAAATATCAAAGTCCTTGCATTCCCAGATTGTCAAAAGTTGATAACACTTTTCCGGAGGACCGCTCGGAAAACGTAGCGACCGTGTCATGCTGATGTTTGAAAAGTATATACACGAGCAAACGATCCCAATAGCTCTTGGCTGCTATACAGTGTAAAGTATCCAAAAGAAGACAGAAAAGGATGCACTTTAAACCGTGTGATGACGAACGCATTGCTGCAGGAACAGTCTGTGAGAAAATTGTATCCTAGGAACCCATCCAACGCCAGCAGAACGTCGACGCTGTCGACCGATGGGAGTGCGCAGCTTCTCGTTAGACACCAATTAACACACTAGAGGCGAGCCATCACCACTCTCTCAGGCCGCCATCAACACCCACAAATCCTTGCAGCTCCCATGGCTGTGTGTTCTCGGCTACTCTTCTGATCACCTCCTCATTAACCTCAATCCCCAAGCCTGGTCCAGTGAGGGCATCTAAATAGCCGTCCGTGACTTTGAAAACTTCTGAGTTGAGCACATAGCTGTGGATGTCATGTTCGCCGGCCTCTGTATTGTAATGCATGCCGACTGACATCTCTTGGATCATGTGGTTGGGCGTGCAAAAACCAATCTGCAAGCATGCTGCAAGAGCGATGGGCTGTGAAGTAGTTTCAGTATTGGTCAATATGAGGATGATAGGGGTACCTACTCCCAATGGGCAGTGCGGTGCAATAGCCACTTGTCCAGTAAGTGAGTATGTCAAGTCCATGGTCAAACAGAGATCGGACAAAAACTCACCATCATAAGTTTCAGCCATAGCCGCAATCCTGCGCATCTCACTAATTCCTCCGCAGTGAGAAATGTCTGGCTGAAAAACGTCCACGCTGGCATCTACANNAACAGTCAGTGTTAGGTCTCTTCGCTCGAAGTGACATGTGCATGTGCGCCACGTACCTTCCAAAAATCTTTTGAAGTCCCATCGACTGTACAACCTCTCGCCTAGGGCGATGGGTGAACTTGTCAGGTTTGACAGCTGCTTGATGCCCTCTGGGTGCTCGCTTAAAAGCGGTTCTTCGAGGAAGAGGACATCGCAGCCTTCTAATTTGTGNCCTGTAGACGAGATATCGTTAGCAAGACGTTTCGGCAGCCCATGGCGGTCTGGGACTTACGCCAACTGCTTTGCCATAGCCTTATGAAGTCTTCCATGGAAGTCCAAAGCAACGTCCAAACCCAAGCTCTTGACAGTCTTGACTCTGTCCACAGCCGAATCCAGTTTCGATGGTGAATCCAGCCATCCTACATCTTCGGTTGCATTCATCTGGAGAAGAGTATTGAGTCAGAGGTGTTGTGTTGAGGAGAGACATGGAATAGGAGGCGGGGATTGAAGATACTTTNNGACGGCGCGGAACCCTTGTGCAAGTCGCTCCTTCCCAGCTTCTGCAACATCAGAAGGGCGATCGCCTCCAATCCAAGCATAAACTTGGACCTTTTGTCTGACTTTGCCTCCAAGTAGTTGATGGATTGGCACACCGAGTCTTCGTGCCTTGAGATCCCAGAGCGCGATGTCGATGCCGGCGAGTGCACTCATAAACACTGGGCCTCCTCGGTAGAANGCCTGCCAACCATTATTAGGTGATTCTCGGACAAGCTGTCTGGACGCTTCTTGTCAGAACATACTGTGTCGCCAAGCAAGCTGCCAGATATGCTCAATGTCATCGGCTTCGAGCCCTACAAAGCGGTCAATGTAACCATTGAGAGTGCCTTCTACAGCTTTGGTATGTCCTTCGAGTGTCGCTTTTACTTGTTTAGCGATCTATACAGACATCAAACCCTCAATCTTGTGCCTTAGCAGTCAACAAGAGAGATCTGTTGGAGACTACTGACCTTCTCCCCATCCAACATGACCCTCTGCATCGACTATCTTGACGAACAGCCAGCGGGGTTTCACACGAAAGTATTCAATGGTCTTGATTGGTGCCATTGTAGAGGTGGCACTTAAAATCAGAAAGCAGCAACGTATATACAAATGTTTGACGTAGGTTTGGGGCAGATTATATAGCTGTCGACAGTTCGGCGGAAAGCTGCCCCGAGCGACTCCATCCCCCACCGGGCCCACCCATTGTCAGCTCGGCTCGGTTATCGGGTAGAAGGCCGAACGTCGGCGGCATGCTAGGCAAATGCTTATGATAAACTTTGAATTGATGTTATTGAGGAAGCAGCGTCGCAAGACGCTCTAGCTAAAGATACAATGTCCCTTTCCGCTTCTCGGCGATATGATCTCCTTCCTGGTTCGTGATCAATAAACGCCCCGTCTTCCTTCCTTTCCCATTCCTCCATCCAGTCATACCTCATTAAGAAAGAGATGCAGCAGAATTCAAGAGCTCCAAATATCAGGATCATGCCTTCATAGTCGACAAGAATCCATCCAAGTTGAACTCCTCTTCGTACTGCTTTTCATCCCAGAGCTCAGAAAGCTCATCGAGAATACCCTTCTTGCCCTTCTCACGGACATTACCTTCAGCGTCCACAGCGTCCGCTTCATCGATTGCGTTGGGATCTTTGGGCTTGTCTTCGAGCGATGGCGCACCTTCTGTGTCACCCATGTTGAAGAGATCCAGGATCTGATCTGTCTGCATGCTTCCCAGACCGGCATTTTGTTGGTTGACGACGGTGCTAGCTACGTCAATCTTGAATCTCTGCAAGCTGAGAATCTTTTCCTCTAGAGTGCCGCGAGTAATCAGGCGATAGACGTTCACGACCTTCTTCTGACCAATACGATGCGCGCGGTCCATAGCCTGGAGATCCTTTTGAGGATTCCAGTCATGTTCGACAAAGATGACTGTGTCCGCACCGGTCAAGTTGAGACCAAGTCCACCAACACTCGTAGTGAGGAGCAAGCAATCGATGGATGGATCGGAGTTGAAGCGATTGACAATGTCTTGACGCTTGGATGCTTCGACACTTCCATCGAGGCGAGAAAATGTGATTGACGGAAGCATACGCTTGAAGACGGTCGATTCAACCATATCGAGCATTTCCTTCATTTGACAGAAGATGAGAGCTCTGTGCTGAGAGACGGCCTGATCGGCTGAAGGTACCTCGCCTGCCGCTGCAGAATCGACACCAATGCCACAGTCGACGAGAAGGTCCCTGAGAGCTGTGAGCTTGGGAGCATGGACTGGATCAGTCAAGCTCGAGTTTTGACGTGCTAACTGCGCTTGAATTGTTGCGTATTGCTTGTGGCTCTCTTTCATCACCAAGGCTGGTGAGTTGCAGAGTTTACGCATATATTGCAGAGCTTGGAAAATATGCTGCTTAGCCTCCTTGTCGGCAGAACCAGCCTTTTCGGCAATGGTCTTTGACTCTTTGCGAGTAAAGTCCTCGAAAAGCTTCTTTTGCAAGTCACTTAGGTCACAGTAGTAGTTCTGCAAAATCTTGGGTGGCAAGTCATCCAGCACTTCTTCCTTGAGGCGGCGCAACAAGAAGGGCAAAACTTGTTTGTGCAAGGCCTCGATGGCCAATGCACCAGCTTCTTGTTCCTTTGAAGAGGATTTGCTGAAACGTGAAGCAGCAATTGGCTTGGCGAAGCGATCTTGGAACATCTTCTCTGTACCAAGGAAGCCGGGCATCAGGAAGTCAAACAATGACCAAAGCTCAAGCACGTTATTTTGGATTGGTGTACCGGAGAGAATGAGGCGGTGGTTGCTTGCAAGACGCTTGACAGCTTGAGTAACTTTGGCTTTGGGGTTCTTGATGAGATGGCCTTCATCCAGCACACAGTAGTTCCAGGTGTGAGGTGCAAAGACTTCTACATCGTTTCTGCAAATGTCGTACGAAGTGATGACAATGTCAGCCTCGGTAAGCTTTGCGCGGTGCTTGTTACGCTCGGAGGGTGGGCCGACGTAGGCTACGGCGTTCAAGAACGGCGCATATGTGCGGATCTCTTGTTGCCAATGTCCGGATAGAGTTGGGGGACAGACAATCAATGAAGGCATCTTGCGCTGATCGGGTGCTTGAGATTTGGCGAATTCCTCTGCGCGCATGTGATGATCACTGGCGACGATGCAGATTGTCTGCAGGGTCTTACCGAGACCCATGTCGTCACAGAGAACACCATGTAGATGATATCGATTAAGGAAAGCCAGCCAGTTGACGCCGTCTTGTTGGTATGAACGGAGATTGGCCTTGATTGCGACTGGAATCTCGAACGATTCGACCTTCTTTGGATCAAGCATCTGCGCAATGAATTTACGCTCCTTTTCGCGTCCCTTGAGAAGCTCCTCAGAAAGGCCTGGAGGATCTGGAATTCCGGCTTCGAGGGGTACAAGCTTGACCAGTGTAGCAAAAGCAGTAGTTGCAATCAAGCGTACACCGTTATCCGAATCACTCATGCGCCCAAGCACAGGGACTAAGAGGAAGATGACATAAGGCAAGATACGATCTTCCATGACTTGGATGAGATGGTAGATGCATTCGATCGCGCCCTGTCTGCAATGTACGTCGGTTGGGTTGTTAATTGGTGGCAAGACTCGCTCAACCAGCATAGTGAATCCCTTGACGGTGATGACACTGCAAATGCTTGCAAAGCACTTGGCAGCGGTGTATCGAAGGACGGCAAGTCGTGTCTGAAGAGCTCTGGCAACAAAGCCCATGAGATCAAGAACAAATGGATGGAGATCAGAGTGGAATGACGCCACCAATGCGCGAAGCGTGGACATGGCATCCACAACTTCTTGACCAACATTTTGCTCGGGGTCAGTAATGTTGGCAGGCAACTCTCCAGTGAAGCAGTGACGAATAGGATCTTCGATAAGAGTACGAAGCATGGGTACCTTTTCGAAGAGGTCGCTGCCAAACTGGAAACAAAGTTGCTCCAGAGCATCCTTGGTACCACGTCTCGTGATGCGAGCTTGACGAACCTCTTTCTCATGTTTGGCGGCATCGGGACGGTCCTGAATATCTTCATCCTTCTGCAGTGAGAGAATGCCAGACTCCCTATCCGCATTAGGGTGGAATTCGGGTGTCTCGCCGGTCTCCATGCAGCAGAATTTAACCAAGTTGCCGACAACCTTGTCGACAACCTTCATACGACCACTGGCGACCAACTGATCAACCAGACTGGCGATTGCTGCTGCAGAACGCTTTTGAAGTTCGAAGTTTTCTTCATCCTTGACGCTATCCATAAGACCCTTGATGGTAGCCTGGGGCTTCTTAGGAATTTCCCTCAGTGCCACGATAGCTGCGGCTGCAGCAGACTTGATGCGAACGTCGCGCTGTTTCTTGACAAGAGTTGCTTCAGCAATGACTGAATCGACATCTGCCTTTGCACTTGATAACATTTCAGTTGAAGTGACACGCTGAGCAGGCGAGAGAGTCTTGCGTAGTCTCTCGAAATCCTGGACAGCGATACGCTCTCCATCAGCGAGTGAAAAGGCGTTCTTGCCAGCCTCTGGCTCTCCTTGAACCACGACGGCAATTATGGGGAGTTTGCTTGGCGGTACATGAGCCTTTTCGCGGAATGTGTTCAGAAGGCTCTGACACTGTGCGCGGACAATTTGTAGATAGCTGGTGAGGTCGCTGTACCAGCTAGGTCTGTCCTCTTCCACAAGAGGACGGAGGCTCTCTGCAAAGGAAGTAGTGAGATCATCCTTGGTGTGCGATAGCCTAGCGTATTCCTCTATGAAGATGGCGGTGAAGAGTTGTGTGGTTGAGAAGCTAGATTTGAGGCTGGGAAGAACCTTTGAAGAGAACGTGTCGCGTCTTGTTGCTGCTGGCCAAACCTGGCAGGCCTTTGCGAGTGCTTGAGCTGCATGAGTTCTGGAGCGGATCATAATGTCTGCTCCAACAAGATCGACGTCGCCTTGCATCATGTGTCCATCAACGTTGTGGGCTGATGAGGAGGTTGGAGGGGGCATGTCCTTGTCCTTCTTGTCGGATCTTCTTCTCTTTCTAGCAGGCTCGGAAGATCCGCTGACTGGAGAAGATTTACGTGTGGCACTACTCAGCGGCGTGTAGCTGTAGCCTGAAGGACGTATGAACAGTGTTGCGTCCATTGGAATAGGGTGACGGGATACACCAATGGGGTGGAATGTGAGTGTCACCAAAGGTGCAACGTGAGGTTCGAATTCCGCGGCGAACTTTTCGGGACGAACGGCTAGAACGTCGACCAGAGCATACCAAACCTGAAGCGAGAGTTTGAGAACTGTCTCATTACGCTCGACAAGCAGGTTTTGATAAACAAGCCGCAGAGCACGACCATCGACCCAGCTTTTGGCATCATCGCCATCAATATTGACGAATGTAAGGAGAGCGCGAAGAACAGCGGAACGGACTGTGCTGATGGTATGACGAAGGAAAGGGTATAAACGAGGCACCAGCTCTGCAAAAGATTGTTCCGGGTTCTCTGCAGCGTTCTTTTTCATGGCGTCAAGGACTTCGGGNAAGCCGCAGAGTTTTGCAAGCAAGTCCATAACGGATCCTGTACTTGCACTAAGGTCGTCGCTCAGATTCGAAAGACATTCCCAGACAACGCTAATGAGATGGTTGAGTGCAGTATGACGCATGTTGACGAACTCTTTGGCAACAGGAATCAAGGTAGCCGCGCTGACTGCTCTGACATCGTCGTCGCTGTCTCCGAGTCCTTTGATGACACACTCCAATACGCCATCCATCAAGAGATTGTCTTGAAGCAGCAGGTCGTTTCTGACTGCCACCAGATATCGCATACCAATCATACCACCGTGGCAAGCGTGCCAGATACGCCTGTTGACCTTGAGATCTTTNTGCATGACCAATCGGTATAGGATACGATTGACTGCATGTACTGAGGATGCCGGGAGATATTGCAAGAGTGCACCCAGTGTCTGACCAGCAGTTTCTCTGATTGGTGCAATAGCATTGTCTGAGACGTAGTCCGCAAATCTGTCGAGCATGAAGACGCAGCAGATGCGACAAGCGAGATCATCGAGCCATGCCTGATTTAGGCGGTCGTTGTCGTGTTTAGTCCTGTTCAGCAAACGACCAGCTCCAGCTCCGTGCACACGAACGATCTCTCGAAGCCCCATGGCAGCACCATGACGAATCTCCCAAGCAGGATCGAACAAGTCCACGGTTAGAAATTCGCAGAGTCGTTCGAACGGCCATCCATTGCCAGCCTCCTCGACTTCGGTTTGAAAGGCGGACTTTTCAACGATAGGAGCACCCTTGAACTCTGACACGACCTTTGCATCATCGTCACCACTCTTTCTTTCAAGTGAGAAGTAGTCGGGAACGCTGGCATTGGTTTCTCCGTTTTCGTCCTTGATGATGGTATCTGAGTCGGCGGGAGTAGGTACGGTGGTACTCTCACGTCTCATGCTGGTAAGATCGTATTTGAACTTCTTGTTGTCGCGTTTGAGTTCTTCCTTTCTGCGTCGCTTGAGCATGTTTAGCTGTCTCTTACTCATGGCTTCGGAAGGAGTTTGCTGATCACTGGGAGAGACGACAGCAGATTCCGATACACTGTTGGCTCTGGAAAGACTGGAGTCTGCAGTTGGAATGGCTGGTGGCGGAAAACTGGTGCGGACGGCGATATCTGTCTCTGTGACCAGTTCGTCCTCCATGTACTCCCCACCAAGACCGAGTCGGTTGGTGAGAGTCTTCTTCTGGTGGGCTAGTCTCTGAGCGGGGTCCATGCCAGCCAGTTTGAAGTCATATTGACGTCCAGCGCTGCCGAGCAGCTCCTTTCCGTTGGTCAGGATGGCCTCGACATCCAGGGTTGCAAGCTGCAATTGTTCGTCAGAGGTTAGAGGTGTCGAAGAACCATTCTCTTCCTTTACGTCGCCATTCTCATTCTTGACATCATCTTCGTTGGGATCGAACTTTGCNGCATGTTCCACAATTCCGCCCAGGGCTTTTGCAGCTGCTGTTCTAGTGTCCCAGGAAGACGAGCGAAGGAAGGGAACAACTCTAGTTAGTAGGTTGAAAAGTTCATCCGGATGGTTCTTTTGCACGTCGGCGAGCTGTTGTGCAGCTGTATTGCGGATGAGTTGAGTGCTACCAGTGTCGAGAAGAATGACCAATCCTGCACACGAGCGTCAGTCACCAATCATCAACAGCCCCACAGTCGCTCATATCGAGCAATAGATGTAACATACGGTCAAGTCTGTGAGCATCACGTGTATGGTTAGCAAAGTGAATCCTTCGGAGATAGCCGCGCTGGGATATGCACTTACCTTGTGGCACTCATGTTGTAGCCAATTTGTATCAAAAACTAATCAGATTTCCATCAACGCCCTCTTCCAAATGCAAGAGTGAATTTTAAAAACAGTCGAATTAGCAGTTCATCGCTATAATAAAATATCGCGTCGAGAAAAAAAAAAAGAAGAGTAAATGAAGGGTATTTGGTTGCTGCGTCACGCGTCAGCCGAGGCCGCTACGAAGGAGGTCTCCGGCTGTTCGATGGGCGGCGCTTTTTATGCCTTTAACTCGTCGAAGGAAAGAACGACACCCTCAGATGGGAAGGCACGCTATCCCGCTTTGAGCTTAGGTCAAACAGATTGTGGCAGGCAGCTAAAATTCTTCCCACCGGTGACGCTTCTTCGCCCTCATGGTCAAGATTCAGAGCTTGAAGAGAGAGATGATGCTCGAAGTGACCCGCGCGAGTGAAGTTCGCATTTCATTTCAGATCGTCGTCGTGGTATGTGATGAAAAACACGCGACAGAGGCCCATCCATCTGGTTGTTATGGCATGCATGTGATGTGAAAGAAACCGTTCTGTAACGAAGCTGAGCCTTGTTCTGTATACACATCTACCAACCACCTGTCTTCTTTTTTTCTCAATGTATGGCTGTTCGGCGTGGTCTGCGTGTCCTATGAGCAACGCTCGTACGTCTACCTACCGAATCTCCTGCACCACCACCACCACTATATCATACAAGTTGTCCCTCGCAAGAGTTCTCATCGCCTTGACGCCTCTGTCTGCTGGGAGTCCATGCAAAGACGTGTCGTATAATTCTGCAGCCAAACGTCGATCAACATACCCGCGATCCCGTCCGGCTGCGGAAGTCCCACTTCCGTTTACACCCCTTCTGCCCTTTCTTGGCCCATTCTCGCAACTCATTCTTCTTCAGCTTCCCTGTGCTTGTCTTTGGCAACTCTGCAACTATAACGACTTCCCTGGGAACCATGAACCGGCTGATGCTGCTCTGATTTCTGGCCCATTCGATTACTTCCTCGCCTCTGAGGCTTTCTTTCTTTGCGGTGACATAGGCTAGTGGACGTTCGCCCCAATGACTATCAGGCACTGCCACGCATGCTGCTTCAAGTATCTCTGGATGAGTAACTAGCATGGACTCTAGAGCAACGCTAGAGATGTTTTCTCCACCTGTTGTCGTATGTAAGTGAATTGCGAACAAGGTTACTACGTGCTCGTGCATACCTGAGATGATGATATCCTTGGCCCTGTCGAGGATTTGAATGGCACCGTCTTCATGCATAACAGCGAGATCACCAGTGTGCAAAACCCCGCCAGCAAATAGCTTTCTGGTAGCTTCATCGTCCTTGTAATAGCCCTTTGAGCAGATATTGCCGTAGAAGACGATCTCACCAATATCTTTGCCATTTCTCTCGACGTCTTCGATATGGTCGTCTGGAACGTCTGTTCTTATAACGCGTGCAGGCATGGAAGTGACAAATCCATGACCTTGACGGGCCATTTTGGCATACTTTTCGTCTCCTGGAAGCTGACTCCACGATTGCATGTGGTAACCTTTGGTGATGGGGCCATACGTCTCCGTTAAGCCATAAACCNNTGCAAGAGATGTTAGCAACGTTCACAAATACCAGGCAGATCGTGAATCTCCCGATCCAATCTTGCACCTAGGTCGCTGAACGAGTGTGTCGAGGACGAACGAAGATGCTCATGTATGACTTACATGCACTGGCTGCAAATTCAAGTTCTCCATGGTCTTGAACAGATGAGCCGACGGCGGACTTGCAGCTACCGTCACCCTCACGGGGTTCTCTAGTCGTTCAGCTCCAGGGTCATTGCACAAAAGTGTGTTCACAGTTGGGGCTGAGTTCATGTGAGTGATTCCTTCCTCTCTCAGGAGACGCCAAATTTCTGAATAATCAATCTTTCTCAAACAGTAATGAGTGCCACGAACAGCGGTGACAGACCACGGGAAAGTCCAACCCATGGCATGAAACATTCTGCAGATTATCAGTAAATATCAATCGAAACGTTTGTGAGTTTCGTACGGCAGTGTCCAGAGATAGTGTGCGCGTTGCGACCCATGATAGTTGAGACCAGATTCAACAATGTTCGCGAGAGCTGCTAGATAGGCACCCTTGTGGGTGAAAATTACGCCTTTGGGACGTGCGGTTGTCCCCGAAGTATATGCCAATGCTAACAGAGAGTTCTCGTCGGGGGTAGTGTGTTCAAGATCTGCCCAACCTCTGGAACCAGTCTCGGTGTCATATTTCAGGCCTTCGAGAACTGCTTCATCAAACGGACCAGAGAGTTGTCCTTCCGTAGCATCCGTATCGGTATCAACTATGATCTTGACTTCAGGATGCGCTGCTCTGAAGTTGTCCAAAAGATGAACAAACTCGGCATCAACGATGATGCTGTCCACTTCAGAATGCTCAAATATGTAAGTGATATCTCCCGATTGCAACCGGTAGTTGACGCCAACGTTGACTGATCCTGCAGCTGCGATTCCAAAGATAGCTTCCAGAAACGCAGGAGTGTTGGGGCAAAGAACGCCTACTCGCTTGTATCCATGACGTCTCAGGTAGTATGCAAGACCTCTAGCACGATCTGCAAATTCCTGATAGTTTCGTCTCAAAACCTTCTTGTTTGCAGTTACATGATATATTGCGGGAGCCTGAGATGCCGTCAGCACCTGCAAGGAAGGACTCCTGAAGGAATTACATACATCCGGTTCGATGGTTGCTGCGCGTGGTAGAAAGAAGGTAGGTGAGAGTTGATGGTTGTTGCAGATTTCGACTTTTCGTGAAGAGAACGGAGATGGTAGGAACTGGGCTGCTAAAGCAGACAATCTCCCGGCAGCAGAAGGCATGTTAGATGATGGTTAATGTAGACGTCAATGGCTGAGGTGGAGTCGTGGACCGTAGACCTGGTCAATTGATCACAATAGGCGGGACGAAGCAGGAATAGGCGTGCAGTACAGGCAGAGAAGTACTTCGAGATAGATGAGGTTCAAGATATAGATCTATATTGTTACCGTAATAGCGGTTACTGCGGGTGGAGGAAAGGAAGACCAATGCGGGGTCTGATCAACTGACTTGTGGGGGACCGAGGTGGTCAAATGAATATCAAGATGGGCGCGCGCCAAGCAGAGACCTGGGCGAGTTTCATCATATCACAATTGAGCATGGACTCGCATTGTTTTGACCAAGTCACAGTACAGTACATTTGAGAGACATTTGCGCGTGAAATTGGGTATTGTTGAGGATGCCATGACTTTTTCTGGCTTGTGCCATTTCTGAAAAGCGTTTCGTTTTTGTTTTCCCTAGCCCCAAATCGCCGAGTACAGAAGCAAAGCAAGCCATTATGGGTGTGGGCTTGACGCTCCCTCGAGCACTACACCAACGTTATGAGTGCTCGGAGGGAGCAGTTGGACGCGACAACGAACTCCGACTCTCCGGCCACATTTAGTATCCGTAAGAAGCGAGCTCGGTCTTGACCTTCTCGTCGACCTTGGCGGTCTTCTGGGCCTCGGCCAGCGAACGGCGAGCGGCCTTCTTGCGCTCGTAGTAGGCAGCACCCTTGACCTTTCTGCGCTCCTCGAGTCTNGTGTTTGGCATATTAGCATCCGGAGACCGATCGACGTGACAGCGGGATGCGTACCTGGCGACAACGTCCTGGTACTTCCAGCCGAACTCGTGGCCGAGTCTGCCGACGGTGCAGTACTTGCGGCCGGGCTTGAGGCGGAGGACGCGGAGGGCCTGGGGAACGACCATGCGCTTCTTGTGGTCGTAAGGNGGAGGAACACCATCGAAGGTCTTCAGGCGCTCCAGAGCGGCGGCACCACGGGCAGTCTTGTGAGGGATCATGCCACGGACGGTGCGCCAGAACATCTTGGAGGGAGCGCGGTAGTGCCAGGGACCTNNATGTCCAAGTCAGTGACCGGGCAAAATAAAAGAGTCTCATGCCTGATGGCAGCGGAGACCTCGTGGATTTATGGTTTACATACCACCACGGGAAGCGTTGTAACGCGTCTGCTTGCGCAGGAAAGCCTGGTACTTCACNTGTTGTGTATTGTGTTAGCCTAGCTCTTTCTTGTTTCGGTCGCACGATTGCCGCCAGGTTGGTGTTCGGTAGAGCGTTCGATGTGCGAAGGTGCTGGCGGCGATCGGGTTCGTGCGGTTGTGGGTGGTGGACGTACGCTTAGCGCGGAAGAACTCTCCAGAGATGTTGAGGGCCTCGCAGCGGACAACAACGATCTTCTGGCCGTTCAGGAGCTGCTTGGCGACAGTGCTGGCCAAGCGACCGAGCAAATGTCCCTTGCCGTCAATGACGATCTGTATACACCCTTCTAGTCAGCCATTGCTCTCATGACTGTGGTGTTTGTATGCAGGTGTGCGTGCGCCTCGTTCGCCGTCGCAAATCCAGATTCCAGGTCCTCCTCTTTCTCTGCTCACTGGGGTGCTGAATGGGTCTCACGTACGACTGGTGCAAATTCCGACATCGTTGCTGGTCTGTGATGGTGTCGTTGGGTGATTGTCGAATTCGTCGCTGGTCGAGAATTCACAAATCTCTGTGGGCTTCAAAATGGAAGGTGCGATGGCTTGGCACTGTGGCACGCTTCGCGACTTCCCGACAATAGTCCGCTCGCCTGGCTAGTGCTTCGCTTCACCCGCTCTTGCTCTCGACTCTCGAGGTCTTCTCTCCTTCCTGAATCATATTTGACTTCTTCCATCAAATCGTATATCAACATTGTCATCAGGGTTTACCAGGTCCTATGGTGAAGTCCGTTGTTTCTTCCCCACCGCAAGATCGAAATCTGAGGACGGTATGTTAGAGACAAGCTCACGTGTTCAAGACAACCTGTGCGCCTGATCCCTGCCTGAGATTAAGGATACGACGTAACTCGAGTCTGTTATGAGATTTGAATTAGACGTAGTTGGACCAAATCATGTGCTGGGGACAAAAGGTAGGCAGCGACAGTGCTACTTGCAGGAACACCCATGCCTTTACGCTCACTCTTATCACAACATCGACCACGTTTGGTAGATGTGCGGGAAAATCTGTGCTATGCAACAGGCATGGAATACAAGTTGATGAACACGGGAACACTTTATGGCCTTTGTAAGATCCGAGAACATATATCGAAATAGTCATTGGTACCTATCGATATGTTGCTAAGACCATGCAGCTCAACTCCTTCTCGAGTGCGCCGACACCTTCTAGGCATAATAGTTTGTCCTAAGCCCTGGTGCATTGGAGTCGTTCGAATCGCTATCGCTCCTCTTTGGCTCGGCCTCAGCATGAACGGCCGCTTTTCTATCTCTTCTTCGCTTTGATTCACCAACGAAGATACTGATGATGTAAACGAGATATACGACACCAGCAACAACGCCGTAAGCAATCTCTCCCTTGCGAGTGCTGCAAGAGGTCAGTACTGGGTTCGATATAAGAACAAGAAAAGAGGAATCCTACTTGTTTGCGAGATCGAGTCCAAGGCCACCGTTTATGATGCCCAGAGTGATGATGATGCGTCCAAGCCAGATGTGAGCGTGAGACCAGAAAGTACGGCGCTTGTACTTCTTGAAGAGACGATGGTGCATGTAACCAAGGATTGGTTGGAAGAAAATCAGAATGAAAAGCACAATGCCAATGATCGGATGAGCTTGATCGAGCTGCNNTGGAGTTAGAACAGAACCCAGGCTGTATCTATTTCTGTGACATACCATGTGTATCTGGGTAGCGAGATAGATACCGAGTCCAAATGCTGCAATGAAGATGAGATATGCAAGCACTTGAACGATGGCATGGAACCAAAGAAGTCCTGGAAAGCTGAACAATCGAATACTGATGGCTCCGAAGGGGAAGAATATCACAAAGGCTAGCGATGCAAGAACACCATGAGCGATCATGGCGCGCTGAGCCTTTTCGAAGTCACCACCGAACGGTATCGAAAAGCCTGCAGAGCCTGAACCGAAGCCCGAGCCAGACGATCCATATGAGCCAGATCCGTACCCAGATGAGCCAGACGAGCCAGAGCCAGAGCTGCCATCATCGCCTCCTCCACCCCATCCCCAGGCATAAGTAGAGCCTGATCCAAATATTAGTATTGCCACACTGCCACAATATAGGCGTAACACCAACCTAGGCTCAACGCGATGGCCGAAATTGTTGATAGATATCTCATTGTGTTATGAGTACGAGCATGTGGTTTCGAAGGTGCAAGAGGATGAGGTCAACCTATAAGTCAACACCAGAATCATACACTAAGGAAGGCTATTGAAATCGTGGTGAGGCTGGGAGAGTGACACTTTCATTTCATGCCAATGGAGGTTTGCCAGTGTTTTAAAGCTCTACGATCCGAGCGCGATCAGCAAAGCGGATGACTGCGCCCAGTCTCATTACTAGAACGAGGGGACGATAGGCATGCACTATGGCGTAGATCGTCTCCGACATCAACGTGCCACTGCGTCTCCGAAAGGCTTTTGAATGTGATCCACGTTTGCCGTCCCAAGGCTGAGGAAAAACTGAACGGACTTCCAAGGGTTGGTGGGGATCCGAAGACCGACCCTGAGTATTTGAGCTCCAGCCACGCGTACAACATGATCTTGGAGGCCTTCTCTCTCAAGGCATGTTCTTTGCGTTCCTTGGCGGTGCCATTGACGTGGTCGGCAACTGAGGTAAGCTGACAGACTGCGATGTGTATATCTCAGTCACTACCGACTGGTCAAGATCGTACGTTGCCGCCGAAAAGTTCTAAGTGGTGGTACTGGTGGGTCGGGACGAATTAGCCAGGCATTCAGAGCTTCGTGTGTACTATAGCAGAGGTGGCCGGAATGCCATGATTGCAGCAGAAGACGTCGTGACACAGCACGAAATAGACTGTCGTCTACAGAGGACCCACACGGAAGCCACCACCCACACCAAAATGCGGGGATCGGCGCAGGGGTCTTCCCTCGAACGCAGGTCAGGAAGCTACTCGAGTACCTCCTTCCTTTCGGAAACCAGGCAGATAATCGACATCTCATCAGCAATATGGTCTCGACTCGTAGTCATCCACAAGAATTTCTTTCTCAGGGGCTTGATGACTCGAAAGTCAATTTGTCTACAATGGCATTGCAAAACGCCATCCAGCAAGAGGATCGCAACCAAAAGGCTNGGTCTCACACACCATCACTCCTCACTCTGACTTGGCTCGCTATATCGCTGCCTCTTGTTATCTGGGACACTTTCTATGTGTTCCTTCGTCCACATTCTATGCCTGGCGGGAAGTATCAGAAGCCTCTCTGGGTGCCTTATGAGCTTTACGGTCAGGTCGATCACGTCTACGGATGGCCTGCATACAACTCGGGCAACGGATTTACTGCTGCTCAATCTGGTGTGAACATCGTCGAGTGTGTGGGTTACATATACTATCTCTATCTGGTTTATGTCCACGGCAGGACCGAAAAGCACGTACAGGGTACTGGTGCCCCCGACAAGCAGCATGTTGGAAAGCTCGCACAGAGTCGAACGGTGTATGGAACGGTTGCTGCGCAAGCCGTTGTTCTTCTATACGGTGTGGCTCTCATGACTTTGAGCAAGACTGTGCTTTACTGTATGCTACGCCAATGTCCTGATCGTCAGCTTATTGCGGCTAACAGTACTGTAGGGCTCAACGAGGTCTTCTCTGGATTCGCCAACATTGGTCACAATGATGCTTCGTCAATCTTCTTCCTCTGGGCTCTTCCTAATGGTCTCTGGATCGTCCTTCCCTCATATCTTGTTTACGTGTCCGCAAATGAGATTTTGGAAGGTTTGCAGGTTGCTGTGGGCGGTACCAAAAAGTCTCAGTGATGTGTTGATGATATGATGGCATGATACATGGGAGCGAGCACAATGTGCCATGGGCTTAGTCCAAAATCAGCCTTGATGATTATGTTTCTCATTCTGTCCCACCTGGAAACATAAAGACGACAAAAGTTTCGTTAGTCGCAGTCCTAACCAAGATGTTAGATGATATGGATTGATTTCCGAGCTATCAAAGTCAAGGTTTCGAAGCTTTTCTCTGCTTTATAGCTGCAAAGCAAGGATAGAAAACTCTGCGCAGCTCTGTGCATCATCATGGGGTTTCTTTGAGCGGTCTCACAGATGCTTACTCGCCGTATGCCAGAGACTCTGATAGTAGCTATAGAGAAATGCACAATACTTCGGGACTGGAGGTGTTTTCACAAACAGACATTATTCTCGGCCATCTTCACGGCCACACGGGTGAATTCTCTTCAGCTTACAGCATTAGGATATCTCCGAAGGAGAGGAGTCGATGGTGAGGACGTGACAGTCATCAGCAACGGGCGAGGCCGAGTAATTGCATTTTGTTCTGGATCATGATCATTGTCATCATTGCCATCTGAAGGCCATCGGCGAGAGAGCCTTGAATAATGCCCTTAATCCTCTCAGCGATTCCACCATTTCAAAGAAAAATGCTTGAGCTTGGTTTAGAGGCATTCACCGAGACGAGAGGGCCCAGATCAGGCGAATCGGACCAGGATCATGTTAATGATACGTAACCAAGAAGAAAATAAGAGATCGTCAGCAAGGTGATTGCTGATCGTCACCCCGAAGCCCGAAACACGATACAACTGCGTCTACTTCAGACTCCACTCCTGTTCTCCATCCTCGAATATTCTCGACATAACTTTCTACAAGAAGATCAGTATCTGCTTATGTGTTTCGCAAGACCCAAGTTCGAGAAGGTAGAGATGACTTACCGTGTCAACGTTGTGTACATCCTGGAACCAACAGTTGTCATTATAACAATCCTTGCCGTACGGACAGACATGACCATTCGTGCAGTCAAAGTCCCTACAATCGCCACGGTCTGGACAACTTCTCGTACGAGCACGTTGCTTAAGTACCAACTGCTCACCAGGATTCAGACGCTCACCATGATCATAGTCGCAGTACTTTCCAGCTTCACACTTGCCGTTCAAGTGGTAATTGTTGCAGACCTTCTTGTGGCGAACACGCTCGGTAAGGCGGGCGGTGGCTGCTGAGTCGGCGCGTGGCAGCACCGGATCGAGGCGTTCTTCGTTGGCGTTCAGAAGGATGAATTTGCGGTTGGGTGCCTTTTTGGCTGCAATGTTGATGGTTTTGGGNGCGCCTTTACCTACAATTGCCCATGAGGAGCCATCGCTAGGATTGGGTGTAGTAGTCTTGGGCAAATTAGATGCAGCTGCTTGTGCTGGTGTAGGTGCTGGGTTGATTGACACGCCACTAGTTGCGAAGGAATTGCTTCGACTTGAGAGAGCAGAGTTGGGCTGGGCGCCAGCTGTGTTTTGGACCGCAGAAGGCACGAAAACGGGGACAGTTGGCCTATCTGGCAGCGGGTCCGATCTAAAGACTGTAGGGAACTGTACAACCTTAAAGCCGAGCTGTGTGAAGCCGTATTGAATAGGTAGTGTTTCTAGCAGACTGATACGATGGGCTGTGTTCTGATCGCGCTTGTATGGGTCGAGCGTAGGTAGATATCCGTTGTCGTGGCATCCGCCAAATATCACATGCTTGCACTGCATGTTGGGCAAGAACAGCCTTAGCGTTTCTNNGTATCATCAGTCAGCCAAATGTGCATACTCATAGCCAGACAGATAGATCGGTCTACCTCTAACTTTGTGGTCGGCTCTTTCTTTACCGCTGCCGACGTCGATGAAGGTGAACAGAGATTTGTTCAAGGAAAAGGCTCTTGCAAATGGAGCCATCTCGTTGGGGTTCTTGAAGATACCCAGGCTCTTCAGCTTATGACTGAGTCCTTCCATGTTATAGAATATCTGAACCATGATGTCGTAGCCAGATGTGTTACGATCGGGATAGCACTCTGCGACATGGCCTCTAATCTTGTTGTACAATTCTTGGGCAGCATCGGCACCGCCATCGCTACCGGCCTTGTAGAGGTAGTCGTGAAANCTAAATAATCAGTATTGGACAACAATAGGAAGGACATGTCGACTCACAATGGCACCATCTCCGTCGATCAGGGCTAAGACAAATCCATTCGCTTCCTGTCTGTTGTCAGCAGGCCATTCGAGGTTCTTCATTGATTCGNNTACATACAAGACCCATAGTTGTTGTTTGCAGCGAGCGTTCAAAGTTACGAGCCTGGGCTTGCCACATGCGCCGAGAAGCAAGTTCATTCTCGTAATCTTCAGACTTATTATGAAATTGCTGCTGCAGCTCGGCATATTTGTGAATAACCTCCTGTATACTATATATCAGTGTGCTGTTGTGGGTGAAAAAGCNGATAAATTTTGTCCCACCTGTACTAAGGCATCGCGTTGAGCATCAGATCTGCGAAAGCCCTCGAGTTGACTCTCTAGCTGTCCTAGAAAAGATTGGTGGTCGCTTTGTCCGTTTGTATGACCGCTGCTCATAGGTGGTGGACCGTTCATGGTTGCAACGCTGCAATGTCAAAGATAGACGCCGAAAGTGCGTGCAACTTTGGAAGCTTTGGCAGACGTTCAGGTTATTGCCGACCAGCGGCTGTACGCCAGCAGTACGATATCTTGGGCGCCCAGATGGCTGATGGTTCTTGACAACTTTTCTGTCAGATAAACCGCTTTGCAGAATGAAGCACTGTCGCTTGTTCTGATAAGAGTTTGATGATTTGGTAGTTACAAACAGTCAAAGGAAGGTCGCCTGCCGACGCGAAACATTTATTTCCATGTCCAAGCTTGGCAGCGTGTTCGCTAACCAGTTCTCCTCGAATAATAGTAACTGTTTAATAGTATAGGTAGTTTTCCTTGGTAGTTTCGTATATGTCGAGATTGATAACGAACGGACGACTTGAAAAATGTTCATCAAAAGCTACACTGGGCACTGAAAGAAGGTATCAACCGGCGAAACCAATCTCGGTGTGACGGCTCTAACTAAGTCAATATTTTGCACTCGTTATTCATTATGTCGAACATGTATAGCCGTTTCTACGCTCAAGTATATCTTATCCGTTGTAAGAACCACCTCCTTCAAGAATATCCTTGATGTTGATTTCTCCAGTGCCTCTCTCCAGCGGCTTCGGTTGATTCGCACCTTCCTTCCAACCGATCATGTATATGGTTCTAAACGTAGCGGGGATACTACCGTCATCATTGCCATACAACTCCTTGTAGATTGCTTCTGTGGCCAATAGCACATCTCTTGAAATAGGTCCAGGAGTACGCTTGAGCGCAGCATTAGACTCGCCCATGGCTTGAAGGTCGCGCATCAAGTGTAACGTGCTGGGGTAATCAACGATGATATCGTCGACATCCACTGTGAGAAGCTTAAAGCCGGCACGAGTGAGAAGATTACCGACATCGCGAACGTCGGCGAGTGGTGACACGTGGGTGCCAATACCTCCTAGACGGTCCTGCTCGGCGAGTTGCAGAGAACCACGCAGTTCGAACAAGCTGTCACCGCCAGACATGGCGGCAATGAAGGGNGCGTCGGGCTTGAGGACGTTGTTGATTTGAGAGAGGACGGATGGCAGGTCATTGATCCAATGTAAGCTGAGTGAAGAGAGAACGAGATCGAAAGAATTGGCTTCAAAGGGGAGCGTCTCTGGGTTCTGGAGCACATGGCGTGTGAGGGACATGTCTTTGTTGAAAGGCTCGTTCTGGTCGCGATGCAGCATGGACTGGTTGGAGTCGGCACATGTCAGGTGGCCAATCTTTGAGCTCAGTGGCTCCGAGACGGGTTTGGCAGAGTCGGGATCGGGATCTGGTAGTGTAAGGATTCGAGCGATGTTGCAGGCATTGGCACCGAAATCCAGGGCCTTGTCGAAGTTGCGGTTGATGTCCAGGAGGCGACTGGTCAGGCGCATGGCGACCTCATCTCTCAGGTAATCTGTGGCTCGTGATTCTTCTACATCGGCGGCGGCGCGAGATCGTTGCTGCTGCTTAGCCTCGTTGGAGAAGACGGAAATGCTAGGGGCGCCAGGTTGTTGTACTGCATAGTTTCGTCGACTACACACATTCAGATTTCGAGGGCGAGATGAGCATTGCACTCGGCGGGCGATATAGCTGAGACGCATCTTGGAGGGTTAAATGGAGTGTTTGCTCTGGTCGCCATCGATCGATTCTCGAACGAACATAATCGTCATTGAACTGCAATTCTGCCGGGCGGTGCTCATGTCGTTGCCAACCAGACCCTGCATGTTTCAAACAATCTATCAAACAAAGCCAATCTGGTCCGCATCGCTCCTTCCACCATCCATCATTGACCGCTGCATATCAATGTCTTGACTGAACACCCCGCCATGACGGCCACATTCCCGTATACGCTGATTGCGTGTCCTTGCACCTCGTTCACTTCACCTTCCAGCATCAACCCATCATCAATAGAAGACCTGGACGATGACACGACCTTCAATCCCCATCACATTCGCGCAAACTTCTCGCTATACCCCTATGAGCATTTACTCTATTGTGATGAATGCCACCAAATCAGATGCCCCAGATGCTGGGCTGAGGAGATTTTGAACTGGTTCTGTCCAAGCTGTCTTNTTGAGGTTCCTAGTAGTGTAGTCAAAAGCGATGGTAACAGGTAAGGTGAGCTCTCCTGTCTCATTCGGTCACGACCCACGTGTGCTGACTTCGTAGCANGATGTACTCGAAATTGCTACAACTGTCCGACCTGCACTTCTCCACTGTCTATTAACGGTCTTGACTCTTCAACAAAGGACCATCTAGCTCCTCCAGACGCCAGCCAACCGACGGGTCCATTCTTCTTATCATGTCCCTATTGTGACTGGTCCTCGTTGGATGTTGGTATACAGTTCAACAAGCCCACCAAAATCACCGATCAACTGGTCAGGATGCGCTCTGGAAACCGTTCGCCTTCACCCAGCAGGACCAGATCTACTAGACCAAGTCTTGCGCCCACTGATGAGCTATCTTCAACGCAACCAGACTCGACTCCTGCTTCTCAACCGTCACAGGACAGATTCACGACTTTGAGCCGCTTTTACAAGGATCAAATGGCTGATGCATCTGGCGCCGGCCCAAATGGATACTCGGACAATAGCAACTTCAACTCGCCTAACAGTCTGGCGCGTATCATGAGCATCTACGGTGGTCTGTCACACACCGCCCTCAAGAAGGCGCGCGAAAGGCCACAACCAATGCGCGAGGCTCTAGACGCAGCCGAAGGTCTTGAACTACTATCACACTCAGCCGATGCCGAAGCCTTAGAAATTGAAAAGCTCCGTACCGAAGGCTACGAAGGAACCACGACTTTGTCACAGCGAGTCAGTCACCCATACAACCATCGTATACGCTTCAATGACCATCTGTGGCCTATCGCTACACTCCTACGGACACGTCGCAGCAAGCGATGCCGCACTTGCCGTCATATTATTGCTCGTCCAGAGCCCAAAATGGGAAGTACGCGCTACAAGATTCGTTTACTGGCTCAGAACAACATTCCTCGCTTGGCTCTGCGTCTTCTCTCACCTGCCGCCTCATCAGCTCCTGCATCCTCATTTGCGCTTACACCTGCAGCACTACAGGCCCAGCACAATACCGAATATGAGAAATTGAGACCGGGTCTGCCTGTACAGTTCCTTCTCACACTAACAAACCCTTTGTTCGAGCCTGTACGCATCACGCTGGCTACACCTGCTACTACACCTGGCAATGTAGCATCTCGTGTCACGGTCCTCTGTCCCACTTTCCCCATAGGTGCTGCGAGTGACATGTGGGACCCAGACGCTATTTCCAGCGGTACAGCAAAAGATCAGTCTACCGAAGACAGGCAACCCGAGGCTGGGAAAGTCTGGGAGAGGGGACGCAACTGGACAACAGTGGTTGTAGAAGTGGTGCCTGGTCGGCTTGATAAGAAGGCAGGAAGCACCGTGGAGAATGCAACGAGTGATGAGAGCAAAGGTGCGGATGAGGATGTGCTCGAGATTCCGGTGTTTGTACGTGTAGAGTGGGAAGCAGAAGTCACGGCCGAAGATGCTGCTGCAACGGGAGCAGCCAAAGGCACCAAGGAGAGCAGGGAGATTGCTTTCTGGAGTGTCTTGGGTGCGGGAAAGATAGCTGAACCCTAGAAGGGAAACAAGAAATGCATGTCTTCTTGCATTTGCCTATAGAACGTCTGTACAAAAGAGTAATCACTCATCAGTCCACTGCCAACCAACATGAGCTCAACGACAGAGTGATTTACTTGACAGGACTCTCCGCAGCTTAGACACATTCACGGGTAGACACTTGTAAATATTGTGGAAACGAGCCAACTCCTTTTGAACAAGGCAGGCAAGGGCGGATTAGCGATAAAATGCTGCTGCGAGAGGTATCCGTAAAGAAAGTTGAAGCCGAACGCCAGTCCCTGTGCTTTTCGCTCTTTTTCCCCAAAAGTCCCAATAAGAAATGAAAAAGATGTGAGAGAAAAACGCCATGAAAGGGTGATGGAAAAACAAAAGGCCACAGTCAAGTCGTTTATGCGTCGACATCCATGTCTTCGGGTCCAGAGCCTCTGACCAATCTCTGCTTCTTCTTGGCCTTGAGCTTCTGCTGAGCCAACTGCTGCTTCTCGAGCTCCTCCTCCTCCTCTTCCTCGTCCAGCTCGTCGACAACATCCAGCATCTCGCTCTCGTCCTCGAGCAGCTTCTGAGCGGCCTCGCGCTCGGCGGGAGGCAGCAAGTGCTGGTTTTCTGCGACGAGCTTGCGGTCGGCCTCGAGGTCGCGCTCCTTGTTGCCGCGCATGCGGTTCTTGTAGAACTGGCGCTCGCGCTTGGAGCGGATCTCGGAGACGCGCTGCATGGCCTTGAGGGTGGTGGCGACCAGGTCGCGGTTGTAGCGGACGGGGACGTTGCGGCGGGCGGCAAAGGAGAGGGTGCTGTCGACGGTCATTTCCTTGCCGTGTGCAGCGCGGAAAGATTTTGTCCAGGCCAGCTTGCGAGGGTTACGCTTCATCTTGAANCTGTAGAGGGTTGTGTTAGAGAGATTTGACCATAGTTTAAAGAGCGCTCGCAGGGCAAAACATACGTTCTTGTGGCATTTTGATCTGCAGAAACGAAAGACGCGGGCATCGTTGCGGACAAAGGTGATGCCCTTGGACGGGTAGCAGGGCTGCGAGCAGAAATAGCACGACTCGATTCTGGAGCGGGTGTGTTAGTAGATGTTGCGCGGTACCGTGGTTGCCAGAAAAAGGAGCGTACCTCATCTTGGAATGTGGTGACTAAACGTTCAAGGATGGACAAGAGTCTTCTGGAAAATAGAAATAATTAAAACTTCCAGTCTTTGGATAGTTTGCGGGGAGCGAATGCCTGCCAAGAAGCGAGCGGCGATTCGGGAGACGGAGCTGCTGCCATCGAACTTCCGAACTAGCTTTTCCACGCCATCGCTCTTACTATCACATTACAGAGACACGTTCGACAATGGCTACTGCTCTCGCCCTCGGTTTTGGAATCGCCGCTACTGCCTTCTTCGTACGCCATGCCCGAATCTCATGCGCCACGACCCACGACTGACATTTGGTTTGACAGGGTCGCGCCGGCCTGGTGGCTTTCAAGCGCTACCGTGGGGGCACCAGCGCTGTAGGCAAGGCCTTCTACAAGGGCGGCTTTGAGCAAAAGATGACTAGAAAGGAAGCTGCTCTGATCCTCGAGACTACGTTCGTCAAACCTCCACATCTGGACGCCTTCTGGAAGCACCCACATAGACTGACTGTACCGCCTNGCTACAGAGAACGCGGCCTCACTCGCGACATCATCCGCAAGAAGCACCGTCAACTCATGCTCTTGAACCACCCCGATCGCGGCGGCAGCCCTTACCTCGCCACAAAAGTCAACGAAGCGAAAGAACTGCTGGAGAAGACGACATAGTCCATTTCACTGCCATATCCGCATCACCATCTTGTTTTTACTATCGTCCTTGGAATCGCAGCGCGGCGTTGGTGGTCTTGCCCTTTTACTCGTCCTGTACAACATCCCTACTCTTCACGAACAGAAACAATATACTGCATTTGCATATCAGAAGAATTGTTGTATACCATTCCAAAACAAATTCTATCTTCGTACAAGCATCGACAAACGCCTCGCTTTCTATTCCGTATTGCAGAGCAAAGCAACAACTCTCACGCCCACTGTAGCCTCATACCGCCGTTCAGTACTTATTCCTTGGCGTTCAAGGTCTTGCCCTTCTCCACCATCTCCTCAATCAGCTTGTTGAACTCCTGTCTGAGTTCAATGGGCACCACATGTCCCTGCCCCTCGAAGAAGGCTTTGCGGATACCGCTCTCCTCGCCGCCTAGTCCATTCAACAACATCTCTGCATGGGGGAACGTGATCATGCGGTCCTTTGTACCGTGCAGCACCAGAATACGCTCGCGGCCCACCTTGTCACCAATCTCCTTGAGCTGAGCATCAGTCTTGTGGTGCCAGCCCGCAGCAATCGCCTGTGCCATGAAGCCTGTGCGGTTGAAATATTGGGGCATCTTGCGCTTTGCGACCTCTTGTGCAGCAAAGCGGTCGCCGTTGGTTGGGAAGGGCTGGACTTTGTATTCGAGGGTGTCTGGGGCGTCGAGGAAGGCTTGGGTGTAGATGTTGTGCTTGACGTTGGCGATTTGGTCGTCCAGGCTGCGAGGGATGAATAGGTTGATGCGGTTACGCAGGTTTTCTACAAAGCCGACTGTGTTGACGAGACGAGGTGCTGTAGAGATTAAGTTCAGTGTCGCGATGCGGTTGGGGATCATGTATGCCNNTGTATCAGAATGTCAACAATTCCTCAAAAGCCTTCTTGATGTAGAATTGTTGCTTACGAGTTCTTGGGCAATCATGCCACCCATCGAGATACCGACAACATTCAACTGTCTCTCTGCTGTCCAACCGACGTGATCAATGACTTCGAGGAGATCCTTTGCCATTTCAGAGGTCGAGTAGCGTTGCATTGGCTTGCTACTCTCGCCCATACCGCGATTGTCGACAATCAGAGACGAGTATTTTGATCCCTGCTTGTGGGAAAAGTCCTTGGTCTGTCTTTGCCATGAGGTCTTGAGTCCACCAAGTCCCATGATCCANCTGATTTGTATAGATGAATTAGAACCATGTTTTTTCTCAACTTGTAGATAGAGAAACGATAATCACAACTTGACCAAACAAAAACGCAACCATGCAGTCCTCCTCTTCCGACGATAAAAACACAGCCGGAAATAGAAGAACGTAGTAGAATAAGAAGAAAATGCACTTACCACCATCTTGTTTTCGCCCTCACCATGCACCTCCCACGCAATATCAAGAGGTCCTCCTCTGTCCTTTGCAACAGACAACTTGCCCTGAGACTGAGGCTTGAGATCCCATGTGATGTACGGAAACTCGGGGTGAGCCTGCACTTCGGCAGCGGAGAGAGGCCTGTCGATATACCACAAGTAAGCATTTGTGAAGCCTTCTTATATTCAATCACCAAAACCACTCTCGTGTGTATTCCTTCCCCAACATCCGCATGAGAAAGTCTCCACCACCCCGATCACGTATTTGGTTTTGAAGAGGATCGTCTGACTTCCTCGTCGGGAAGGCACGTACATTGTGTTTCTGTATTCGTAAAACTCGTAATCCAGGAAACGAAAAGACGACACGAAACTGAGAGTAGGTCAAAAATGTACAATTTGTTGCAAGAGGAAAAGGTCAAGGCAGATCGAAGAAAGGGTGGTTAATAGACCGGCGTAGGCGAGTGATCGGCGGCGGACTCATGTCGCGTGCGTATAGAGTCCGTGCGCCGTCAAAAGAAACGCAGAACATGCAAAAGATGACCGTCTTCCTCTTTTTTCTTCGGCTTTGAATCTTTCTTCTCTCAATCTTGGTCTTTGTCAAGCGTCCGTAAACTCAGTGCCGCCATCTATGCAGACTGGTTCTGACGCATTCTACGCAGTCTTGCTGATCGAATGCTGTACTGATATTGAGGCCGGCAAAGGCGTGATCAGGTATGCATTTCCAACAGACCGTACTAACAACAGCTGTACATTACAAGCTCACAGGTCCTGCTAACATGTGCTTTGCGCATTGTTCTTTGTATCAACGGCTGTTGCCGAGCTTTGATATTAGAGGTTCGCCAATGGTCAAGAAGCTGAGATTCATCAAGCTAATGAGACCTCTTTTGTCTGACCTGGCGAGCTTGTACAAGATACTACGTAGGTTTGCAGGACCGTGGAGTGAGTGGCCGAGCTCCAGCGCCTGTAATATCAACAATAGGCACGAGCTCAAGGCCTTCTCTCTTCCTGATCCGTTGTCATTCTCCTTCTCTCTCCCTCCTCACCATGATATTCCCTTCTCATTATTTGCATACTCTCTCTTTCTTTCGTTTCTCATCAATGCCATCGTTTCAAACAGAAAAAGAAAATGCTCGCCTTGACGATAACAAAGACAAGAATGGAGATGCCGCATCGAAAACAGACGCCACCCATGTCAATCCAGGACCTCGCCCACAGTCAGCACTTGACATTGCGTTAGCCGAGACTGGTACCCAGTGTCGTATCAATCATCCAAAGGACAACAAAAAGTACTCATACCCACGCGCTTGGGTTACAGAGCCAGATAGAAGGCCAAATCGGCCATCGAACCAGAACGAATTCAAACATCAAACATGGAGTTTTGACTGTCGTCTATACCGAGCCCATACGCAGAAGAGCCTCGATGGCTTCCCTTTCCTGGATGGTATGATCGATCTCCATCGG